GCGGCTCACTGGTCCGGTGGATCAATTCTCGCCGTGGCACGGCTCGGTGCAGAGCCCACACATCATGAGGCGGGCGCCCAAACTCTGGTCCACCTCTGCAGGTTAGAGGAGGGTTAAACGAAGGCCACACTCTACTTTTTAATCTCTTAATGTTGAGCAGCAAAGCAAGCCAAACTTACATCAAATGACTTACTGTTTTTAACTTAAGTGATGAGAATATTTGTCTTTCCAGAGTCACAGGTCAGCAGCAGCCCACCACGCTCTCCAGCCTCAATTCCCAGTCCCAAACAGGAACCCACCAAACCAAGTTTTCTGGCCCAGTTCCTTCAAAACAGAAAAGAACAGGTACTAAAATGTTACAGTGCTAAGTTTGTTACAGTGCCTTTCAAAAATATTCACCTAATTTATTTGATCAGATTTGTATGTGTTAGACCAACACAAAGTCTGAATTAAAGGAGAACCGTGTTTCCATTGTCACGTCAACTACAACCAGTTAAAACCACCAAAAATTAACATAAGCAACACTTAATCAGACAATACATAATTATTAACTTCAACAACCTGATTAACCATTAATATTCCTAAATAAAAAAAATGTTTCCTGAAAATTAGTTTAAATATGTTGTTTTTGCTTAAAATATTCTTGAAATATCTTTTAGAGAATATAAAAGAAGAACTTAGATTTGGATTAAACTTCAGTGAAATTACATTGTTGCATCAAACTGAGTCTTTTTGCTCTTTCATTAAAGTGAGAATTATTCTGTGCTTTATTACCAGCCGGGTTGTTAATGGGATGATTCTCTTATTTATTTTTTTATTATTATAACTTTTCTATAGTGTCTTTTACATAAGATCCCAATTAAAACACATTGAAGTTTTAAACAATCAAGGGTTGTGAATACTTTAACAAGGCATTGTATGAGTCTGTCCAGCTCTACACTTCAGATTTAAGGCTTTCTTCACTCAAATTCATTACAGAGATCATAACTATAAAATAATTTCATGAGTTTTCTGAATTAGTAAAAGTGTTGACACCAAATATACAAACACCACATTCAGTAACGAGTTTGAAAAATCATGTTTGGTTTTTATTTTTACTGAAAATATGCCTTCACATTAAAAAAATGGTCTTATTTGATTGTGATCACTTGATTGAAGCTCTTTTGCTGTTTGAAATCAAAAATTTCTGCACTTAATTGTTTCTCACAGGTTAAAAATTTCATGGCAAAGCGGGTGCTGATAATGTATTTGTTTAACAAGGTAAGAATGTGTGAAGCATGTGCATGAACACCGATGGGCGGCTGCATGCTCTTATCTGACATCACAGATCTTCATTTGTTTCTAACAAATCACTAATCTACCTTCTGGTTCTGGGCCTAATCTTGCCAGCATTACTAATGTAGCTCTTTTCCATCTAGCTGTTACACTGAGCCTGGCTAATTATCTTGAAAGCTTGGATTAAGGAGTCATGTAACACATGCTTTGAAACTCTTGCTTGATGATGAAACCTGTTATTTGTGCTTATCAATTATTGACAAAACTTTGCTTTTCTAATTACGCCGGGACTTTTGTAGCACCAGATATCTGTCAACATCACACAATTGGTGGTACTTTGTCTCCTGAGATTTATGCTTCTTCCTCTAATTACTGCAGCATGTAATGTAGCCCATGGACATGTGTCCAACTAACAACTCTTGAATTTACAGCTGTGAACATTTAAAAGAAACTCAACTAAGTCTTAGGTTCTCTAGTGACTTTTGCGCTGCTGAAATACAATGTGCATAAAATATTTAAATGTTTTAACATATGCAGTTTGTCATATTTTGAACCAAAGAACCCCAAATTATGCTTGGAAGAATCGGACATATTTCCATACAGGTACATCTTAATAGATTAGAATTTATCAAAAAGTATATTTCATTTAACATTTACCCTTAAAAGGTAAGTAATTTGAACCTAGAAGTGTCTATTTTAGAAACTAAAGTTAAATTTCTCTGAAAATTATCATGCATTAAACAAAAAGAATGTTTTATTTTTCTGCTTTTAATGCTGCGTTGTGGACTACACAGTGTTGAGAGAATGTTGTAAAAGTTAGCTAAAATGTTATTTCTTGGAGAATGCCACTTGAGATTTATTTATTTTGTTTTTTTTAACTTGCAAGTACTGATGGAAAAACTGGCTTAAAGACTATTCAGTTATTGAAAACTGCAGTTTTGAAACCATAATGTTTTAAACTGTGCTACCTGCCCATGCAGCATCCATACAGGTGTTTAAAACTTAGCCCTTTAATGACAGAAATGACACTGCAAAATGAAATTAACACTTAAAACAATTCACTTTTTAGCGATAATCTCATTTATTGGGACGCACCTGTAGTCTTCAGAGAATCTTCCAAAACATAACGATAAGACTTACCTAATTTTCAAAATCATAATCGAAAACACTTGAATTTCCACCAGAGCTGATCTGTGAAGCCGTATGGGTCTCATTAGTCGGTGTTGTGTCTTAAAGACAACGCTCACTGACTGATGTTTTGTTCTGCAGCTTCCAGAAGCCTCCAGTCAGGCCCTCTTCGCCGACAGCCAGGCTCACATCTGGGCGTTAGAAGGTAGGACAACATGTCTGTGTTTCCATCTCGATCAGATGGAACTCATTAGTCCAGCATGTCATGTTCATCGTTTTCTCCTGCATCCACCCTGCAGCGCTGTCATACCTGGTTCAGGCCTCTTTCACAGAGGACCAGTTTGGGGTTGTTCAGACTACATTACCCAGCATTCTCAGCTCCATGCTGCACTTACAAGAGGTAAGTTGACATGGTTTAATGTGCTTCATTATAAGGTAAATTCACTGGATGTTGGAAATTCATGGAAAGAATTCTTGATGCTAAATATTGGTCAGGCTCAATACTTTGTAATCAGACAGGCTTTTTTGTTTCACCTCAGCTCAACTACACAGGAGATTGTCATTTATTAGTACATGAGGTATTTGAAGGTTTGAAAAGATATAAATATTTGCAGACATGACTGTTTAAACTTTTGGCCTATGTCCCATATGATTTGTGTGGTGAAGAAAGCAGCAGAGTTATGGTTTTCTTAGTGGCATCCATTATATTTAGTTCACTGGAAGTGTGTATCCAGCTTAATGATGGTGTTGGACTCAGACAAATTATTTATGTTGATTCATTTCTAATTTTTGATATAAAGATCAGATCCCAGATGAGACAACAGCTTTCAATAATTAAAATGTTTAGGATTAGTAAGAAGTAACTCAATTCATCTCTTCCTATACTTGAAGCCCAACTATATGATTGTTTTTACTAAATACTCGGTGTGATCCAGTCATGTTTCTGTTCCAATTTATCCAAAAAAAGGTCAAACAAAAAGGTTTGTTTTATCTTTGCATTAATATGGATATTCATGTTACTTTAAGTAGAAATTTTAAGCTAACTTTCTTGACTATATCACTGTTTCAATGAAAAGTCAACAGATTCTTTCATAGAAGCCAGATTGCAGCTTCACATGTTACACAGACTAACATTTGTTGTTGCCTTTTCACTTCTAGGCTGTCGATCGACACTTTAAGCTGCCTCATGCTTCCAGTAAGCCGGTCAGGTCCGCCAACAGCATGGAGGACTTTACCTACAAAACACTGCGCTTTGCTCTCAGAGCCACGCTCAAGACTGCCATTTACAGGATAACCACCACCTTTGGAAGTCATTTAAAGTAAGCTGTGCTTGATTTAAAACAAAAAAATAAATAATACAAATGCAGTAATAGATGAATTTGTCCTCCTGCACACTCTGATGAAATCATTTTTATTCTACATTTCAGCGCTGTCCAGATGTCTGCAGAGCACCGAAAAAGACTGCAGCAGTTTCTGGAGTTTAAAGAATAAGACTGCTCTGGTTTCTGCTGCTAATGTTTGTTGTTGTGGGGATTTTTGCTTGTTTGAACACTGACTTAAAAGAAGTCAGTGAAAGCCTGATAGTGCCTCCTGGAGTATTTTCTCAGCAAAAAATACAGACTGTATTGGACATTTGAGCCCGACTCCTACATGCAGGAGGACAACAAAAACCTTTGTACACTCAGGTCCTTCAACTAAAGGATTGTTTGTGAAGAAAAAAAAAGATTGTTTTTGAACCCTGTCTTTGCCAAAGTTCTTTCTGTGTTCATCTCAGTAACCCCCTTCCTAATGACAGAACCTGTTTTGAAATTAAATGTCTAGTTGTCTCAAACCTGTTGAGTTCTGATTTTGGAATTTCCTTCCAGCTTTTTTACATCTTCTCAGTTAAAACAGATCAGATCTCTGGGGTCATACATGTTTAATGTGTGTTTGTGTATCAGGATTTTTTGCTAGATGAGGATGTCCTGTTGGATTACATGCAGCTCTTTGAGTGAATGTTTTCCAATGCTCTTATGAGTTTGATTTTCCACTCTTGAATAAAAAAAGAAAAACTAAGATTTGTGATGAAATTAATTTTGAAATCTCAAAATGAAAACATACATACCTTCTTCCCTCAGGGTCTGATTCTAGAGAGAAACAAATATGATGTTCACCCATGCGATATTATATTTTAGATGTAAAAACAGGCTATTTCAATTAAGAACTTTAACATTGCTGAAAAGTTTTCTCTCAATTACTGGCATCTTCAGATTTCAAAGCCTTCAGATGAAAATCCCATGTTTTCTCCAATATCTCAAATCTGTAATTAGTCTTAGAACTTTTGTCATCCATAATTTGTACTGTATTATGTCTGATTCTCTTAGCCACACTTCAAAATGGGAAAAACAGGAGAACATGCCTTTCAAGTTAAATCTTAAGAAATTGAATGAAAAAAGGTGACAAAAAAAATCACTGGTGTAAAAACTTCAAATTTCTAACATGAAAAGAACCTAAATCTGAATTTATTTTAAGGAATATATTTATCAACGTACATTTGCACCAGTACAGACCACTTTTGTTCTGGGACCAGAGCAATGACAGACCACTAAATGACAACATCAAGAGCATCATCTTTTTCTTTATTGCACAAATTGTACATATTTCCAAATAAACCAGTAGAATGCAATATGAGGCAGTGGTGGGAAAAATAGTTTAATCAAAGCCTTTTCTTTTATATGTATGCAAGATGTCAAAAAAATAGCACATGGGAAAATCTGGATAGAACTTTTCAAAGTTATGGAACAATTATCTGAACAAGAAGAATCAAAGTTGTAATACTTGTAATGACAGCGGTCAAGAAACGGGGAAAGAAAAATGAACACATCAACGTTTTCTCCCGTGGATTTTAAAAGTATTTTTTCCTCATACAGTATAGAATATAAATCTCTGCATCAATACCAATCAAATGTTTTGACTTTTTTTTGTCTCCTTTTTTCTGAAGTCAAACAGCATTTGCTGAAGTTTTTTGTTTCCTTTTTTTCTTTTTTGTATTTTACAGTTCTAATATATATTTATATATATGTACATATAAATTCAACTAACTACGGTTCTCATAGAAAATGAGAAAAGCTCGACTTTATCGCTCTCACACAGCAACTGACTGGTAAGCAGACTGACCCAGCCGCTCCCTCCGTCCTCATCTTTCAGCCAGTGTTGACAGCGCAGACAGGACTTATGTGCTGAATGCAAAACCAAAAGCCCTCCAACCTGGGTCAAGTCTTCTTTTCAAGACTTCAGTTTAGACTTTCTTGCCAAAAGCTTGAGGGATTCAACTGCTTCAACTCAAAACCTGTTCTTTACAGTCACGGCAAGAAAGGATAAGGTGTGAATGAACCACTGAAATAACTGCAACCTAGATTATTCCCTTCTTTCTTCACTCATAGGCAGTGTTTACATTTTGACCGATCCAGGTTGGGTCTGGCGTTTAAAAAAAAAAAAAAAAAAAAAAAAAAAGGGAAAATGCAATCACATAATCCCCCTGAGAGGTTAAATTCACCTCCGATTTGTCGTATTTATCAAGAGGTGAGTTGAAGCTTTCCTGTCATAGATGAGTTTCAATTTGGAGAGAGAGGGAGGAAGAAGAAAACGAAGGAAACGACCTCTTCTCGGTCAAGAATCACGCAAGTGCAAAATATCCCATCTCAAAAGGGACAAAGAAAAAATTAAACTCCGCTGCTGCGTTTCCTATGACAAATTCAAGATGATAGCTCCTCCCCCATCATCAAGCTCACTAATTCGTCCCTGATTCAAAGTGCAACCAGCAGTGACGAAAAGAACAGGAAAGCACAAAGATAATTATGTAAAAAAGAAAACTACCGCCTCAAGCTGCTCCAAATTAAAAACAAACAAGCAATTATGAGACCGGGGTTAAAGCGGAGCTCGCCCCTACGCAGTCTAAATCTTAAAGGGAATCACATTTAGGGGATAGTTGAAGGTGTATGCCTGCATCCTTTCCTTTCCTTTCTGCTGAACTCTTTCTCGAGAGCAGGAGTCGTTTAACCCAGATTGAGGTTATGGGTCTGCTGGTGACGTAAAGCTCACTGCACATCGCCCGCCTTTCGCCACATACAACTTTCCGAGTCACCGGCACGTAGAGAAACAGGGGGGCCTCCGAGTGGTTCAGAAGGTCCTAAGCGCTCACTAAGCCTCTGTGCACAAATTCCCACTAAAGAAACAGGATTGTGGAAGTGTTGCAATCTACAGTCGGCGTGTGCACACATCGTCGTCGCTCTGCTTCAACAGTATAGTACGTTAAGGTAAATGTGTCTGCTTGGTTGCGTTTGTATGCGTCTGTGGCTCGTGCCAGTGTGTCGATAGTGCTTGCCTATGTGCATCGATTCAAGGGCAATAAATTGTGAGTATCAGTTTATGTATGTGGGTGTACGTCTGTTTGTCCGGGGCTCAGGACGACATGCACTGGACGTGGTCCGGACCGCCGTCCTCTTCGTCAGAGGAGTCAGGAGAGCTCCAGGACTCGTCGGTGTCTGCGTCTGCTCCCTCACGGCGAGCCTGCGTTGAAACAGGATCACTGTTGCTGAAGACAATGCTGCCGCCGCTAAACATTAGGCTTTAAATCCATTTTGTAGAACCAGTGCTTTTTCTGACAGAAAAGTGGGACGTTGTCCAGCACAGATCTCGCTGTTAGGGTCCCCACTTTGATCCTACATCCTTATTTGACTGCAGTTTATTTGAATAAACTTCAGGTTTTGTTTTTTTTGACATTTGTTTTGACATGTTTTAGCAGTTAGGGCTCAAAACAACGTAAAATGTGAACCAAGGCAACCAGAATTATCTATTATCAATTTAATGTCGGATTTCCATTTTTCTCCAAAAACAAATGCCATTTTAATTTAAATTTATGAGGAATCAATAAATTTTTGATTAAGATCTGTGCCCCCAAAATTTAATTTTTTGATTAACAGTTACTTTAATCTAAATGAGAAATATAAGACCAAATTTGTTAATTTGATCTTTTTGACCATCCATCCATCTAAATCATTAAATCTTTGTTTACATTCACTTTCATACTTTGGAATAAATTGAAGAGGTCATATTAAAAAAGAAACAGCTTTTAAGGAAAGTTACTGCGTTTCGAAAATCGTTGAAAAATAACTGATTTTTTTTGGAGCAGTAGCCAAAATTAATTCACCTTGTAAACCAGTATTTTTTGTGTTCAAAGTATTTTTTTAACATTAGTTTTTAAAATTTCAAACTGAAATGTTGCATTCTGAGGGAATATTGGTAATTTATGTAGTTTAAAGCACCTTTGTTTTATGCAATTAGTTCATGCCAATATTCCAAACTGAAAAATAGATAATCCAATTAAATCTTTGAAACCACAGGATTATTTGACTCACCCTTGGAGGTCGTCTGTTTCTCATGTGTCTCATCAGGAACCACAGCAGCTGGGTGTCATACTGGTCGCCATGACGCACGCTGTCTTCATCGCGCTCCCTCTTGTTTTTCTTCATCACCTTTCAGAACACAAGAAGCGATCGGTAAAATATGAAGATGAACATCACAATTTCTTGGACTGTAAAAGTGTATGAACAATATCAGCCTTTAAGCAATTAGGAAATGAATTGGGTTTAAAATAATCTGACAAAAAAATGTTACCAAATAAAGGTGTAAGAACTCACTCAAAGCATTTTGTACCCTATTAAATAAAACCCTTCTGAAATTTTCCATAATTGAGGCTCTTAGTTTTAGGATTTTATTGTGAAAATCAGATAGAAACTTACCAAACCCAATCAATCAGTATTTATCATATAAAACCTGTGCACCAAAATCAATTTTTAAGAAATGGGATTGAGCAGGAGTCATACCTCTTTCAGACCCTTGAGTCCAGTGGGGTTTTCAGCAGTGGGTGCCCACAGTTTGATATCATGGTCCAACCCACTGGTCGCCATTCCTGGCAGGTGAGGGTGCGGCTCCAGACAATTCACCTGGAGTTACCAGACAATCACTGAACATCACAAACCCTGAACTTAAAAGTGAAAGTGAACGGAACAAAAATCTGTTTAGCTTTACACAAACTGACTCCTTGAAGTTGAAGCTACAAGTTTAACCAACTAATGTAATATTTTAAAGTTTATTTTAAAACTCACCACTCCTCCTCTGTCTCCCTCCATGAACTGCACGATGCGAGCAGAGTTTTTGTCCCACAGGTAAATATGACCACAGTCACTGCCGCTGACCACAAACTCACTGCAGGGACCGTAGAAGTTCACACCCTTCACTGTGAAACAGAAGAGACGCAGAGTCAGTGTGAGAGCTGGAGGGAAACTCAAAATGGCTGCTTCGTTTTACAAACCAAAGAATCTGAGGAGTAGAGAGACGTATGATCCATCCACACAGATTTAAATTTCTTTAGAACTTATAAACAAAACCTCATTATGGCATGAGTAAAATGACAAAAATTAGTTTAAGTTTATTTTCACTAAACTTTAAAATGGCAAGCTATGAATAATCAATAATAAATTCCAAAACAGCAGAGTGCTGCTGTTAGTGTAACAATTAGGTATAGTGTGTTCACTCTTAAGTTTTTCCAATCATTATTGAGACTAACATCATCTGTTTCCAGTCAGATGATTCCTTGTTCTGCCGCTTTATTGGCAAAAAATAAATACCTGTGGCATTATTACGGTGCCCCTTGTATCTCCTGCGATAGTCTGCCCCGTCACTGTGGTTGGAGTCAAATAGGTAGATGTCTTCATCGTTGTAACTTGCCAGGAGTTCTAAAACGTCAAAAAGTAATTTAAATATTGCAACACTTTATATGTGTTAAAATTCAGAACTTTTCTGGGCTTGAATTAATCATTTATTTCCATTTTAAAATATAAAAGTTCACAAAGAAATTATGACATATATTTTTGCAGAGGTCTTCAATTTGTGTCACTTCAGTCCTTTAAAATAAAAAAATAAAAAACTAAAAGAGAGGAAGGACAAAATCAAGCACAGAAGACGTAAAGGACAGAAGGAAGGAGGACAGAAAGGAGAAAAGAATGACAAATGTAAGCTGAGGTAGGACACAAGCATAAACTGGAGGAAGAACAGACACAAGAAAAGACAAATGATACAAGAGAAGGATGGAGGAAAGAGAAGGGTGGAAGAAAAGAATATTGAGAAAAGATAAACAAAGACAAAACAAGATGGAAAATTGAAATGAATAAATAAGTTACTTTTTTCACACTACCCAAATCTAGATATTAAAATTTTCTATATTTTCTGTTAATTTTAGTCTACTGTATATTTGCTTGAGATAATTAAACCTTTAACTATTGTTCAAAGCTCATCCAAATAACTGATTCATTTATGCAGCTGATGCCAAATCTAATGTTAGCGTCCCTCTGCACAGACAAACACATAGTAAATCTTTTATTGAGAGACACAACAGGTCAGACTGCTGTAGTCAGACAGACATATTGGTACATTAAACTGACAGGAAGCCAAAAGATGAAAAATGGTTGAGTTCTACCTGTGCCATCATGACTGTACACAAGACAGGTTATGTTGGTTTTAGACTCGCTGGAGACCAGATGTGAAGGACAAAACTTTTTCAGAACGCCGTTGTTGTCATTTTCATCAATCTTCCTCTGATCATAAATTCTAATAAGAAAAAAAAAAAACAGCAGAAAATAAAAACAAAGAAGAAAAAACATGTAAAAAAACAAAGTCACATTAAATTCAGAGGTCTTCTAATAAATCAGGCAGGATAAAGAATGCAGGAGCCAGAGCACAACTCATACCTTATATACTGATCCCTCCCACCAACTGCAAACTGGTGTGTCTTTGCAGGATTGACAAAGATGGTATACAGTCCCACTTTTTTATCGCCCTCCTTTACAACCACCAGTTTACTGCCAAACAAGAGATAAGGAGACAAAGAGGAAACATGTCAGCTCCAGCAATATAACATGCAAACAAAGCACAGTTGGAAATCCTAAATATACCTAAATTCATTAACCTTTTATGGCAGTGGCTTACTCACTCACACAGAACATTACTTAACACCAGGTGTGATGTTAAATAAACATGAATCATGCAACATATTTACAAGAGAGATTTGTGAAGCATGTGATGCCCAAGATAATTTTAAGAAGCAGTTTTTGTTCTTTTCTTGCTTTAACACGTTTCATTCCAACCCCAAACGAATAGAACTTACTTGGCAGGACGATCCAGGCGCAGGTCGATACCAAACACCACGGCGTCCTCTCCAGCTGACAGAAACGAACAAGGCGAGTCCGGCTCCAGGGCCAGCTGACGGCACGATAAAAACAAAAGTGAAAAGGCATAAGAGTCACAGAAGTCTTTCACTTTCTGGTTTACAACAGCCTTTGTCAGCATGCCCACCTTGTGTGCTGCTCCTTTATGCTGTGCTACCCGCTTTGTGTTCTTGCAGCGCTGCGTGGCCGAGAGCTCAGCGACTCTGATCTGACCGTCACGAGCACACATCGCCAAGGTGGAGTCTCCGCTGTGAGGCAGGAACTTTGCCTATTAGAACCCAAGAGCAAGAAGAAAACCCATATCAGTCACATACAGATTATGATTTTACTTTAATCATTTGTATTTACTTCAGTAACTTTTAAAATTGTTTTATGATATTATTCCGTATTTTAACCAGAAAATGTCCTTTGGTTTGTGACCTAAATACCATCAGTGCTAAACAATTTGTAATTGTTCTTTTGTTGTTTTTTTACTAACCACAACCATTGCAAAAATTTACAAGGTTCTTACATTTGTTTCATCTCATAGTTTAAACCAGATTTTTGAAAGAGCTTGAGAAATGTTTACTGAAGATATTTCTGCAGTTGCTAGGCATTGAATATGAAGCTACATCAACAAGAAAAACTGTAAAGAGGATGGATGGACAAAATGAGAGAGAATGCATGAATGGCACAAAAGTGGATAGATATGTGGACAAATAGAGACAATGGGTGAATGATGGATGGGCAAACAGTGGTTGAACATGTCTACATATTCAGCCACTGATAAATTTTAAACAACCCAAGAATGAACTGACTCTCGTCCCCACACCTCACCTGAAACACATTACTCTTATGCCCGCTGTCAAACTCCAGTTCTGCCCGGCGGATGGCCCAGTCCCAGATCACCACCCGCAGGTCGTCGCTGCCTGACGCCAGACGCGTCCCAGAGGGGTTGAAGTGCAACGTGTTGACGCAGCCAGTGTGGCGCTCCAAGCGTCCCTGGAGCTCCAGCCTCTGCACGAGGCCGCGGGCTCCACACACACGCCGAACAAACTGGTGTGAGTTCCTGCCGATCTCTCTGGAGCGAAGAGAGGGCACCGCCTGCCACGTCGGCCCACAGAGGTCATGGAGCTCGGCGCCCAGCCATGTCTCCATGGCCTCATCGTCATCATCGTCGTCATCATCCTCCTCCTCCTCCTTTGGCTCATCATCGTCGTCGTCGTCGTCTGAGCTGGAGGAGTGATTAGTGCCCCCTCCAGGTCGGATTCTCTTTCTAGGGGCCCGTTTTCCTCGATCCTTCTCTTTGCCCCTCTCTAGTCTCCCACCCTCACTCTCCCTCTCTCCGTCCTCCGTGAAAGAAAACAGTCCACTACCGTCCATGCTGTCCGTGTCTTCCTCCTCCTCCTCGCCTTCTCTGCTTGCAGCTGTCTCTCCTTCTGCCTCTGGTATGCCTTTGACTCCAGACGCTTCTACTGTTTCTTTGGGAGCTGTGGAAACAGGAAAAGGCCAATATGTCAAGGCAACGCAGTCTCTGTGGCAGATTCAAGAAGATTCAGTTAATTTTTTCTTTCCCTCTGTGACCTTTAGCATCCTATGGATATTCATACTTCTGTAGGTTTGTGCCTTCATGTAAAACTTGTGATGATCAAGTCCTGAACGGCTATCTCTACACTCACGACTGTTCTGCAGCGATACTCCATCAACCAGAAAATGTCACTTTCATGTACAGATTGAATTCCTGAGACTTGGAATTAAATTGTCAATATAGCAATATTATGATTTTTGAATGGCTATAGTGCAGTGTTAATATTTTGAAACATATGGGATCAATCTAATATATTTCCAAAATTCCTACTTTAATTACAAAAGGAAAAAAAAGCTGACTAGCATTGGATTAAGCACACATGTGCAAAATGGTTTGTTTGGAAGTAGTAACAGACAAAATGGGAACAAGAGGGAACAAAATGGTGAAGTAAACTGACTTGGAGCACACTGTGGCTCCTAACATTTTCAAGGAAACAGAAAAAGAATACAAAATCAGCTTTACCGTCTTCAGAAGAAGATTGTGTCTGACTGTCTTTACTTCCAGAGGCGTCCCTGTCCTTGTGCTGCTCTTCTCCGGGCTGTTTTTCTTCTGAACCACCTGATAAACACAAGCATTTTTTTTTCTGATAAGCTCGCAAGTCCAATAGGCACAAAAACATATGTGGCTATGATTAAGTCTACAAAACTGTGCATTATTATATACTCCACCATTAAGCACAGGGGATTTTCCGTCAGCTTCAGCCATTCTGTCTCCTGCGTCGTTTTGAGGTAGAAACTGTAAGATATCAAGCAAGAAAGGAGCATTAAATATGTTTGCTGACCAAACATGAAGATAAAGTAAGAAAAGAAAGCGAAAACAACCAGAAATTAAATCATCTCCGTCGCAGATTAGCCTTATAACTTTAAAACTTACTATCAGGCTACTTTTACCAGGTCTACAATGCTGCAGCTAATATAACACAACTGACTTCCCAGCTAGCCGACACAAAGGCCCAACCAAAGCCGTGTTTGCTTTGTGGTGTCAGTCTTCTGCGACTGTTCCTCAACCTGACACTCGTTTCATCGAAAGTAAAAGCTACATAGTATGTGTAAGACGAACAAACATTGAAGCTAAGACAAGGCATTCAAGTCGTACTCAACAAGCTAGCTGTCAAAATGCGGGTACTTTAAATTGCTAACTTAGCATTGCTAGCGTTACCTCTACTCGTAGGCCCGACGAGGCGCACTTCTTAGTTTAGTCCTAATCTTTATTGCAGATTTGTTTTCTCCACCTCGCTACTTGGCAAACGAGCTAAGTGCCCTGAGTAGGAGTTCTCTGACGGCAAATACACGACATTAGGAGGGCCTGCATTTAGCTGCCTCTTGCTAAAAAAGAAAAAAAGTCAAACAACAATACGAGCTAGCTGCGTTCACACAAGGTTGTCTTCTGCTCTGTTTATGTTTTGACGATCCAGCTTCTTTTTTTTTTTTCTTGCACAGCTCCATTTCCGGTGTCGTACGTGCCTCTTCTATTTATAATTTTTTCAAAACCGGAAGTTTTACATAAAAAAATAGTAACCATTATCATCAACATTATTATTATTATTATTATTTATTATTATTATTAATAGTAGTAGTAGTAGTAGTAGTATTTACTGTACTGGGTTTTCTGTCTGCATTTATTTTTAATATCTGAATTATGATTATAATAGTGGAGGTGTATCCTATCACAGCCAGTTAGAAAAGCTAATAAATTGTACTCCAGAGAATAGGGACAAAACAGGTCTTATGAATGAAGCACGAAATTTGAATAAAATATACACAAAATATATGTTAAAAAAATATCTGACCAAACTAACCTGGGCCATATGAGCATAACAATATATGTTTTCCTGGTATTTGCTGACTATTTTTTATTTTAAACATTGTAGTAGGTGAATGGTATCTTTAAAATCCCTTGTCCTGGAGCAAAACTCAATACATTATAATAGTTTAAAACAATTAAAGGAATACTAAGATAATATATTATGGCAATTAAGTATAATAATTCAAATAAATAATTATAATTATATCAATAAATTAAATTAAAAAGAATTTTTATATATTTTCCAACTCCATTGAAATTTGTCCCAAAAAGAATGTAAAAAAAAATCAGGCATTATTAGGGGCATCGGAACTTCTGAGGACCCCATGACCTCTTCCTTTCCATCCTTTGCTAAGAGGGCTAGGCAGCCCTAGTTAGCATATGTTTTTCTTTAGTTTTTTTTTTCTTCTGTTTTATTCCTAAGTTGCTCCTCACAACCATGATGTGTCAACACCATAACTGACAATTTTCAAAATTGTGATTACATTTTGTGAACTAAATGCTTAATTTTGGTATGTTGTAAATATTTCATGGACCTAATGAGCTACAAGATGGCCTCCTTCAGAATAACATCATATTTGGCATTTTGTCAACTCCGTCAGTTTTTAACTTACCGTGTGACTCTTTCAGTGATAGTGTTGACAAATTTCACTTAAATGTGCAGTTAATTTATTTTAATGTATTTTACATAATTGGCCTTACTTAACATGTATCAAGTATTTCTTTTTACTCACTGGTTTGTCACCATTTTCAGATCTGTGTCAACTCCTTCAGATGGACTTTACGTTGTTTTTTTGTTTTAAATAATATTTCTTTTGTTTCTTGAGAAGCATTTATAAAACTGAATAAAAATATCACTAATAAGGTCACTAAAAAATAATTTTATATTTATTTTAGTCAGATGATGATGACAAAGTTCTGGGACAAATCCTTTAAAAATGTAATTTTCAAAAAAATGTTGCAACTGTGAGCCTGCACCTTAGCATCTTTACATTTCCAAAACATTATTTGTCATATTTGTATACAAAAGCTCGATGAATAAAAATAAATAAGAAATAGGAAAAATTTAAACCCATTTTGTCCCACTTCTCAAGAATCACTGAAGTAAGCCCAAAAAGTATTTTGGTAAAATGGTTACTCAAACACTAACTGTTTTATCATAACATATGATTTTATTAGTGAAAAGGAATGAGATAGACAAAATGTAATATTTTGTGTAAATTCTTGTATTTAAAAAGAGTAAAATAGTAATAACCAAAAAGAAACAAATAAAAATAGGTTACATCAATGCAAAATGACAACTTCAGGAAGAAGAAAAAACAACTGATTTCAGTTGTTTTCACCATGTAAATCCAAGTAGTCAGTAGGTCATTTATATGTTAAAACAGAGCAAAAACACTTCCAGTGACAGTGCCAACTATTCAGTATCTTCATTTTACCTCCAAGTGGCACAACAAACTTAGTTGATGCAAAATACCAGGAATAATGAAGCTTGTATACAAAGGAGACATTTGACTTTAATATAAGTTGGAAGTAAGTGAATGATGCAGTTTGCCTTGTTATTCATTCAGAAAGTAGCTGTAAGTGGCTAAAGTAGCCAGAAATTGTAAGAGTAGCATTATTAATATCACTCAAGTAAAAGTAAAAAAGAATGACGCAGTAAAATTGCTCAAAGTAGTTTTATTTTAATTACTTTTGTAAATGTAACTGTGTAAACATACCCAGAGTGCTTTATTATCTATATGAAACATTAATAACAATATAGTATTTGCTTTGAGGAATTGTGCCTCTGTCAATGTATACCCTAACCTGCAGGAGGAAAGTGAGAATAAAATGGCCACTGTTTTGTAGGTCTTTTAAAAAAATATTTTTAGCCATGAGTGAGACATTAATTCTGAATATTCTTGCATATTTGGCTGCTATAACTGAACATCATTTGACGAAATAATCAACCACAACCTTTCAAGTATTATGTTTATTGGGATGATGTTCTCATTCCTTGTGAAAATGTATTGATTTTTGCCACCAAAACCCAGTTCTATTATATAAGGTGTCAGAATTATAACTAGTATTCGGAGGCTGCAATGTTTCTGTTTTATTGCAGTGAGACATAAATAGAAAAATGTCAGGGGTTCAACAGTGGCAGAGAGAGAATTTGTCCTGTTGGGGGTGTTCTGTGATCAACCCCTGCTATCGAACCTTTGACATAAACACAGGAAGGAAGGAGATCCAACGTTTCATCCTCAGTTAGGGAGCCAGATGTTTCTGAAGTTTCACATTATGAGCTGGACAGAAAAACTAAAGAAAATTCTGTATAATTCAGTCTGATAAATTTAACATAGAGTCACACAAGTTTACATATTATGTCCTAACTGATGAAGTGAGCTTTGGGCAGTTATAACTGACATATTTGAAATTTCTAGAAGCTAAAATTTACTTTTTAGCTTCATAAATCTTTATAAAGATTTATGAAGATTACCAGAATTTGCATATAAAATTTTTTTTTTGGCTGTCTTGATTGTAAAATCTAAATTCTGATGTGATCAACTAAAATATGTCTTTACTCTTGATTAATTTCTTACTTGGCTGCTTTCCATAACTTTTTACTTTCACTTGTCTGCAAATATATCTGAGTGGTGCTATTTTTACCTGAGTAAAATCTTTGGTTGCTGAACCCACCTGTGATCATAGAGAAGATGTATTTGTCCCCATTAACAACCAACCTTAATTAATTAATTTATTGATTGATTACATGAGAAACACCTGTCACAGCCTTAAGCATACAGTCGACATTTCCTCTTAGCAAAAAAAAACAAACAAAAACAAACAAACAAACAAACAAATTGTGACGGGTTTATAATGTTAAGTAGCATCGAAAGTGACAGCTTCATCTCTACAAGACTTGCTAAAGGAGAGGTGACGGTAAGATCTGTGCAGGAAGGGGAAGTTTAGACAGTTTGAGGGGGTTTCACATCAGCCAGCCGCCCCCGTGAGTCGCAGAAAAAAAGCTGCAGCGACACGGCGGTCCCACCAAAGGCGATGTTCGCGTTCACCAGTGGACGACGGCTGGAGGAGCGGCTTCTGTTATGACGCGCGCGGATTTAAAGCAAGATTAAAGTTTTTCTTATTTCAATTACGCGTTGACCCGCTGCGGAGATGGAGTACTGGAGGCAGTGCGCGATGTGGCTGATCGGCTGCAATGTTCTGCCGGCGAACCACCGGGTCACGGCGGACACGGCGCAAGTGTTCGACCTGGCGCAGACCCTGCGGGACGGGGTGCTGCTGTGTCAGCTGCTCAACAACCTGAAGCCCCACACCATCAACCTGAAGGAGATCAACCTCAGGCCGCAAATGTCACAGGTACGCTGAAACTTTACAAGTCTGCTTGTTCTCGTTACGCGTGCAGGGGAAATGTGAAATTGGCCATGAAAACGATTTAAAGTTGTTCAGCAGAAAGTCACTGACATCCTTGTACAAACATCTTAGCTGAAGATGTTTGTCTGTTAAGGTAGTACGAGTATTAAAGCATATTCATGGAAAGTAAAGTGGAAGGAAAAAGTGTGGAAAGAGCTTTTTCAAGCAGTTGAGACATACAGGACTGGACAGATCAAAAGCAGCTGGCTAAAAGGAACTGCAGTAAACAGGGGCGGCTCCTGCATGTTTTATGAGACCTGTCCAAAATTTCTGAGTTTATTTTGTAAAAGTTTGTTACTATTTGATGTTTAATCCTATTTTAGCAAGCCTGTAAATGAAGGTTTTAAGAATTTATATCCCAAAAAGCAGTTGAGCTGATGATCTAAATATGTAACCAGCTTGTCAACTGAGGGAGGCGATGGGAGCCACACACATTAAAAAAGGGGACACAAAAGAGAAAGCATCCTAGCATAATATCAGTATTGCAATTAATTACAAATTATGCCTGTAAAAGTAAAAAGCAAAAGTAAGAAATATGTACAGAGGACAATAAATCAACAGTTTTTAAGAAGGCTAACACACCAGGCTAGCACAAATTTTAAACACAATTTATATTGGCACACTATAATATAATTTTGCATAGTTATGAACCAACATTTAGCCTTAATGCACTGCAAAAAAAAAAAAAAAACGTATCACATCGGTGTGAATTTTTTTCTCTCTAACTTTTGGCTTGATTTTAGAATAGATCTTCTAATAATAAAGACTTGCCGCTTGAGGCAAACGTCTGGAACAAACTAATTTTCAGCATCCAGAGTTCTTTGGTGTTTTGCCAAACTGATTGGTATGAATGCAATCCTCAAGTTATTGTCAATGGCTTTTTTTTAGTGGCTTAATTTGTTTAAAACTAATTAATTTGACAGATGTTTTTTTTTGTAGAAGCAAGTTGGAATAAAAATGTCCTTAGAGTATTAAAGTCTTTGCAGCCATTGGAGAAGCCTGATAAAATCCTAACTTTGATCCACCCGTTAGACAGGAAACATGTGCAGTTTTTGCTGCAGGAGCATGTTTTCTTAAGGAGGAGCTTGAAGCCCAGTAGCAAACACTTTCAGACATAAAGAGTGTTAAATAAGAATTAAAAACAAAATTTTTTCTCAGGAAACGTCAGACCTCGATTATTGTAATTTTAATTTACAACCTAAATATGAGGAATGAAAGAAACTGGGAAGCACCTAAATGCAGCACCTTGACAGTTTATGGTGAATATAACATGCTGGAAAAAAAGATCCATGCCACATGCGGGATGTTTGAAATGTTCAAATTTCAACAAGGAGGTGGAAATGAAACACTAAACTAAACTAAAACTAAGCCTGTCAAACTGCAGATGCTAAAATTCCCACTAACTCAAGAAAGCTGAAGATAACTACAAATAGTATTCCCTCTATTACCATTATATTAGCTTTGTAACAGCCTTTGGAGATATCGTCCGCCCTTGATGATACTTTATAGAAATCACATACCTTACAATGAGACTAAAACAGAATAAGGTGATTACAAGCATGTTGTGGCGAGACATAGTTTCCAGAGACATGCGTGTCAGGGGAGGGATGTGGGTAATTGTCAATTTATTATGATCATATCTTAACCTTCTGAATTGTAATCACATCAGTTCAGAGTCCCCGAAGATACCCAGCCCCAATTCAGAAGCTTAGAATTAAGTCTGTAACCAATTTTATCAATATGTTTCAGAACATGGAAGGTGTGTGAAGGTCATCACAGAGCATTTTAGTTTTACACAGAGCATTTTAGTTTTACACAGAGCATTTTAGTTTTACACATCATGATCAGCTTCTCGTGTGGCAATGAGAGACCTACTTATAGGCTTTCAGTCGATAGTCATTTTTCATTAATGGGGAGCTGGATTGTACTCGAGACAACGATCAATTTCACAAACACTTTGACATGTTCGGTATTTGTTTTCCCTGCTGGCCAGGTTGTGTTTTCTCATTTTTATTTAAGCTGTACATATTCTGAGAAGACAAAAGGCGTTGCAAGAATGCGCGTTAGCTGAACATGAACAAAGCCCGGTAGGTTAATTTGTTCTAATGAAGGCAAGCGTGTCACCGGATGAGCTGCTGTGGTTTCCACAATATTTACGGATGAGCCGATGAGATAAAAAGCATAGGTCACTCTTTGAACCATGCTTCCTGTTCACAAACACAGGCAGCATCAGAAGTGATATTAGATTCTAAGAGCTAAGAGGTAGAGATCATAAAAGGAAACACAAGGAAGCAGATCTAAGAATAACTTTGCAAAAAGCTAGTACTGCAAAAAGAAGAAGAGAATGTACACAAGCAATCACAATTTAAAGAGGCAGTAATTGAACTTGAAATCCTTTCTCAGTATATATATTTTTATGACCCAATTATGCATTGGGGTGGTTGGTGTATTCTCTGGCTGTTCCATCTATGTGCCTTTTCCCCTTCATTTAAAGACACTCAAAGTGAATTCAGAGTACAAGAACCCAAACAAAAGAATCTTGTGGCCTGCAGCTGTAGGCCATATGAGTATAGAGTGAAGAGAGGCATGTGTGTCAGTCAGTGAGCTCCTGATTTGAAAATGGCATTTTCATTGTTCTCCACCCTCCCAAGCTATATTTTTTAGAAATGAAAATGGTGACTTGAAGTGAATGAAAACAATGAAGAGGGAAGCATGTTATGAAGTCAATGTGTTACCTTTAGCTAAACGTTTGGCTTCAATGCAAAAATAATAGATCTTCTCCAATTTTTAGCACAATATGCCTCATCTTTTCATAAAAAGCAAATCACAAACAAAATTTTATTTGACTGTACACAGAAACATGAATAAACAAAGTAGAACTTGAAATTAAGGCTGCATATTACAGGTCTATAAGAAATATATTGCTTTTGCAGAATCACTTTTATGCATCGCATACATAACATGAACTGCTGAAACTGGCTTTTGATGATTATTTCCGCACAATTCTTCAGTACTAAGAATATCAACTCACAATAGCATTTTAAAGATAAACCACGAGATAGTCTGTAGCTTTTCTATTTCATTTTGCCTGAAAGAAACAGAACGGTACGGTACAATGGACTGTGCACAAGAGCTCTGACTCTAGATTCAGAAGCATGAGGCTTCTGGTGCTGCAAAGCCATCATGTTCAAGCACTTCCTCTGCAGAGTATCAGGGCCCCAGGGGGCGGTGGAGTGATTACAGGCGTCTCCACGATGAGCCAATGAGATAAAAAGGAGCCTATCTGTTCTCAAGAATCTTCAAAGAACCTTCTCAGGTTTTATTTTGAGCGATTGCATAATCACATTGTTACAAATATTTAGTATATGTTATCTTACGTTTGCTGTGTTCCTATGTTTACTGTATTTGATGTGTGACGTTGTGCTGCTCACACGCATTTTAGATTCAGGAAAATTTACTGCATTGGTAAATGTGTTCATCCATTACTTTTTAATTTTAATTTATTAGGGGAAAAAAAGTTCTTGTACAACACAAACGGTGCATATGAATTTCCAAACTTTTTACATTCTCAGTCATAACCATATAGGCTCATTGTATATCTGACACCTGGCTTTCCACTGATGCATAGATCCTGGTAGGAAGTGACACTAAAAGAGGGTATACTTTGAGGTTTCATTCGTACTGATAAACTTGTAGTTTTCACTTTCAGTTTTCAGAACACGTGGATCACATTCACTGTAATGGGAGTAACTTCATACTCGTGCTGCCACTATATTGTTTATGCCAGATTTTTATATACATACATATATACCAAATCATTGAGGGTGTGCTTTAATGATGGTTTTCCTTAATTTTCAGTGTCCTACAAAAATAATCATGCCTTTTTTTCACATTAAACTTGCAAATATTGGTCTAGTTTGAGTCACTTGTATATAACTGACCAAAATAAGGTAGAGTATAACTGAAAAATTAAAAGAAAACTGTACAAAGCTTTTCCATAAAAAAAATAATAAAAACCTCAAATACAGTTTGCATTTGTTTTGTTGGCCTCCTTTAGTCTAACCCCTATAGATAAAACTCTCCAGCAGAGGTCTAAAAATAAGGTTCAGATATAATAATGTGTTACAATGTGTGGGGAATTTATTCCTCACACTTGAAGTAAACTTAAGTGTGTAAGCATATAATTTAGTGACCAAATTAACATGAGAAAATTATAGAGGGAAATGTGTTTTTCACACTGAGCGATGAGAGTCAAGGAGCTGAAGTTGTCACCTAACTAACTGCTTCTCTGATTCATGTTGTGGAAACCAAACACCTTCTTTTCTGGTCTAATGTGACGAAAGTTTTCTTATCACGTCATTATGCACACTAAAAATCTGTGCATAAAAAATAATTGTCAAGAAATTTACTTTCATATTGCCATTAAGTTTATTTTTGTTCCTAAACAAAAATGGCTAATTGACACAAGGATTTTTTTATTACAATAATTACTTGTATTCAGCTGTAACTAATTACCTTTATTGTAAATGATGATGTTGATTGTCTTGATTACTGATGGTCTTGTGGAAGTACAGAACTGTGAAAAGATCTTTGAACACAAGGTCAGTCATAAGGCAACCGTGAGATAAATGTAAAGTTTATGGTGAATAATTTCCCAGCAAACATCTGTTGAATGAAATGAAACAAAGCTGAACTTTCTTCAGAATTCCTAATTTACAGTTTAATTAAATGACTGCTTGTATTTGTAAGCATACATTTTTAAGAAATTAATTTCAGGTAAATGGAAAGCAGAAAAATACAGTTTATTCAAAACTGTTTATTTTTTTTGCTAAATGTGATTGTCTTCTCCTTTTAGTTCTTGTGCTTGAAGAACATCAGGACGTTCCTGTCTTCCTGCTGTGATGTGTTCGGCATGAAGAAAAGTGACTTATTTGAAGCCTTTGACCTTTTTGATGTCAGAGATTTTGGAAAGGTGAGCATAACACCCATCCTATCTGTTTATTGCTGCATGGTGGAGGAACTCTGTATTCGAAACAAGAGGAGTTCAACTTTGCTCTACTTTATGTTTATAGCTACTCTAGATATCGCTCTAGTCTTTAGTTGTCTCAGATCTGATGTTGATATCCTAGATGGGGTTGGCAGGATTTTGTAAAAATGTTGACTTTGGATAATTATATTTTCTATTTCTTTTTTTAAAATACAATTGGACTGAGAAATGTAAAACTGCTTTGGGTTGTTCCTCACTGATCATACATTAAAATATTACAAATATATCACCGTTTGAGAAAAAGAAGACAACATGTATATTATTTTCCTATGGAGTAAGATTAAAAGAACGCCCTCCAGATATTTTGCATATTTATAAAAGAAATGTGCTTTCATAATTCATGGCTTTTCTTATCTCATATGTAGTAATAGCATTTGCAATACAAACTATATTCAGTGTCACAGAGAGTAAGGATATATATTTTTGTAGGCTCTAACGCAGCAGCTTCATTCAATCGTTCAGATGTACGGATATCAGGATTTATTTTTTGTAAATGTTGCCACGTGTTTAATTGACTTGTCATAATCTTGTGTATGTACCCATATGAGACTAAAAGGATTTAGTTGTGCAGCCATTGGCCGCTAATCAGTCAGACACACTTCTGAAGGATTATCTGCCTTTTTTGCGTCTGCTTTATTGTGGTAGCTGGTTCAGAGTGTAAGTGCATGACCAGGTCAGCATGTCAGTGTTGCTCTCTGCCTTATTATTGACTCCTGTTCACAGTTGAGAAACAAAGTATAACCCCTCGGAAGAAACCACACAGACTGCGAGTCGTCTTGTTCTCTCCATTTCCTTAGCTGAGAGTACCTGAGAGCAACTTTTATCCCTAGCACAACCATTTCTGTGCAGTCTTTCAGCATAAAAACTTTTTGAATGTTTTGAAGCATTTATTATGTTTTTGTGATACAGGTGCATCTTAGTAAACTTCACTATCATAGCAAATTTTCAAAGTTTCATAGTTATTGAATTCAGTGATTGAATTCAAACTTGTATTATATAGATTCACTGTCACTGTGATACTTTTCAAGGGTTAACTTCAGTTTTATTTTTATGATGACAGCTATAAAAGTCTAAATTCAGTTTTTCTGAAATAAGGTTATTGCATAAGACTAGTTAAAAAAAAATCTCAATATATTGAATAAGCTGAAAAATATTTTTCCATTTACTATTTGCACCTATTTGAGGCTCCCTATACATTCATTACTGGGTTGTGGCATGAAATCAGCCTTGTGGTGCTGTTGAGACAATAAGAAAATCCAGGTTGCTTTAGTTGTGGGTTTCAGCTCATGTACATTGTTGGACAAACTCATCTTCTTTTTAATAATTCAAAACAGAGACTGTGTGGGACATTTTTAAGAGGTAATTAAACCAGTTCATGGCAGTTTTACTACTGTGGACAGATCACATTGCTCCCGAAAACATCATTGACTGTGCAAATTTCACTGTGGATCTCATACATTTGGAATCTGTGCCTCTGATTTAATTTCAGTTTGTAGGACCATGATTTCAAAAGACACGCAAAATCTGAAAAGAGGTCTTTGGACCAATAAGCAACAATCCAGTCCTTTGGTTCAGGAGTGGCTCAACAACAGGAATGAGGCAATTACAGCCTTATTATGTCCTGGATAACTCTCTGTGTAAAGATCTGACACTACCTGTAGTCCAGGTTTTGTCAATCTCCCCAAGCTCTTGAATATTGGCTGCAGTTATCCATGTTGCTTGTTGAGAAGCCAAGTTGTTGAGAAGCAACATGGATAAGCGTATCTGCGTTTTTTTTTCTTCCACTAAACTTTTTGCACAAAATGCTTGGATGGAACACTCTATAAACAGCCAGCATTTTTTGCTGCAGTCTTCCTCATGATTCATAGCAAAACTATGATGTCATGTTTCTGTTTTAAATTAAAATATTTCCTGACATCAATTAGTTGTTCCACAAAGTCAAAGTCTTCAAAAATGCTAAGAATTTTACAGAAGAAATACCTTTTAGTCGTAAAACTTTTGATATCTTTTTAGATTCTATTGAATTTTGGGAAGGTAAAATGTGCTTTATGACTGTCCCTGAGTCTGAAAAATTTAGTTTGAGCTGTGTGCATTCCTGTTACTTTCCTTTCTTCAGTCAGTGTGTTGTGACCTAAAGAAGCTTCCAGTTAATCTGGTTGCTGATAATCCCACAGGGGAGGTGCTGCCTGCAAATATGTACAGTACATGCAAGCCGGGCTGCATAATCTCAGTCATGTTCAAGGGTTATCCATCAAGTGGACATGCTTGTGGTGGGAAAAGGATTGCTCTGTAGCATAGAAATATGGGTTTCCGTAGGTTGGACTGTGTGATTGAGTTGGATTTGTCCCAGAAAGGGCTGTACAGCTAAACAAGAAGTGGTCAATCTCTTCCTTATTTTGAACATTCACAAGAGAACATCGTAAATCTCAGGCAGTCTAATCCACTCGGGTTTGAGTTGTGCCAACTGTGCCCATAGACTGGGCATTAGTCTGCTGAATATCTAATGAGAGCTCTCTAACCTACATTCCTCCGAGTTACTACAGACTGCACTGCAGGCTGCTTCGATGAGTTTATGTAGCAGCATGAAAGCTCAAGGCTATGGAAGAGAAGTGAAGAAGCAAAAATAATTTCTTTCTTTCTTCACTATGAAATAAAGTAGCCCCTTTGAGTTTTTAATGTTAAGTGACATATTTTGATGTTGGACAGATTGAGGAAATTACAATCTGTAAATTTCTTCAATGGGAATTCTGATAAACTTTTAGCTTGTTCAGTTAACCTGTTCATCTTAAAGGTGAAAGACAGAAGTCTTTGCTCTTGCACTGGGTTGTCCACTGTGTTGTATTCCTAAAATAACCAAAAAAGGAAAATGATTAAGTTTGCAATAAACAAATTTAATTCTTGATTGGAAATCTTTCTCAACACTTATTTTAACAAAATAAATATATATGTGTTTTTCTTTAGGATGAGCATAAATCTCTAATGCTTATCCAAAATTTGGACTGGACTTGGTTAATTTTGGTCTTACTAGATTCTAGCATTTTTTCTAACTTACTTTCAATTTAAGACAATTTATAAATGGTAAGACCTGTTTGTGCATAGCACTTCATCCCCAAAGCAGTTCACATGTAGGCATTCTTACAATGATGATGGTGAGCTACTGGATTGTAGCCACAGATGAATTTGTGGTGCTGATGATCTTTAATAAACTAAATTTGCCAACTCATAAATTTATAAATAAGACAAGGTAAATGTATTATCATTGTGATTTCAGAAAAATAAAAAAAGTAAGAGCTTAAAAGCAGATATTAAAAACACAGACAAATTAAACAAGACAAAATGAAATGCAAGAAAAAAACATGAAACTAAATTAGAAATAAAAGATGTAGACAAAATACTTTCTGCTGCCACAAGCTAAATGGAAGTGTTTTCCGCCCGGATTGAAACATGTCCCACTTTTTCAAACTGTTCCAGATTTTGGGAGCATAACACTGAAATGCAGCATCACCAGCCGGAGATGGTGATGTTGAGTGTGAACTGGTTCATATGACTATTACATGTCAGAGATGTACTTTGGCGCTAGACCACGAAGGCACTTTTCATAGGGTTAGAGTTTTATTTAATAAAATAACCTTTTTCACATTGCCCTCTGGGTAGAAGATGCATTTGCTAAATAGGCCACAGTAGCCGAGGCGGTTGGATGTCAGCGAACTTTGTGGTTTTGCATTGCAAGTCACATGTGGCTTAACCAGACAAACTTGGTGTGAGAACAAGTTGTTTTTCAGACTTAAAATCAGTCAGAAACATTCATGAGCAGATTGAAGTTTGTAATGCTAAGAAACTTGCAGCAGTTTTCTTGAATAAGCACTTATTTTGACCTTCAAGAGCAGAGTTGGATAGAGTACCCAAAAAATTTACTCACATATGAATAACAGTGTTCAACTTATTACTTTTACACAAGTAAAAGTAATTTGTATCCATCCAAAAATATTAGTCAAGTAAGAGTAAAAAGCATTTGGTACTTATCAAAACATCTGATTTAAAATTTAAAAATTATGTCAATAGAGGGACAAACAGTGTTCAGATTTTTACAGACAAAAATGAAAAAAAAAAAAGATTAGAAACAAATAAATCACAGAATAACAAATTAAGACAGAAGAAAAACTTTTCAATGTACATTTTTTAAATATAAAACTAAGTTGGTGTAATAAAAGTCATGTTAGGGCTATAAATACTTAAAAATAACAATGCTGATGTTTAAAACAATTTTGCATCCATAGGAAATATCTATTTTGCTTTAGTTTGAAAAAGATCTTAGTTGCTTGCTTTTAATAACCTGTTATGATACAAATGTTCTTTTTTAAGGTGGTTTTTCAAGCTGGTCTCAAGAATCTTTCAAGTTTCAAGTACGCTTGCGTGCTCCAAAGTCACAGCATTTATTCACGCAGGAAGAGGACATAAACTGCGGCTCGACAGGCTGTTAGTTCTAACCTGTCAGATGTCTGTTTATGGTTTTAGAAAACATGTTTGCAAATCCAACCCCCTTGAATAAAGCAAATAGTAATGCAAGTTATTGACATTTAACACTATTCTATGCCAGAGAATTCTGAAAAAGGTCATATTGGCTAAACTTTACTATTTTTTATGCAGTATCTAGTACTAAGTTGGAGAAAATGTGAATAAAAGCACTGAGACATAATTGTGGGAGAGCTGCATAGGTGGATTTTATTATTAGTTTTTTTTGTCCAATGAAAAACAATTTTTTTATTATTTATTTTGATGACTGCCATGCACTCATTGAATGAAGTAAACTTTGAAGGAAAACAAAGAAAGAATTGATTTTATCACTGTCACTTTTTGGACAATGTCCACAACAGCTTTTTTCAGAAACACTTAAATTAATATAAAGGGTTTCATAACTAAAACCGATATGGGGCATTGTGTACCACTACTGCTATCATTGTACTGACACACAATGTGATGGACGGGTGTAAGACAGAGGTAACGTGACCACTTCCTGCAGAGCATGCATGTGCTTGAGGCTGTCACCATAGCTTCTTTCACTTTCATGATTTGAGTTTTAATTCAATGACTCAATAAGTATTGAGTAACTTATCACTTGAAATGATTAACGTAGATCACAATAACAATAAAAAAAACTGATATTTGCTTGCAAATCTTTACTGCGCAGACCTGAATGCAGAGTGATTTTTTAAATTAACTTTAGAAAAATATCTGAAGCTGTATAATTGAATTATGTAATATAAATCTGAAGAAATGCCAATGTAATAAGATAAGTTATACTCACCACCTTAGTAGGTTTAATTGCTTGTTAACACAAATTGCAAATCAGTCAATCACATGTCAGCATCTCAGTCTAAAGTTGCTTTGAACTAAGGAAGAAACAAAAAAGATAAACGTGAACTGAGTTGAAACTTTTTGTCAGCAGTTTTCAACTTGCTAAATGTAATTATTTGCTTTAAAAATCTCAAACAGAAAGTAAACATCATTGATACAGAGCAAAATAAGTTGTAGCACAAGCCTGCAGCTTGTAACTCTTCCAAACAGTATTGGAGTCTCAAAAGAAGCAGACATTAGTCTAAACAATGATGTTGTCAAGAGGACTCTGCCGTCAGGAGGTGTTTTCCCACCAGGTGTTCTCATATGGTGCATTCAAGTACAACTTGTGCACCGGGTTGTCTGTATATCTAAACATCTCCACAGTCATTTGAATGTGGTTTTAATATCAAATGTCTGCAGGCTTATTTAAAAATCACTTAACAAAACCATTGCTTTTCCAGTGTTTTTTAATAAGAACAAGTATGTTAAATATAAATCCATCTAGTTTCATGTGTTCTTGAAAACACTACTTGAAAAAGATACACGATTATTTGTACACAAGTAATTAAAATTGTCTACTTTTCTATAAAGTTGATAACTGATTATTTGGCATCCACAACATACAAAATACAACAGTGATAGTACAATTTTCAAAGGGAAACAATAAATATGTAAGTATGTAAAATGAAGCCTAGGCGTAAATTCAAACTGGAAGACTCTTTAGCCTCACCTGCATCATCCAATCGGTGCATCCCACTAATCACCGACGACCAATCATCGCTGGACCAAGCCATGTCACGGCCAATCACCGACCATGCCCCAGTTGATGAGGACGTCCATCCAAGGCGTCTTCTGCTTTGCTGCTGCGCTCAACCCACCTCCACCCCTTCTCCACCTCCACTGTCCTGGCTCTCCAGGCATACTTCATTCACCGACCTCCACCACCAGTATCGGGTCCCCGGGGGATGACATTCCTATCAGCATCGGGAATGCTCATCCGAGCTTATCGCAATCACAGCTCGATGTCCTTAGCCGGGGTCCGAGCGCCAAAGACTTAATTTATGCATGTCAATAAACTTTTCTAATCGCTTTCTTTCTCTGTCTGAGTCTCTCCAGATTGAAATGAATGATAGCAAAATAGTTGTTTTAATTGGCATTATCTGATAAAAGTGTCAACTTTAGATTTACGCAGTTGCGCATGATGAAAACAGGAAGGGTATGGGGACAAGCACCAGATAAAAATATATCATTTATGCAGTAAATGTGGAAGTTGCTATTTCCTACCTGCTGCAGAGAAGAGTGTGGCTTTTTATGTGGTTTGTGCGAGACAGTGTGAGACTCTGCCATCATCAAAACGCAGAAAATGGTTTTCTGGGAAGGTGAGAAGGTGGGGTGTGATTTTTGCAAGAACAATCAGTTTGGTTAGTGTGTAAAACTTCCCACTTACCCCAAAACAGGGTTTATTTATCCAGAGCAAATAGTGGCCTGTAACATAAAGACATGCTTTTGTTCTTGTGTCTTAGGTAACTTTACAGGTTACCATGTATGCTGAAGAACAGTTCTGTGGAATAAATGCATTCACATGGATATTTGCCTTAAATTAGTCAGGAAATACCAAATCTGACCCTGCATGTATTCACCCAGTACACAATCTTCATACTGCTGAGGAGGACAAAGGGGGAGAAAACTACAAACTGCTGTAAAAGTGGGGGGAATGCAACATAATTACTGTAACACAGGAAAGTTTTCAAAATGAAAGACTTGACATGAACAATATATTTCACTGTGGTCATTGTGTTACCTCTCAGTGCACCAGATTAGGGTTTTTTTTTTTGTTTCAGTCCTCTCTGTTCTGTGTCTGAGCTCAGCTAAGACGGATGTTCAACACATACAGGTGGTTGTTCTGTGGCAGGGTGGTAGAAGCTGCCATTCTCTTGCCAAGAATCACACTTTTTTTTTAAACATAATTTCCCAGTCTATAATTCCTCCTGAACTAAATCAAATACACAAAAAACTCTTAAAAACAAAACAAAAATTTGCAGGGACTTTACTGCAAAATTTTATTGAAATCACAGAAATATAAGGAGCTAAATAAAACTTTATTTAAGGAACGCTTTAATATAGCCAGGAAGAGGCGGTCTTAGCCTGTTTGGTGCCTGGGGAAAAAATCTAATACGTCAATCTGACCTGAGTTTGTGGTTTTAATTTTGGTTATGGTGTTTTTTGGATTCTTCTCTCTGTGTGTTACATAAACATAGACTAAAGACGACTTAAGACTCATTGCTTAAAGTCTTGTGAATTGACTTGATCTGAAACTCGAGTTTTGTTTTTTATCATCAGCAGTGAAAGCAAGCCAGTATTTTAGCCATAGACCGTACTTGTTCTGACAGTTGATGTGCTGTGCTAAGCTTAAATAGGCTGCAAGTGTCTCATAGCAATCTGTAAATCATAATTTAGACTTTGGGGCATTCTCTAGTTAAGCTATTGTTTCATCACAATTACACTTACTGCTAAGAAATATCAAAACAAAAGTACTTCCTGTCCAGTTTATAGAGATTATTTTGTATTATTCACACAGCAATATAAACAATGGTAATGCGATCAAGATATTTCACACACAAACATGATTGTTTTTGTTTCTCCAGGTCATGGACACTCTGTCAAAGCTCTCCCACACAGCAGTAGCACAGCAAGGAGGATTCAAGTAAGTCTTCAAACATATGTACATATATTTCTTATATACATTTAAAATGCTTTCTGCTTGCACCTCTGTTTCATTTCCATCCAGCACCTCCGCCTCCACCTTCCCTCTTTACCGCCTCTGCAGCCAACACTACAGCTGCAAGTCACCCACCAATTTCCAGTTAACTTCATCACAAGAAATATATAAAAAAAATATTTCTTAGTAAACAATTTGATTATCTAACAGTAAAAAAAAAACCCAAAACAAAACAAAAAAACCCACATTAATAAAACCTAAGTTTTATTTAGGTTTTCAAATTTAGGTTCAGCTGTTTCATCTCTTGTTCAGGTTTTGAGAAATCTCATCAAACACATAACTACATTTAGAGATAAAAATGCACTTTTGCTTTTTCTTTCTCCTTTATTCACTGAAGTCTCCCTGCTTTCCCTTCTTTTCCAGGCCTTTTCCACTGGAGGAGAGCCTGAAAGATGAGGACATTTACAACAACCTGGAGGATCTGATTGAGTACGTATGAGGGTTGTCTCTGTGGGCCTTTTTGGGGGTGTCGATGGAGTGTGATTAATTCATTCACAAGAAGATTTAGCTTCTTGCATTCAGGCTCTCCAGGGGGTCTGCAGACACCCACATGTTTGGGAAAAGGCTTTGCTTGGTTTCCCTCTTACTGTCAGAGAAAACAAATGAGTAATTTGGCATATTTTTGCTGAGTCTAGCTGTACAACCCCCATTCAGATTCTCAATGGGAGCTGTTGACAGTGTGATTGATAGAAAAGAATACAATTTTGAGAACACATGGGGCAACTGCAATATTTGTATTTGTTTCTTGCCACATCAATGTTACATAGCAGTTTATCGGAATCATAAACTATCCTGCTGAGGAATTTCATTCTTTTTTATCTGCATGTGGGCATGACGAGAAAGAAAATGATAAACAGCTTTATGAAAAGAAACCTTTGTTGCATCTTTACTGTAGCTGCAAAACACTTTTACAATTTACACAAATTTTGGTTTGTGCAACAAGGTACCCTACTTGTGACAGATGGTTTGCATGGTTTTGATTCGTTAATGTTTGCGTGTATGCGTGTGTGTGTGTGATAGTGAGAATGTTCCAGAGGACGAAGATGACTTGTATGCAGCGGTATACGGGCTGGAAGATGAGTATGCGGGCGGCGAGATCTATGAAGACCTTATGAGGACTGAACGGCATGCACCACTGGTACCACAATGAGTCAGACTCACACAAACACACACATGCACTAAACATTACTGGCATTATGAAACTGCAACTTCTAACCAGGTGTATCACTATCTGGTCCACATCAACATTACAGCATTTTCTTGTAATGAAAGTGTTTAAAGGGCCTATTTGTTTTTCTTTTCACACCCTTTTGAAGGTGTGAAAAGAGTGGGGAAGTCCATGCTTTTTTTTAATTAAATATTTCCTCTAATGTAATGTATTTTAATGGAGACTTTGTAAAATACTGCCATATTCAGCACAGTTTGCATGGTTTAGATGTTAAGTTTTCAAACAAACCATGTAATTTAAAGTTAACAAAACATATCTACTGCAGTGGAGGACAAACATTCAGATCACTGAAACAAGCAAATATTATCAACCCTTAAGAAATGTTTTTAATATGAATTCCACCCAAATTCCAGGTAGATTCAAATGTCTTACTTCTCTACTTGCTCTGTTTTTGGGATAGATTTTAACTGCTTTGTCTGATTTATGCCCTGACTGATGCAGACCTACTTCAGAAAACTAACATGGTTTCTGAATAATCTCTTGCAGTGAAAATGCATTTATTGTCATTAGACATTTTCCATACCATTTCTGAATAGTTCAAACTTTCTGTTGGTCTGTTTCACACCTCATCCTTCAAAATATGTTGTGATTGTCTGGTTGTAACGTGTCAAAAATGTTAAAATGAACAAAAATGGCTTATCTAAAGGTTGTGTGATGAACGTTGATGGAATTGTTTAGTCACTTGCCAACATTTTGGATTGCCTTTCCTTCAGATACCCTAAAGAAAACAATGTCTCCCCATCAGATGGTGACATTCAAACAGCATTTCCTCTTGTGTATCTTCCTAGAAACAGGCAGAGGTTGATGTGCGTAGCTGCTGCCTTTCAGAGATTAAGCAGACGGAGGAGCGATACACAGAAACACTGGAGTCCATTGAAAAGGTGCTGAACCAGTTTTATGTGAAATGTCTAGATTACATCCATCACAACTTGGATTACTTATTTTTGTACCACATTGACTCAACTAGCTTTAACTTGCTGTTTGTCAGAAGTAGAAGTTATTACAATCACAATGACAGACTCGTAAATCTTAATGTGATTGCATGTCTCCATGCAGAATTGGGGGAAATTCACAGTTATCAGTTCGGCATTTCACCTTCCCTTCTTACACTAGTATCATTCATCAAATGACACATCTCTGTGGTTTCAGTATGCATGTATGATTATTTCAAATATTATAAAAAAAAGTGTTAAGAAGGAGTTTCAAAGTATTTTTCTGGTGTTCTTGTTTCATTTCTTTCTAGTATTTCCTAAATCCATTGAAGAAATTCTTCTCTGCAGCTGAGATTGACAAAGTTTTTGTCAATATTCCTGTAAGTCAAATAGCATTTTCCATTTCTTAACAGCAAAATATGCCAGTAAGACCATCTGTTCCAATTCTCATGGCTTTCTACTACAATACAGGATTTGGTTAAAGTTCACAAGAGCCTAATGGGAGATCTGCAAGACTCCATCCTGAACAAAAATGCCCTCAATCTCTACAAAATCTTCATCAACTATAAGGAAAGGTACTAACCAAGTCCAAGACAAGATATAAAGTTGCCTTGTTTTAATTATTGGTTCAAATGTAGGTGTCAGATTAATGCTATTGTTAAAGATTTGGAGACTTTTTTTCATTATTATTCTCTTTGTTGATGAATTTCCTAGGCAAAGTGCAAATCTTTTTCCTTTATCAGTAAATTTATTTAGAACCATTCTAAATAAATGATTGAAGTGTTTGCATTAAAAGTGTCTTTTTATAGAAAGTGTTTGCTCATAGCACACACATTTATAAATACCATTGTATTTTGTGCTATGGTTGTAGTCATAATAAAATCTGAAATGTGTGACTTTTGTTTTTTTTTTTTTTTAAATCTCCCAATCACTTCCATACAGCAAAACTTCTTGAAACCTTTTTACAGCTACAACATTTTAGGGGAATGTTTCTATTATCTCATCTGATCTAGTGACATAAAATTGTAGCCAGTTGCTCTTAAAAAATACTCCAGTTCATCCAGATTAAATGGAGAGAATCTGTAACAAGTGAAATAGTCTCACAACCAGATTTGGGTTTTGCGCTTTAACTTAGCCATTTTCACACATGAATCTGTTTGCTCTGCATCTGTATTTGTTCCATTATCTGGTGGAGCAAGCGGTGCTGAAAGCTGGGATACAGTTTAATGACTTCAGCTTGTTTTAAATATCTTCTTTTTAAACCTTTTCTCCCTGACCCGTCTGGCTCCTTAGTCTTCATGACGCTGATTGTTGCTCTTATGTTCTCTAATGAGCCTCCAGGGCCTTCACATAACAGCTTCATTTATACAGAGGTTGAATCACACACAGATGGGCCTCTGTTTTCTAATTAGAAACCCTTTGAAGGAAATTGGTTGCCTTAGATTTTATATAGCGGTAAAACGAGTACCAGTGGCTAAAGCTAACTGTACACTGCAATTTTAAAAGTTTTATTTGCAAATGTTGTTAAAATCAGGTGTCGCTTTCCTTCTACTTCACAATCATTATCTCCGTTGTTTTGTTCTATCACATAAAATTCCATTAAAATACATTGAAGTTTGTGTTTGAAAGGTGAAAAAATGTGAAAATGCTCAAGGGGCATGGATATTTTTTGCAAAATACTGTATGCTTTCATGGTTGTCAGGAAGTTTTGGATGCCTTGCAGTATGTTTTAATTTAGTAAACCGTCCTTTCTTTCGCCCCGATAGACTTCTCATTTATGGGATATACTGCAGTCGGGTGGAGATTGCCATTGCTGTTTTAGACCTCATCTGCAAAGAGAAAGAAGATGTTCGCTTGAAGCTAGAGGTAAAATTTTGAAAACCACTCTTCTTTTCTAAAATTCCTCATGCCTACATACTGCACAAATAATATTTATTAACCTGTACTGACCCCTAGTGTGTATTTTTTGCATTACATATTCCAAGGCTTTACTCTTCTGCAGGAAATGAAAATGATAAACCAATGAAATTGAAGAAAAATATTTAAACTAGTAAAAAAACACTTATGTTTGAAAAAACCATAAGCTTATTCCAGACCAAAAATATTAAAATCTTTTTAACACAAACACATACATGTCACTGTGCAAATATGCCTGTTCTGTATTTTGTAGGAATGTTCCAAAAGAGCCAACAATGGGAAGTTCACTCTGAGGGACCTGCTGGTTGTTCCCATGCAAAGAGTCCTAAAGTACCATCTCTTGTTACAGGTAAACTCTGTTAAATTACCAAATTGAAAACTTCATAAGCATTTCATAAAAACTAGAATTTTATATTTAGAATAGCTTGTTTTATGTTGAGTCCATTCATGTGACTTTTTATGTTTCACAAATACTCAAATCTTTTAGAATATGGAGAAGTTTTGTCGTCTTTCTTTTCATTAAAAATCTACAAGTAAACACAAGGGGGCGACATCCGCCACATGTTTGTTCTATAATTTTTTTTAAGACTCAATGAAAAACACTATATTGGATGAATAAACACACTTGGCTTTACTCTTAGAATCTGAGCTGGCATACCAAAATTAAGAAAAAAAATTAATCTAAGTCATAGTCTAAATATTTTAAGGAGAAAATCTCTTTTTATGTGACCCAACTGAATATCACTTTACATTTTAAAATGTATTTAATTTTTTGGTTATTGTTAGAGGAATAATGATTATTTCCAGCAATAAAAACAGAGATTAGTTTTGCACATCCTCTGTCGGATGCTTTTATTGTCTCGGATGAAAGTGGACTTCCTGCCTTTCAGACTTGCACCGGTTCCTCTGCCTACTGATAAACTGTATGACATCGTCTCCTCTGGTTTATATGAAGCTGAGGTCAGATTACAGCTGGCAGGGCAGAAAAGGCCAATGCCTACAGAGTGGTTTTAAATCGTTGTAGAGGTTAAAGGCCTCTGTGGTAAATGGTGTTGAATCAAGGAGTTCTTAGCCATGTTCCCTGAGGAGAAACGGTGATGGAGGGGGAAAAAGGAGAAGAGGGGCGAGAGAAAAAAGTGACTCAAATATGGTTGTTTATCTTTTCATTACTCATAATGTTCTGAGAAATGTTATTGCAGCTTAAATTATTCCACACCCTTTTTTTATATACTCAGTACATAATGGTGTGAAAATGATTCAATTATCATAATTATTTTTTGTTATGGGAACACACACACACACACACACCCCCCCCACACACACACACACACACAGTTAAAACAATGTTGGCATCTTGTGTGGTGAACAGGCAACATCTGCCACTTTAGAAATTAAAACTTGGCTTCAAAACAAAGCGATGTTGGGATGTGCTGTGAGGTTTCCAGTGGAAGTGAGTATCTTCCATCACACTTGGTTTGCACAGCACCAACTACAGTAATGTGTTAAAAAATGGAAAGATAGATATTCCTGTGGTTGTTACTTCGGTATATTTTACTTAGCACAATCTGGAGATTAAATATGTTGAATTAAAATACAAAAGAATTGTGAAAACAACAACATCAAAACTCACTTTGCAAAAATGTTAAAAATGTTAAACTGTTTAATGGTTCACAAATCACAGTGTAACAGTATAAATTACATTACATTAACATTACATGTTAAATTGAACTCTTTTTATGACAAATAAAAGAGGGCATCTACATATGTTGATAGAAAAATCCTGACTTTCTCGAAAGGTTGCATTAAAAATCAACAACCCCTAATTACTAAAAGTAAAAGCTGAATTTATTATTGATGAAACTTTTATGCACATACGTGTAACTATACTGTAGAGATGTACTGATGCTTAGTAGCGTTCTTTTAAAAAAAAAGCATACATCCAAGGCTAAGAATTATTTGATCATTTCTGATGATCTCAAAATATAAATTAATTAATCAACTGATTTCCTGGGCTGAAATAAATAGAATAACCTAAAAACAAGGAGAAGTGGTTAAATCTTGTCTACTTTAAATCCTGTCTGAGGAACTGCTGCAGCTAACTTACCTCGTCAGCTGCTCTAACATCAGAGTAAATAAATGAAAATCACTCCTCGTCTTTGTCAAGTCAATTCTTCAGGTTCTGATTTTGAATGTACTTGTCCATGTAATTGTGTCTGTGTGAGAGAGTTCAGCTTGCAGACACAGTATGTAATCGTTTTTCTGTTCTTTTTCTCTGTCAGGAACTCGTCAAGCACACTCATGATGCTGCTGATAAGAGCAACCTGAAGATTGCTCTTGATGCCATGAAGGCAAGTGGTTGTTTTATAATCACATATATATAGCAGATAATTTCATGTTACAGCTGCTTATTTGGGTTTTTTGGTTTTTTTTTTTAAAAAAAAAGGTGAAATAAGCTTTACATTTAGCGTGCAAAGAGAACTTTATTTGCTCCACACTAATCCTGAGATTATTTCGAGTTGCTTCGGCAGCTAATCTGTAAACCTGCAAACAGGAGAGCTTTAATCATAAAAAAAAAGATTATTTTGATTTTCAACTAATGAAAAGCAGAGTATTACACCAAATGAACCATTTTTAGTACAGAAATGCCATCTCCTGAAGGGCGTGTCCATGCAATGATTGCAGTTTTGTTGACACTGCAATATGGAGTGTAGGATGTAGTAGGATGTTCTTTTTGTGTGTTTCATATTTAGGACCTTGCTCAGTATGTCAATGAAGTGAAGAGAGATAACGAGACTCTGAGGGAAATCGACCAGTACCAGAGATCTATCGAAAACCTGGTAAATCAAAGAACTCCCTTTCTGGAACTATACCCAGCTGTGTAGGATGTGTAAAGAGATTTTTTTTAATGTAAAGCCAAACATAAAATGTTAAACCAAAGGAAGTAAATGATGCAAATTCAAATACCTTCATTATTGTTTAGAAACAGGAGGCCCAAGTGTATTTTGAGATTTTAGCTGTTTTTTTTCTTTTTTGCTTTACCCTTCCTAATATTTGACAAATAAATACCAGTAGCTGAAAAAAATATATTTTCTCATTATTGTAACCCTTTTTCAAAATGGTCAACTGTCTAAAAGTTTTGGAATTTGATGATTTCAGTGAAACCACTCTGGAAATGCAGGTTTACATGTTATTAATACAAAAATATTAGTTTTTATTCTTCTTCTGTATTAGTTAAGCTTGATGTTAGCAGATTAAGCTTTTTTCATTTAATTAGTGTCCTGAATTTTTTTTTAATTCAAGTAATTATTAAACTCTGATCAGTATATCAGTATCTTACAGGACACAGAAAGCAATGTGCTACAGGTTGTTTGATTTTGTCTAGTTGAGTTACAACAATATCCTCATTTATATGTCATAGCATATTTGGAAAATACATCAGCGCTTAGCTCCTGTTTATTTTGCCTGCAGAATCAGCCACTTGTCACTTTTGGTCGACCAAAAGGCGACGGAGAGGTGCGCTTGGTCTCCAATGTTGACAAGAGGAAACAGGACAGGTTGGTATGCTTCAGGATCATTGCCCTTAAGAGAAAAATAAATCTTAGGCAGTAAAGTTACATATTGAAAACTGGATGAATTAAATTAGTCCAAGGATCAAGCTTATTTTGAGTAAACTGTCAAGAAAATCTTAATGGTAGAGAATAAAGAGAAATAAGTAAAATAATATGCTCTTGTTTTATAGGCACATATTTTTATTCGATGTAGCAGCCATTGTTTGCAAGAGAAGGGGAGACAACTATGAGATGAAGGATATACTGGATCTTAACGTCTTCAAAGTTACGAACAATCCCACATCTGACAGAGAAGACAAAAAGGTCAGTTTAACTTCCAGATAGTTTTTCAAAACTGTGAATAAATATAAAACTGTGCAAAGATGTTGGGGGTGAAAATGAACAAATCCTTTGCTGCACATTGAAAGAAAAAAAAACATGACTTACCCTAGACTTTCTCTGTTGTATAAAATCTTCATTTAGGAGCAGTTTGCTTAGTTCCATGCAAAAGTATTGACACCCACTAAAATTTCCCTAATTTTGTCATGTCACAGCCATAAACCTCTATTTATCTTATTAGGATTTTCTGTGACAACAGTGGGCAACTCAAATGATGAAGAGGACACATTTTTTATGTTGACATGTTTATTAAACAAACTTCCATAGCAGTAACTTAACATATTTCATGTTCAAATGCATGTATAGCAGTTAGACTCTTGTTTAATGATATGAGTGCAACATTTATGGAGTAAACAAAGATTAACCACTCAGTGATATTTCTCTTTTTTCAGTACAAATGACTGATATGTAAAACATACAAACCTCCATGGATAACCGAAAGCTGCAGAACAGCAGGCAAACAGTAATTGAAGGAACTAATTGTGTGAATTTTTACACAACATTTCTGCAGATTTTAACATGTTTCCTGTGTGTCCACTCTGCCTCACCACTATAGGTTGTAGGCCTACTAGTTCTACAATAATGAGAGATGTGACTTTGCCTGCTGGTTTACAATTGACAGGATGTCAGAGTCAATCTCTGTGCATCCAATTTGCATCAGATGAATAGTTGTGAGTCTGTTTCTCTCTTTCGACTTGATGTATTTCATTGCTGGAAACACTGCTCATAAATATACGTGCTCATAAGCATAGTAGTTGTTGAGAATGCAGTCTCTGCTTCCATGTTCCCATTTTCCACATCAGACTTGAATTAAACTCTGTTCTCATTGTGCCTCGCATGAAAAAACGGATCTGACTGCAGGTTGCACAGTCCCAGCTGCCACTCCAAAGGTTGCTCAGTGGCAGCAATGGATAATCGAGTCCAGGGTGAATTTCATCCGTCGCTGCAGTGCATAAAAAACTTAGAAATGATGCTTGAACTGCTCCTGCAATTTCTTGACATCAGTCTTGTATTTGTGGAGTGACTCATCTTACTGAAAGATATGTTTTGCAAGAAGGGAAGTGTCTTAAAATCACAAATTTATGCTGAGAAGCGGTTACATGTGCATACAGGTCACACACTGCAACCTTGCATTCAGGTTATTCAAATGAAATATAAGGTCAGTAAGGAGAGCCATGCCACTGTGTTTGGGATTTTTTTTTAATAGTACAATGACACCCAGAATGCTGTCCTCCAAACATGCCGGAACTTCAGACTGCAGTGCAAAACCACCGACTCCTCCAACGGACCTCTGTGTGCATTTATACATTCTCATACATAGCGCCCACTTCAACCAAAAACGTCGTAGCTCTGTGACTGAATGATTTGTTGCTTGGTTTTTTCATTTGTCCAATCCATAACTTTGACTGAAATTCAGTGTCTTGGCGCAGAGACAAATAAAATATGCATTAAAATTAATCTATATTTGTCCTGCATCTCACTTAAAGCCCAGTTTTATGGACTGCACCTCTAATAGCTTCACTATTGACAGATTTTCCCAACTGAGTGGTGGATCTCTGCAGGTCTTCCAGATTTACCATGTGCCTCTTGGCTGCTTTTCTTATTGATGCTCTCCTTACACGGCTTGTTAGTTTAGACCAGTGGTCTCAAACTGCATACCTTGAGGGTCCTGCAACTTATAGATGTGTTCCTTGTTCCTATGCACTTGAATTACATGCTGAAGCTTCCCTCTGTAAAGCCTTGTTAATGAGCTGGTATTGGTGCCAGGTGTGCAGAAGAAAAGAGACATCGGTCCTTGAGGAACACAGCTTGAGACTTCCTTTTTACATGTACAACAGCAAACTTGTTGTGTCATACTCTTTCCATTTTAAAACGATGGCTTGAACAAAAATCTATGAGATTAAAATTTGTTTTATATCCCTACCCCACTTTACAATTCTCCACATTTTTATCTTTGACGTGTCTTGTCTTCTCAAACACTTTAGATACAAATGAGAAATTGAAGGACTATAGAGCAATAAAGGGGACTGAATTATTTGAATATTACTTGAATATGTTTTTTATTAGTTCCCTTCCGCTTCAGAGTGACGCAATGCTCTGTGTTGTTCTGTTAATAAAATCTCAACAACATAGACAAAAGTTTGACATGATGTGACAAAATGTGAAATAGCTGAAAGAATTGCAATGATCTGGTTAGTGTGTGTTTTTCTTTTTCTTTTTTTGACCAAAATTTTGGCAGGCAGCATTGTTGTGTCAGAGACTTGCTGATGTTGTGTTGATGGATTCCCACAGATGGTGTCTTCTCTCTCTGGTGCTGATTGCTAACATGAAAGCGACAGCTCGCCAAAATATGAGGTGGTTTTCATAAAAGGGAGCCTATTATCATAATCATTTACTCTATTAAGCCATTGTGAGATGTGTGTTGGGGTTGTGTTTGTGCTGCACTGGTATTTAACATCTCATTGCCTAAACGTGCTTTTTGGGTATTTTATTGTCTTTTTTTTTTTTTTTGCCAATACATTTAAATTAAATATGAATTCAGTTTTTAGACCCTTTTCGACCTTGAGCTGTGTATGTTATACCTTTCCTATTAGTTGCACAAAGCAACACAACAACACCTCTGGAAATGTTTGGGTTTAATTTTAACCTGTGCCTGGAACCACCACACACTGCAGGACCGAGATGCTAATATCAGGTGATGAATGTGTGTACTCTTCCAAGGCTGCTTAACTCTATACATCATTTTCTGCTAAATAAAACTTCAACCTTTGAATGCGGTGCTACTGAACAGCACCCACACAGTCATCAATGATTTAAGACCCAGCAGAGCTCTAAAAGACTTAGGGCTCTGCAGGTCAGCCTAATCACTGTCAGGGAAACTCAACTACTTTTCTCATTACTGTATATGACACAACCGGCAGAAGCAGATTGTTGGCAAGAGCAAGGACCTTAATTTAGAAAAGGATAAATCTAATGTGCTACTTTGAAGCTACGTCGTGGTCAACAGGTTAAAGAAATAATTTCTTAGCTGAAAAGTAAGAAATGTTTTAGTCTCCCTTATGCTTTCTCAGTAGCTGTGTAACCCCTGCTAGATGGGGTCCAAATCATTGGCAGGGATTAACTTTTTAGAGGTAATACTTATGAATTCATAAATTTAAAAGGAAGTTGGTTCCTCTAAAGGTCTATTTTTGCAGCCTGAATCCTTCAGTGCTCTTCAGGCTGAACTCTGGTTAAACTCATATTTCAGTTGCAGCTCTGTTGATGTTGAAAGAATTCAGCTGCCAACATTTTTTCCTTTATCTGTGCAGCTGGTGACCTCACTGGCACTAAGACCAGAGAGGATTGCTGACAGCATTATGTCAGAGAGCTGCCACTTATTCACCTGCCATACTTACCTTGTTGTTATTAGAACAGGATAACTGGCAAGGTTACAACTTAAAGACATTTTTTTTAGATAAATATATATTTTTATGCGATTAATTATTTATTAAGTGACTCAAATCTAGAGCAATGTTCATAATCAGTGTTGTTATTCATCTCTAGAACCATGAGAAATGTCTGACACCATATTTTATTTGGGGGTAACAGAGTACAAAGACTATAATCACACAACATAATTTTTACGTCTTTATTTGTAAAATTATTTAAAAACCTTTTCCTTCCACGCAACTCGATTATGTGTGATATTGTGCTGGTCTTACATGAAATAAAATTGTAGTTTTTTATTGTAGTCAGAAATTGTAAAAATATTTTACTTAACATTTATGAACACTTATGTACTTTGCCATATTTACTTTATTTTTTTTTAAAAAAACAACAACATCTCTTTTATATTTGAACATTTAAAGGCCCTTCAAATGTGGTGTTAATGTAGAGGCTGTTTGTTGTCAACTCACCAGTCTGGGGTTTGATTCCCAGCCCTGGCTTCTTTGCAGCTTGTCTTTCCCTGTCTTCTTTCTCTTCCCATTGTGAGAATGCAAAGAAAGGCCACATAAATCCATTTGTATGGTTATTAAGAGACATCTGTCAGGATGTGCATTGGAGGGACAGTTGACACCCTTTTTTCACTTTTTCCATAACTACACAATCAGTAATTGCATAGAAGAAATATTGAATACCTTTTGAAGGATGCGTCACAAATTCCTCCTTTTTTCTGGCTTTTAAAAAAGGTTAAAAAAAAAAAAACACCTACTCATACACTACATCAACCTTTCCTGAAAGTATGACCTAACCCAATTTTTGAAGTCCAAAATTAGGGCATTGTAATTATTCTGATGCATACATATGTGGTGTCTGAAAATTTTATTTCCATTTTGTCCTCTCAATATCTGCAGTGGTGCTACGGCTTCTTCGTGACTCACCAGCAGGGACATATGGGCTTTGAGCTTTTCTTTAAGACCAAAGAGCTGAAGAAGAAGTGGTTGGATCAGTTTGAAATGGCAATGTAAGTACACAAAGGCAAAAACACCTCAGTTGTGAATGGTAACGGTTTGCTTGACACAGGTCAGTGCATGCATGTCTATACATAGAGCTTATTTACTTTTGTTTGCAACTGTGTTGTTTCAATGTGGAGAGAGCTGTTGACTTTTTCATGTGTGCTGTTTGATCAGGTCTTAGTTTGCAATCAAGCACACACGGCTGACAAAAGTACAAAAATGCACATATACACACACTTACACAGCTATGTGTTGATATAAAGTGAGCTGCAGAGCTACAGTAAACTCACTCTGCTGTGATGATTCTGCAGTTCAGTGTTTTGTGGAGATAAACTGTTGTATTTGTGTTGTTCTGTAACATTTGGAGGAGTTTATCGGTTGATATCCTCTTTGTCTTCTTTTGTTGATTGGAAAATGCTATTTCGGTTTGAGATTGCCCTGTCAGACTGGAACATCATGTTTTGACACTCTCCCTTCATAAACACTTGAAGCTTTGACCTTGCTGAATACATTAGAGCTTTGAAATTGTCATGATGTTCTGAAATGTTTTGCGGTAATGTAAATTGCACCCTCCCTGGACCACAAAACCCCAGACACTTGCCCAAAACATAATGTGCATTTCACAAACATTACAAAAATGATTTTTTCTCTCTCTCTCAAGGCTCCAAACTGTTTTTTCTACTGGGTTTTAGTCAGAAATAAGCTATGCGTGCTTCTGTGCATTGGGTAATGACACCAGAAGGTCCAATTTTGGAAGTGAAAATTGTGCCATCTGAAGAAGATGTGAGCTCAAGATGGAAGACTCACTTAGGGGAGCACTCAGCTGGTCTCTGGATTGTGCCTAAGCGCTGAAAACATATTTGTTTATTTTTGTCATGCATGTTGCTCCTTCTATACTTGAGCTCGTATAGAACTGCAATTATCTGCACTCAATTACGCTCTTTATTGCACTAAGGACTATACTTGCCTCAGCAAATCTGTTTTATTAACTTTACAAAGATATTCACTCACACTGAAACAACATGCGCTTATTTCTTTCGATAGAGATAAGCACATATCTCTAGTTATTATTCTTTTGGCCAAAGCCAATTTTCAGTAACTATGTTACATGCAAAATAATGAAACAAATTAATGTAACAAATTCTGAGTATAACAATAAAACAATCCCAATAAACCGTGATATCATTTATAAAGGAAAAACAAATCCTTCCAGGATTGTTCATTGATACATATTATCAACCTCTGAACGTATAAAATGATGTTGCCATCCTTGGCACCATCATTTAATTTTACCTGGCTCAGGATAAGTTTTATCCCACTCTCTTTTGCAGAACTGTTTTAATTTAGCCAGATTACAGCGTCTTTGAGCATGATCGACCTTAGACCATGATCGTAGATTGTGCCACAATATTGCAGCTGGATTTAAGCCTAGACTTTGACTAGACCACTCAGAAACCATAATTTTGTTATTTTGAATCAAAACATGTTCACTTTTTGAAGTTCAGGTGTGTGGTCTGCCAACAATGTATTTTCCCAAAAGTCTTAAGAGTCATCAGTTTGTTCTATTGAAAAATGTGAGACAGGTCTTTGTGTTCTCTTTGAGCATCTCGTCGTCTGATTGTTCCATTGAATACATTCTTGCTGTCTGTCTTTTATTGCCAAATCAAACGAAGCATGAACTGAAACATTTCCATTTTACAAAAGGCTAAGTTGGTTTGTACATCCGCTTTCTCTTAATAAATGAGATTATCAGTTGAAAACTGGTGTGGTGCTAACATTTTTGATGATCTGAAACATTTAAGTTTGACAGAAAAACATAAACTCCGTAAGGGGTAGAACAGTAAAAATGAGATAAACACCAGCCTTCAGAAACCTCAGGCAATAAAAGAGTGGTCTCTGAGTTAATTAGTTTCTTAGGAAAACAGACAACACAAAGACCAAAACTTCTCTTGTTCCAGGGGGACATAAAACATCTTCTTACCCACTCAAGACTGAACTGGTTTTGAAAATAAATTGCTTACTTTTAGAGTATGATTTTGAAGCAAACCTGGAACTATTTCCATCTGACTGTTCAGATATTAGATGGTTGAATTGTTTTTGGTTCATTTGGTTCTTGCTATTGACTGGATATCAGCAGCAGGTCCCGAGTTTGTTCCTAACAGTGGGAGAAGTAGATGTGAGTACAGATTGTTTGTTAGGTTGGTTTTAAAGTGAAGTTTCTGAAGTTATTGACATTTTTTTAATGAAAGTTATTCTCTGAGCATCTTCAGACACTAGGTTTTAAAATGTCAGCTGAGGAAGTTACAATCTGAGATAAAAAACTAGCAAGTGTCAGATTTATCTCCCATTAGACAAGAACGTCATCAAATTCCTCAAATTCCTCAAGTTTTATCCCCAAATACCGTAAATTATTTACACAAAGTAATTTCATATTTGTCAATTTTGCTGATCTTTTCATCTACGGGTATTCTTTTTGCGATACATGCTGATACATAATTAATGACACAATTTTTTGTTTCATTTTGGCTTTTAGCTCAAATATCCGACCAGAAAAGGCTAACCACAACTCCCACCAGTTCAAGATGCACACATTTGAAAGAATCACTTCCTGTAGTTACTGTCACCTTTTGCTCAGGTAAGATTTAGAAAACATTAAGACTAAGACTAATCTGAAAGAAATTGTGCATTCCTGATGAAGAAACCTTATGACAGATTGTCTTTAGGATGGGGAGAAGCTTCAAGTTCTCTGCTGGAAAACCATGGTTTAATTCTGTTGAACCTAATGAACTTTAAAAAACAGTCTTTTAACTTGTAGAAGTCCAAATGAAGTGCATACTGTCATGTTAGCTGTCTCTGTTCCCTGTGTCATTTCATTTATCTTGACAATGGGACAGAAGCCAGAAATATCTAAATGTCACTTGTTTTGTTTTTTTATTTTATTTTTTTAACTGTCTGCAGGGGCATCTTTAACCAGGGCTATCGATGTCAAAAATGTGAACTGGGGGCTCATAAAGAGTGTCTGGGTCGATTGGGTCTCTGTGGGAGAACAGGTAAGACTTAACACTAAATTAGCCTATTATTTGTTAAATTATCTGTCATTATTTGGCGATATAATCTATAGAGCAGAGTTATGATCTTTAGAGTGAAATGTTTTGAGAACTTTATTGCAATTCCATGCATTTGTTTTGCATTGCAGAAGACAGAAATGCAAATGTTTTAATCTCACCATTTTCAAATTAATTTATGTAAATGTAACATTAACCTTGAACCTTCCTTTTTCTCCTAACGTCGTATTTCCCTTCACATTCAGTATCAGAATTGTGCCAAATAAAACACATTTTCTCCCTGTTTTAGCAGTTAAAGACTAACAAAATAAGCATTTTGCTGGATTTTAATGCTACGCCTGGAACAGCCTCCTGTATATGTCTCCAGACTGGTGCTTTTAGGTACATTACCCTCACCCAGTCCACACACAGCTAAAGCCAGCTCAGGAGTTTGACAAGCTTCCTCTTTCACAACCACTGCGGTTTTTATGCATTCAGAAGCATGATAAGGGCCACCAGAGGTTGACAGTTGAGGTTGGATGTCAAGAAGCCACCATAGTCTAATATTGTATTCCTCTCACTGTTTCTGTTTCCCACCTGCCTCCAGATCCTGTCAAGCTGAAGCCCAAGGTAAGACCTGATCTGTTTCTCTTCTTCGACTTAAGACATCTTAGCTAACGTAACGATTCAGGCATGAAGCAGCAGCTGGACTCTTAGTTTGTCTGTGGTTGGAAAGATAATGAAGGCTTTTGTTAATAACGTCAACAAAGCTGCAGGTGACCTTGTTATTTCAGTTTTAACTTCACTCCTTTTTGTGGGATGAAGTTGATAGGCAATGTATTTTTTTAAATAATAACTGTCTCATTTCATGTTTAAATTTAGGGCATTTTTTTTTCTTTTAGAAGCTTCTAGTTTCTGTTTTTCCAGATTCTGTAAATAAAGTGCTGCTAAAATGAAATACTGCTATTAAAAAATGAATTTTTCTCATAAACTAAATAGGCATTGTGAATTCTGAAAACAAAATGCAACCGTTATTTGTGTTCATCGTATAATGAATGGTCTGTTTATCCATCTATCCGTTATCCTGTACAGGCACAACGAATATTTTACCTCTTGCCATTTTGTTCTCTTTCTTTCTCTGTTTTTTCCCCTTCTTTCACAATTTACAGGAGAACACAGCACCGCCAGGCCCAGGTCAGCATGATTTGACCACTTGAGCAAGTTTGTTAACCTGCAGAGGTCTTCACAGACTTTTTTTTTTATTTCATCTCAGCCTTATAGCAGAGAGTTAAGAAAGACTGAAATAACTGACACAGTTTCAGTCAAAGAACTCGTGCATTCATGAAATATATTCAGAATGCTGTTTCCTCATAAATCAGACCTTGAATCAGCTCTCTTCTGGAGCGGAATATCCAATTGACTTAGACATTTAACAAATTTTAATGACCAGATAAAAGTATGAGCAAGGGATCGTTAACCAGAGCCAGAAAGAAAGCCTCTTTCCTTCTGCTCGCCATGGTGCCTAAACCCTTGATCGCATTGAGATGAATTGGAGTGGGTGGAATGATTATGAGAAGCACGCAGGAGAAATACTGGAAAAGAAATGCAGAATCGCTCCGCGAGCAATCCGCGTTGCCTCAGCCTCGGCTGCTGAGCCAAGCGAGCCTTTGTGATAAATCAATTTCCATAAGGGGGTTTATGAGGAAGACAGCCGTGCTTATTGTTCTTATTAAAAACATGAATGCGAGCTATTCCATTCATCTGAGGTCACAGTCAGCTAATAGTTTCCTCAGGCTGGTTTGCAGGGGAGCGGGAGCTGGAAGGGTGATCCGTCTGAGGCGGGCTAGATGTGTGAGTCAGCGGAGAGTAAGTGGCTGTGTCTTTTAAGTTGGCAGGGGTGTTTAGTCTTTGCCTCAGCCCCATGCTTGTGGCTGTGTTGGCTCTGCCGGGCAGAGGAAAGATTGGTGCGCCACATTTCAGGATTCAAAGAGATGGATTTCCTGTGATGGTAAATTGGTGTTTTTAGGGTGGAACCTTTTAAGTGCTTTAGATCTTAGAAAAACCTGGGAAGGAGTTGAGAATGAACCCAATCAGTTAAAAGCAATGGAATAATTTGTGCTGGAGGAAGAATAGAAAGGATTTACTAAATGATAATCTCAATAGCTTTTGATATGTTATCTTTGTTCTGCTGAGTATCAATAGGCACAGTCAGTTACATTTTGTCTTCCATCAACACATTTTTTGTTTTAAACAAACAAATCGAGTTTTGTATCAAAATGTTGAAGAATTTGAGGGATGTCCTGACTAGGATTTTAGTTTTGGTCCAGATACAGATCCAAGTCATTTAAAAATAGCCATTTTCAGATCAGTGTCAGTCTGATGGTTCATCAAAACCCACATTTAAAGTCCAGTAAAACAGACACTGCATTTAATCAGTATAACTACTGAAACAGGTGGTTATAAGTGATTTATAAGAGGTTTCAAATGTTCACAGATTTTGCTATTCGAGCACGTGTTTGCTCCCTAAACTCCTCAGATACTGGGTATCTTGACAAAGGGGACAAAGCACTGGCAGGCTGCCGTTTCTCCCCATGGCCTGATTAGTTGGAAATCTTTAGAGACCAAAAAATCACTTTAGTAGAACCTGCTGAGCAACACAAAGTTGACTGAGAAATTTAAATAAACAAACACATCGCATCCTGATCTAAAAATCATACAAATGTTTTAGAATTTTTTAATTTTCATGACTTCTGAATTGCGAGGATTTCATAATTTGACATATTTTGTAATTTATCTTTTCATTATGTTTTTCAATATATTTTTTATTTTATTTTAGTAATTCTCTTTATAATCTGTACCAACTTACTCACATTATTTAAGTGGATTTTTTCTGATTTTGTACATAAAAGTAGCCTTTATTACACATTGTAGCATTCCTCTACTTTGCATTCACAATATTCTGAACTAAAAGCAGAGAAAGTGGAATTTGACTGTTTGTGTTCCCTGTCTGCCAGGTTTACCGAGGATGATTGTAATCAGAGACTACAGCGGCATCCCCAGTCCCCTGTGTGGGCCCCCACTAAGCATTCAGGCAGGGGATGTAATTGAGTTGATGTTTGCTGACCTGCACAGCTCCTGGTGGCAGGTGTGTGTCACAGTCTACTCATTCCTGTTTTATGTCCACATCTGTGACTATGAAAAAATAATATGTTCAGACTCATTTGAGCGGTAAGACACATGAAAAATCTTTCCACCAACACTGGTTTAAATATGTTTTGCATTTTAAGTCCATCGTTCCACTTTGTGACAAGCAAAGTCGGAAGGCTACAAGCAAGATATCAACGTACCAACAGCAATGGTTTATCTTTCTGGCAGCTTTCTTCCTGATGAATTGCTGATTCAGTTGTGGTTGTTCATCAGACTCTCTGTGCTGCCTTATGAGGTCAGCTACCGTCAGAACTATCACATGAACTCCACTGGACTCCAGCCACCTTACAGATGGGATATCTGTCCTTTCTGTCTCTGCTTAGATTGAATCAGAGCCATCAGATGATCTAACCAATTAGGGGTTTCAGTTGATTAATTAGGTGACACAAAGAAACGATGAAGCTACAGACCCTTTTGCCCACCCCAGGATGTTTTACTGCTTATTTGCCACTTTGTGTTCCGGCAAATTGTGCAAACCTCTCACGACGTCAGCCAGCAGTTCAGGGTCTTTGACCTTTTCTATTTTTGAAAAGATAGTGTTATCTGTGGTCTGTTGGCACCCTAGCTCACTGCTTCCAGCTCTGTTTTATGGTGACATCAAAGCCTCATTCTCCTTCTGGTGCTGCTCCAATCAGAGCAACCTTTGCCAGCAGCCCGGCTGGGAGTGGGCAGTTAGCCCGATTTCTGATGCCCTATGATTCTCTCTGTTGTGTCACTGCACAAGTTGGAGGACGAGGACATGAGTGCCAGGAGACTTGTAAGCTGGCTGAGTAGCAACCAGAATGTCATGCCCTAGAACTGATGGCACTGCATTGTGTGCTACCACAGCAACGGTGCATGCTGTAAGAGCATAATCGGAGCAATAAGGTGGTGAAACACATTTCTGCATATATGCCTCCTGCATAATGATACCGAGAGCTGCCTAGCTAAAGGTTAGCAGTGGTAGACGTGCGTTTTTCTAGAATGGTCCCCAGACAGATTTATTACCACAGAGAATTATGTTTCATTTTCCTAAACAAATGTTTATGAATTAAATTTAGCCTCGCCACAGATTTTCAATCGGATTTAGGTCTGGACTTGAGCTGGGTGTAAAGCATTTGTCATAAATTGCACACAGGTGAAAATAAACAGTCATTAAAATCAAGAAAATTGTAGCTGTAAAGACAAAGACACATAAACTGGAAACTAGTAACATTTTCTTCGTAAATTCTCATTGAAAATCAAAGATGATTGCTTAGCCTTTGGCATGTTTGTGCAAAGCTGTGTCATTGCCCTAACCAAAAGATCATGGGAGGCTTAAGATAGAAATAATGAAACTATATAAATGCCTTCTTGTTTTAAAAGAAGGATGATTCTCAGGGGCTACTTTTAACTTCGGAGATAATAAATAATTTATCCAGCAATGAGTGAGTTCATGATGACTCGCTGTATGACACAGTGGTGCAGTATTTAAACCGCATGTTTAACAGCTGAAGCCTTGCACATAACTAATAACTCCACAAGATTGTAATCAGCATTGGAAAGCAAATTCAAACAGTCTGTGGCTGAGAATGTTTAATGTGAAATTACACTTAGATTTACATAGAGTAATAAATAAAGTTAATTTTGTTCTCCATTTAGTTCAATATGAAGTTTTGTTGTGATTTTGAAACACAATTCAATCTGGGAAACCCAGTGTTTTAGTGCAAGCACTTTCCCTGCTAAGTGTTTTTTATACCAGGACCTTTCAATAGGAGATCAGTGACATATGAAGTTAAGCATAACACATAGTGAAGTGCCACTTCAGGAATACCAAAGGGAAGATGGGAGAAATTTGTCTTGGGAGCAGGTGCAAAACTACAATATAACAATAAACGCTCATCGAAAAGGACAGTAACCATGAATAAATACATAAAAACAAAAGTACGTAAATTGTGATAATTTCCAGCTGATGGAATATTTCAGTCCAGTATGGTAACACTGGGATTGGCAAACATGCATGTGCACAGGCTTGTGCCAGTGTTTCATAAAATGAATTCATATAATTTAAAGATCATTTGCTTTTACAAATTCAAACTGCTTTATATCAGTGGCAATAAGCTCAAAAAGTGTACAAAGATTGATAAAACAATAGATTTTCTAAACAGTTTCACATAAACAAGTATAAAAGGTCTTATAGTTGCACACAATACGATTTGGGGAAAAAACACTGAATCTGAACAGAACCTTGTTTGTTTACAATGAAAACTCCACAGGGTGCCTTTAATCTTCAGCGTCCCCGGTGGCGCCAGAGGATGGAATTACAGAACACTGAGAATTCATATCCCCTGTTACCCAGAAGGCAATTATCCCCCATCCCCCTGGCAGAACAATACAATCAATCACTGTAATTTCATTTGATCCTCTGGCTGCTGCCTGTTTATGCCAACAGAGTAATAAGTTTAATCTGTATCATACGCTTATCGAAAGCATAACAAATAGAGAAGGGCTTTCTTAAAAACCTTTGATGAAATGTTATTACACAGAATGAATCATAGAGATGGGTGAAGATTCGCTATCCAATTTAGTTACTGCCAGGGCTTGGATGGCTCCAAAAAGCATTTCATACCCTAATAAAGAGGAGTGAGGAGGAAAGCATAAACAGGGCAGGAAGCTGAATGAGAAGCTTAACGTGTCCCCACCATTTCTTGTCTTCTCATGTTCGCTCAATGGACTTCGAATTGACCTCAGATTTGAACTTGTGAGCCCGTTTTATTAGGTTAATGCTGACAGATGTTCTCATTGTTTTCGAAAACAAGAGATACATGTTAGTGGATTAAAGCTGTGTTAAAAGCTAAACCTAAACTTAAAGTGGATATTTAAGTTTAGATTTACCTTGCTCCTGTTAAAATGCTGGGTTTGTTTGATTTATAACAAAAAAAATGACAAGGAGAATTTATCTTAGAACTTTTGTTTCACATTTTATAGTAACCTTTAACCTGAAAAACAAACAAAAATCTTTTAAAATTTAGCTAAAATAGGTGGTGGCATAAGTTTGCTCACCCTGTTGAATTAGCACAGATCCTAATTTAGCTATTTTTTATTTTAACCACTTTATAAAATTACTTAAAACTACTCCCACCTATTCCCTGTTCACCATGTACCAGTGTGCTGCAGCTCTGCTAATGACACAAAAACAACCTAACAATACAGGAAAACTGTTGATATCTCATGTTCTCGGCAGGCTCAGCTGTGGAGTCCATGGTTTTCTCAGAACTCCATATTGCAGCTTTAACACATTTTTTGCAAGTTGCCAAATGTTTTTGGAAGATGGCTGCTTTACCATTATAGGTCATAAGCCCAGACTTACGATGATGACAACAGGAGTTTGAATGTGGTGGTTAATTCTGAACACAGCAACGTCCTCAATTAAGCGAGGGTGTGTAAATATTTCATCTTGTTTTTCTGTTGAGTTACACATTTTTGAAGGTGGAAAAGGCACTTTAATAGGTCTACTTTTTATATGTGTTGTATTTGCATTAGAAATAGAGAGGTTCGTTTTAGCAGTAGGTTTTATTTGATACAGAGGAAAGTTTCTGTTGTTTTAAAGAATTACAGATGAGCACATATAACTTGCAATTGCTTTGGGCAGGTTTCCTGAAAAGCAGTTGCGTGTCTTTGGGGTGAGCCTGCGCTCACACTATTTAGGTATTAAAAGACTAGAATACGATCCATTATTTAGTGTTAAAACGAGGCTCTTGTTTTGATGCGGTACAAATCTAACTGCCGGCAGACTTAAAGTGGAACCATAATTAACTCAGGCTGCAAATTAGATGCACTGCTTGTTGTGTGCTAATTGCTGAGGATTTACTGAACCGAGTGGGGGGAGGAGGGTCGAAAAGGGGAGGAAAAAAAGAGGGAGAAAGTTCATCTTAACCCAGACAAATATAATGCAATTAACAACCTGCTGCCATTGCAGGGCAAAATTCTGGCGACAAGCAAGACTGGCTTCTTTCCAAGTGATGCTGTGAGGCCTTCCCCTCGTGTAAGTGTTTGTTTTTTTCCAAATCAATAACAAAATCTAGTGTGATTACAATGTATTCAGTAGATAATGGCTGCTATCGATGTCTGAGCAATGAGATGTAGGACTTAGAATTGCCTTTCTTCACTGAAGAAGACTAATTTTAGCCATCAGATGTGGCTTGAATATCACATTACCTCTAATGACCTCCACCCTTTGTATCGATCGTATTAAAACACAAAATAACCACAATTCCTTTCTCCGCCAGGTTCCAAAACCTGTCGATTATTCTTCCCAGCTTTGGTAAGAAAAAAGAGATTGTGTATGATAACCATAATTCATTTCTGCACTATGTTATTGATTGCTATTCACTGTTTTCATTGTTGTGTCATGAATGGGCCGCGGTGTAAGTGCAGTAGTTGTTCATTGATTGTTCAGGTTTGCAGGGCTAATGGAGAGATACCAGGCTGAGGTGGAGCTCATCGACAGAGGGAACAGCACTTATCTGGTTCGACACCGGAGCAAAGACTGCAACGAATATGCCATCAGCATAAAGTGAGTCACAAGATGGCATTCATCCTATGAAGTTCATCTCCATAAATCCTAATTATTGGATTGAATTAAATTAGATTGGAAACTTTATTAATCACTAGAAATCTGGAGAGACCGTGGAGCATTCTTCACATCTTGTGCAGAGACATAAAAAGCTGACTGTTTATCGGGGTTGTTGGTGTTAAATTGAGGGTGAAACAGAGATAGTACAATACACATTTCTGCGCAAATTAACATCCCAAAATCCCCAAATTTCATCTGTTTCCCTGTGACATTTATCAGTGTTTGCCTGGACGTCATTAAAAAATGGATTCCAATGCAAAAAAAGAAAAAAAAAAACTATTATCATGAAACATGCAACTGTTTGAAAATTCTTAAAACCAAAAGTCTTAGCAAGAGTACAATCCTTACATAACATTTTTCTGAATAAGTTAAAGAAGTTGCCACCTCAATAAAAGTAAACCACATTTTTTTCTTTCTAAAATGCCTTTCATTGAATAAATATGAATGTTAATGCTTACAGGTTACTGATTCATTTGAATGTAAGATGCGCCCCAATACCAAAAATTACCAGGGGGTCTTATTATCCTGCCATTCTGGGTCAGTCTGCCCTTTTGGATTTAGAAGCAGCAACAGTGGATAAATGAAAAAAGCTTACAAAGCCCAATTTGTTATCGTCTCATATGAAAGCTATTACAGAGCAGCAGGTCTTACGACTGCTCTACCTACAAAATAAGGTCCAAGAAGGAAGATTCAGTGAACCACTACAGGATCCCTGCTGTTGCCCATTGTTCATTGATGTGTTGGAAGCAAAGGTGGTGAGATCCCGCAGATGCCATTGTACAGTCATTAAATTGCTGTGGACTTTTACGCCGACCTTAATAGAAAGGTGGTAGATCACACAGTGTGCCTCTGCTTTCTTTTTGGGCTGTAGACCAGTAAAGACATCCATGATGAGCTTTTTCCCTTGCTGAAAGTGTCTTTGATGGACAGGCGAGTGTCAGAACTGGATGAAGCAATGGAACATCAGTGATCTGACCTGATGAATCGTCGTCTTCTTTTACATTGTGTGGAAAGCAGGGGAAAAGATGTAAAAGGAATGGACAGCAAGAAAATGGCAAACTGACAGAGGCATTATGTTAGGCTAAATGATGATCACCTAGAACTATCTCACATCCAGGAGAATGTAGAGATAGGATGACATCTACATTCATGTAGATGCCGTCAAAATATCTACTTGTATATTTTGACAAGTCCTACATATTGTTCTTATAGTGCTGCACTCTCACAGCAGTATTTTTTTTCTGATAGTATCATTATACTGTGGCGACACTTTCCATCAACAGAGACAGAGAGACTGACTTGAGCTTTATGATTTTCTATAAAGATTGCACTTTATAGAAAATCATAAAATCATAAAATGTTTCTATTTTTCTTGTCACTTTGTTGTGACAGTTTAACATGAGACAGTTAATCAATAAAAAATATCTAACTCCTTTGCTTCCTTCCTGTGGTTGTTTCTGATTTGTCGTCGTATATTTCTGCAGATAGCAGTAAGACCGCTGGGAGAAGACAAAGGAGCTTGATTTTTTTTCACTGATTATTTGTCTCTTGTTTTACTGCCTCAACAGTGATGTTTTTAACAAATGTGCAAAATACATATTTTTATGAAATTTACTTACCACAGCTCTAAAGCACACTCATAATAAAATCTGATTGAGCCATGGCATTTTCTTTGATCTGTACATGCACAAAGGTTTCACATTCTGCAGATATATTTTCATCTGCAGTTAGAGTGAGCGATGGCTCGAGAAAGAATTGAATCCCATGCATGCCATATGTCTTAAATTGTAATGTTGAAGAGTTTAAAAATAAGTTGCCTTCCAGTTCCCAATTATTGCCTTGGTCTATCACATAAAATCACAAAATACTGGAGTAAGATGTTCATTTGTAATATAGCTACTTTGTTCCAGTTTCCATGTAAACATATAAGACTCTGGGTTAGTGTATACATTATCAAAGTTGGCTTAGTTCATGCATTTCGGGCAAATGTAGCTTAGAGAAAAAGTGGAAATGAATCGGACGCATTATCCAGCTATGAGTCTCAGACATAAGGAACACTTGATAACTTTTGATGGCACCACTTGATGCACTTTTGTTACAACTCTTAGAAATTCATTTCAAAAGAGGGTTAACAATACCTTTGAATTGTAGATACCACATACAATCCCACAAAGCCCCAATAAAAGGCTGCCTTATCTAGAAGCAAAGTGGCTTCTTGTCTCTCTTTTGAAAAGCAACTTTGTCTCTTTAACTAGTGAACATCTTTCAAGCCACATCAAAGCGTGCACAGTCTTTTATAAGAAATAAAGGCCCACCGAGTCCTCCTGACCTGGCATGACAATTGTGGGAGATTATAACGACGGAGAGAGCACTCTGAAATAGTGTTTGGATGTTAAGACTATTTAGCCAGTGACACACCATTCCAGCCCATTTATTTTTTGGTCAGCTCATGCAGTTACTCATTCCTTGCTTTGATCTAGTGGGCCAGTTTCTGAACAGTCCAATCCTAATTGCTCGTCTCAGTGCTTAAGATCATTATCAGGATGGCTGTTTGAGATAATGGAGCTTTACACAGCAAGCTCTTACCGATCAACTAGAGCTGTTTAATGTCAAACTACACCACAAGTGGTTGGCCTATGAGCATATCTCTGTGTTAAATGCAATATTTCTGTAGTTTCCAGCGATTATAAGACAGACTCTCTTCAGAAAACATACCTTATGTTTCTATTCTTTATACTACAACACATACTGTATAAATAATATATTACCCTTAACATATTTATAATGTATCAAGGAAAACACCAGACATGATGGAACTCTTTTAATGTTTTGCCCTAGATCTTACATGCCTGTCTGTAAAAAAACAAATTAAAACACGTTTGGGTTTAGGCTGTCACCCTTTCCTTAAGTGAACACAGTTTGACTGTGTGTGCCAGTATACTTAGAGTCTTGTTCGTATGTTTTTCAGATGGCTTTTGTTATAATTTACAATATCTGCTCTGTTTTTTTTTTACATAACTCTGTAAGTAAGAAGTCCTTTAACATATTTAACTGTGAACATTATTTGTTCTAAGTAAAACATCAAACTAATAGAGCATGTAATTGGAACATTATTGTAGTTTTAGTCCTGGACTTTTTTTTTTTAAGTCTTAATGTATAAGATGTTTTGCAAAAAAATAATACATATTAGATAAAATTATATTTCTATAGGACTTTTCACAGACATACATCACAAAGCGAAAATAATAAAACAAAACATACATAAAGGCCTGTCTAAAAAAAAAAAAACATCTTCAGTTGTTTCTTAGTGTGTGCAGTCTGTGAATCGTAGGGACATTGGGACCAGAACTTCAGAGCCACATATGAAGCAAAGAAACACACACCTGGAAATACAGCACCAAATGACATAAAAGAACATTATCGTTCACTATATAGGAAGCAATTAGCTGTTGCAACTCTTGGTTCTTGGTTCTTGGATTGTTCACATATAATAAAACATGATTGTGTTCAAAATGATCAACCATTTAATTTAGCTTGAATGTAGGAAACATTATTCTAAATCTTAGGAAAACACTTTTACTTCTTAGACAAAAAAGGGAAAAAGTGAGAGTTTGATTATCATGACCTTAATCTAATAAGAGAAACAGAAGACACACCAGTATGCATCTTCCCACGGCTGTAAAGCACATGATCAACACTCCATTACAGCTCCTGGATGTTGGATTGTTTACAAGGCTGTGACTAAGTAATTGCATTAATTTGTTTTTTTTTTCTTTTGTAGTGACAAATGTATTATAATAAAAACATATTCTATACTGCGGTGATGAGTGCCAAATAAATAAACATTATTAATTGAATTGTAGGAAATTGCTTTGTAATCCAGCGAGGAAAAAAATGTATTCACAGAATATGCTCTTTGGGTAATTGGTTTATGACATAGAATTTTGCTAATATCTCCTAAGTGGCATAAAATCTTATGAATAAAGTACCAGTTTCTAAATAATACATTAAGAACGTAGCTTTAAATACATAATTAGTGGGTAAAATTGATGAGGCCTACGACACTTTACATATTTATCCAAAGAAAGAAATATACTTTTTTCTATTCAGTTTGTTATGCAAACATACTTTCCTGCATGACAACCAACTAATCTCTCAGTCCGCCACTCTTTATGGTTCACCTTAGAGACCAAACGGAGGTAAAAGCATGTATAGTTGATTATCCGTCTATGTCCTTGTCACCCTCCACAGGTTCAACGATAAAGTCAAGCACATTAAGATTCTGACCAAGGATGGATGCTTTTACATCGCTGAGAGTCGCCTGTTCAAGACTGTGCTGGTAACGGTTTTGACTTTGAATGGATTTTGTTTAATTTGGTCCCACAGAACTCCGTAGCATTAATGGGCCGGGTTGTTTTGAGCAGCTAAGATATGTGATTAGCAAATATTTGCAGCATCTGCCCGTAATAAGATTTTACATAAAAAATATAAATATATCATCATGAGTCAACATCAAGATATTTTCAAAATCAAAATATCTTGATCAAAATCAAAATCAGCAGTGTATTCCTTACTACCTAAACTTTGGTGCAAATATAACCCAGACTTTTCCCCCCTGTCATTGAGGTATTTTCTTGTGCTTATCTCACACAGGACTTGGTGGAGTACTATAAACAACATTCACTGAAAGAGGGATTCAGCAGCCTTGACACCACTCTGCAGGTTCCTTACCGAGAACTGTCCAATGGAAACATGCCTAAGGCCATTACCAAGGTTGGCAATGGTGAGTCTGCTTCACAAACATCCAGGCTCCTTCTGTGACACTTTCTGCTTGATAGGTGGAAACACTTCATGCTCAAATCATATCTTGAGCCGGTTATATCTGAAAGACATTCAAAGCAAAGCTTTTGTTTTGACCTGCTTCCAAGACCAGCATTTGTAGCTTTTGCTATACAAAAAAGAGATCAGATAAAAAGGAAAAAGGTGATTTTTGTTCTTTTTTTTTCTTGGAAGGCTGCTTACCTGCCAACTGTGTATAACAGACACAGCCTGTGCTTCATTCTTTCTATGTTATCACGTAGAATAGATAGAAGAAATTGTTTTATGAAACAGTTTGCTCACATCTCAAACCACAATCTTAACTTTTTTTTTTCAATCTTTCATTCTTGGGAAGATGAGATAATATCTGTCACAATGTGTAAAACACTAAAATTTATAAAGTAGTTGTTTTTTTTAGCAAGATAAGATCAGATTGGATCCAGAGTATTTAAATCTTACAATGATGACTTCCCTTTAATAGATTTCAAATGTATTCTCTTGGGTAACCTTTCTTATTTTACTTAATTATCTTCCCATTTATAAAGTTATTGATTTCATTTCACCTGTCATGTCATTGTTCCCTTAAGCAAGGCATTTAACCCCAAGTTGCCCACTGAGCTGCAGTTTGCTGAGTGAATGTTGTGAGTCTGGTTGAGTGAATGTTATTCTAAGTTGAAGCACGTTGAGTGTTCAATATGAGTAGAAAAATGCTATACCAGATCAGGCAAATTATAAAACATTCAGCAGATGAAATGCACTGGGAACACTGCACATTCTTTTGCAAATCAAATAATGAAAAAAAAAAAAATATATCAAGTTTGTTCTTACTTTGGAAAAAGTGAAGAAAAGTGAATTCTGGGATGTTCAAAAAAATTGTAGTGTATGCATTTATCATAAAAAGTCAAACATTTACTGTATAAATGAAAAAATAGCTTCCTAAGTACTCCATACAATTGTTGCTTAGAGTTTATCAATTTCTGAAAACTATGAGCAAATATAGATTTCTGCATCCATAACTCTAGATTTCTTGGTTTTGTCTAAGAAACAGCATGTTTGGTTTTGTATTCAGATTTGGGGACTTTTTTTTGGTCTGAAATAATGAGGCTACACACTTACTGGTGTGGTGGGTTCATTGCCTTGTAACAAAACATCATTTCAAGGTTGTTTCTTCTTCAACGTAAGGCAACATGACCTCTTCAAGTTTTTGATGCATTCAAACTGACCCATCATCTTTGGTATGTGATAAATTGCCCTGAAACACTAGCGTGAAAAACATCCCACTTCACAAGTGATGGGTTTGGAAGGACACAATTACAGACAAGGAGGGAAGCAAAAAATGAAAGTTTTAATAATTGAGAGAGAACTTAAAGAAATCCAAGGGACAAAGTCTAAAAAAAAATCCAAAAGGAAACTTGAAGCAAAGATATCCAAGAACTGAGAAGAGAAACCTGGAGCACAGAGGGTTGACAATCGAGCAACCAGAGTGAGAGCAGCTAAAAGAGAAAAACAGACAACAGAGCGGATAGGAATGCTATGAATGGCAGAACACAAGATAAACACACAGAGACCAGAAACTGAAAAACAATACAAAAACAGAACAGAACATCACAAAAAAGACCTCAAAGCCAATAGGAGAAAGAAAAACTCAAACAGCAGGGAAAGTAAAGAGAACAGAAAACAGAAAGATCTGGAATAAATCAGGAAACAAATCAGTAAGTCAGGACTACATCTCTAGATACATGGAATTTCAGCATATAAAATAATGAATAGAAAGTTTGACATATCATGATGCCTCAGCCACCATGCTTCATACAGTATTCTGGATTAAATTCAGTATTTTGTGCCACTTGGCAGACTGCTAGTCTATAAAATGTTGCACTGTTTCTCTTTAGCCCAGTTAATGTGTTTTTTGAGGATTTGTAACCCACTCAGAATGTAATTTTAAAAAATGGGACCTTAGGAGGGTTTCTTGCCAATATTCTACATTTATATACAGTATATGCATCTAATTGCTACCTTACTCACTGGCATTGTTGCAGTTGGAACCGTACCAAACCCCTTAACCATGTACGTTTATCTTTGCTTGCTCCCACGACTCCTTACTCTAGCTAATCCTCCCTACTAAGTGTTTCTTTGAGTAGACTTTATTTTAGCAACTATTTCAGTGAAAACACTGAGTTTTGGCAAAGTAAATTATTTGAATTTCTTTCTTAGACAGGAACCCAGTTCCTCCATTATTATTATTATTATTATTATTATTATTATTATTATTATTATTATTATTATTATTATTATTATTATTATTATTATTATTATTATTATTATTATTATTATTATTATTATCATCATCATCATCATCGTCACAGTTCTGACACTGAGTTTTCACTGAAAACTGATTCTACACCACTCCTAAGAACAAAATTGGTCTTGATAAATATTGCTTTTAAGTTTCTGGAGATTCTCAAAGTTTCTCTTTCAAGTTGGGCCTCGGGATTATTTTGTTTGTTTCCTAAAATTTATTACGTTCAACTGTGACCTATAAATTATTGAGGCAGAAGAGTTTGTAAAACTACAAATTATTGATACGTCCTAAAAAGGAAAAAACAGAACATAATGTCTTAGCTTCAAAAAGCTAGTACCTCTACAATCTCTCACTTCATCAAAACTAATCCAACATTTATACATTATAATCTCTGCCAAAAAAGTGATCGATCTGGTTCGTCTTAGACTGCTATTGTTTCAATATCCCTTTGTTTCTGCTGCCATTTTCTTCATTAATAAAAGGGAATGAGATGCATATAGGAGTAAGGTAATATAGAAAATAAGGGACTGAGCTAAAAACAATGGAGGGATTGGGAAGCTTACTGACGGATAAATAAAAAGGAGCCTGAGCAGCTCACCAGTCTTGGCAGGGAGGTCCCAGTTAGGGCTAAGCGCCTTAGGCAACCACCAAGAGCCTGCTACTCCAAAACGTCACACTCCGAACTCTGCTTAGCTGCGAGATGGCTTCACAATCTTACTGACAGTACATGACATTTCACTTGGGCTGGCTCCAGCAACGGGGAAAAAAAACAGTGTGACAGCCGCCTGCTGACATACACCTGGGGGAATACCCTGGGTCCAACGGAGGGACCACAACGCCTTTCACAAAACTGGGAAAAGTTTGCAAATGTGATCTAATTTAGATGAGCGGGAGCCAGCTGGAGGTAAACTGTCTTAACTTGAAGAGAGATGCATGTGTAAACAACCAGGAGCCAAGGCGAGCAGATGAGCGCTGAAACAAAGTCAGAGTTGGGCCTTTGTGTCTTTTTGGATGTAAAATTCTGCTGCATCCTTGTCCCTTTGCTTCTTTTGGCAAAGTCGGTCTCAGAGCGCATGGAGCTTCAAAGCATCTCTGTAAGAGGTGCTTTTGTGTTCTGCTGCCACTCACAGCACTACCTTCTCTCATGAAACCTTGACAGAGCCACGGCTGCCTCTGTGCTTTGCGGGGTGGATTATTATTGCCTTAAGTCGTCCACCCCCGTCGACGCAGTAGTGTGGGCACTGTATTCTCTGGCAGGTAAACAGCCTCTGTGGAGCGATAGATGTCATGCAAAAGCAAAATGATAATAAAAAAAGGGTTGACTCTCAAAACAAGGTGCTGCATAGCAATGAAGAGGGAAAAATGTGTGACTGAGCAAACATACACAAAGATTCAAAACTACAAAAACACTATAAGATATGAATAAAAGTCGTTGGGGATTCCCCTTCAAAAAGTTTTAATTGTGACTGACTTTTTGCTTGTCATTGTCTGTTTGTGTTAATGCTGGGACCAGAAAATGATTTGCTGTGTAATGATCATTAAATATCTGCCTGGAAACAATATGTCTTATCCACAGGGTTTTCTGGTTGTATTTCTTTGATGAAAATCTTCAAACCAATAAATCAATTCTTTAAATATGTTGGAATGATACTAGTACCAGGTTTGAGACTTGATTTAATTTAATAATCAAATTGAGAGGTGCACAAATCATAATTTTCATGCAGGCCAAAATGTTTTGTTTTAGATTTCATCTGACTTGAGTACCTTCTCCAACACATTTGCTGTGTTGATTTGAATGTTTTCAACATTAACTTTCTTCTTTCCAAACTTAGTTAGCCCACATTCTTTCACCTGAGCTGTGAATCTCTGCAGCCCCTCCAGAGTCACCATGGGCCTCTTGGCTGCTTTTGTGATTGGAGCTATGGGGATTGGTTTTAAGCTAATGACTTGAACAGAGCTCTGTGAGACATGTTGGTTCATTAATATTCTCTAACATTAATGAGGGCTTCACAGAGCATCTGGATTTATACTGGGATTTTACTTCACACAGGTATATTTACTAGGTTGCTTTGTTTTAGTATTTGCTATAGTGTACCTTCTGAAATGACCTGTCTGAGTTTTTAGACATGTCCTAGTCAAACCACCAATCTTGACCACATTCATTTGGTTCTGCTCATCCAGATTGAAGCTGAACGGATTGTTGATGCCAACAGATTATCAAGATCTCCCAATCCCTAATAATTTCATATTCTTGTAAAAGCTATCCATGAATCTTTCGATATGTTTTATTTTTGTTCCACTGATGTAGCCCTGTCAAATTATTGGTCTCCCTGATGTGTCTGCTTAATACCTATTCTGAAATGAATGAAATGTGCCTCATAAAGTGACAGTTTTGTCTGATGGCTTCACTGTTTTGCCCATTTCTCACACAACACTTGAGCTGTATTTTCTTTTTCCTTGTATTTTTGACTTTGACAACTTTTCTGCTTTCTCCTCTCCTCTCCGCCGTCTCACACACTCTTTCTGTCAAACTTCTGTTTACTTTGCTTATGTTTTCTCTCTTTGCTCCCACTACGGACTGAACCTCCCGCTCCCCATACCCACCTCCCACTTCCCCCACTTCCTCCTCCATCTTTTGCTATGTTTCTCTGTAGTTCCTCCTGGCGGCTGCAGCTTTGTTCCTCCCTCCTTCTCGCCTTTCTGGTCAGGTACAGGTGCAGCTTTTCTGCTTGTCTTTGTCTCTTTTGAGCTCATATTTTGGTGATGTTGTTGCCCATATTTCAGAGTTTATGAGGCGTAACTGACTTCATTTATGACATTTTAAGTAAGATATTAATACATCTGAATGAAGTAGAACAGTTTATTTCTGCCAAAAAGTGTCTTTATTTATATTATTTCTAGTTAATATAAAAAAATAAGATTAATCACACACAGTGTGATCAATTTGAAACTTAATCAGAATTTTTAAAATTGACAATAAAGAGGATAAGCCACTGACAGTTCACAGCGTGCTGCATGCAAACATATGAATGGAAAGAACTGTGACAGAAAGAGGTGCACAAGCAATAACGTCACCCTTAAAAGGCCTGTAAAACAAACCCAATTTAATAATTTACTGAAGTATGAATCAACTCATACAAAGTATGAGTTGGTACTTCTAGAGCCACACACACACAGGTATCCAGGAAATGGCCTGCAAGTGTTGCATTCCTGCCATTAAGCCACTCTTGAACCAAACGTGACTGTTTTGTGCCTCTGCACTCTTTCTCCACAGTCTTCAGATGCTGTCTCTGATTCAGGGATGGCTTAACATACGGAGTGGCAGAGTTGCAGGCCAAAGTCTAGATACATGTGAGTGGTGGCTATGGTTGTGCATTTTTTTCTACCACACTTTGTCCTTCCACTCAACCTTCCATTGACATGCTTAGATTCAACAGGAAGTAAAAAGGAAGCTTTCAAGCAAGGATCTTATGCAGCTTGTTCTCCTTGTGAATAGTGTCAGTGACTGTCTGTTATGTAGGTCATTTAACATTTCTGTCTTAAAAAAATGTTTTTGGTGTTATAATATATTACATTTTCTGAGAAACGTAGTTTTGGGTTTTTAGGAATAAATGCTTAAAATATCTCAGTTTGGATGTAATGCAATTTGTGATGTATTTTCATTTTTTTAGTTGAATCACTGAAATAAGTTCATTGTTTAGTAGTACTGTGTTATTGATAGTAGTATAGATACATCACCGTGTTTTCCATCGGTGTTACTACTGCATCATGTCCCATAACGTCAGTACAATAAAGACAAATCAGAACATAAATTAGTGATTTAAATTTATGGCAGATGTTGCTGTTCTGTCTCCAGTTTGTTTTAGAGTGACTTTAAAGTGGCAAAAAGGAATGAAATTACATGTGTGCATTTTTACTGGTCATCGGTCCAAGATATTTTGAAAATGAAAATTGGTTGAATTTTATTGAAATGTCAGGTTTGGTGGAAAGAGTCCAGAAATAGTGAAGAAATGCATATGCAAATGCACTGCAATACCGAACATATTATCATGTAAATTGTATTTGTTACATGGTGAGTGCAAATCCTGTATAGGTGCATATTTATTTGATGGTAGGAGCACCTGTCATCTTACATTGTGCCTCTGTGTGTCCTTGGGAGCAGATAGGCTCCTTTCGTCCAGCGTATCTTCACAGCTGTCATCTGTATTTTCTCTGATAAGGCAGAAAAACCTTTCCATATCCGTGTTCACATGCGACACAAGGCCTGACCTGCACGTGTAAGGAAGAACGTTGTTTATCCTGATAAGGGAGGATGCATTACGTGAACTGACTTCAGGATTAACTTTTAATAAGTTCACCACGAAGCCACAATAACCATGACCTCTGAACTATACAACACTGGGTCCCAACAAGCTGGCCTGGTGAAGATGTCTCCAGGCATACCAGGCAACCGGAAGTTCTCTTCTAGTTTTTATTTACTTCATATTTCAGCATGACTTGAGTCTATCTGGATTCCAAACATCTGAATTATTTTGGGATTGCTTTGAAAGTGAAAAGTGATTTTTTGACAGTGATTCACAATAAAATAACAGGATCTTTCCATGTCTCAGTTATTTCTCCCAGGATCGTCGGTTTTGCAGTGGCACGTTACGACTTCTGCTCCAGAGATACGCGGGAGCTCTCTCTGCAGCAGGGAGACGTTATCAGGATCTACACCAAGATGACCAATGGCTGGTGGAGGGGAGAGGTAGATGGCCAGGTCAGTTGCCTCTGCTTTTGATTAAACAGTTTTGAATTTAGCCTATTTCATATTGCTTTCTTTATCTTTTGCTAGAGAAGGGAAAGATAAAAAAAAATGTAGTCATTTTTTTTGTTTGTTTTCTTTATCTCTTATGTCATCTTACAAGTGAAATGAAATGAAATGTTTTCTTGAGTGAGAAAACAAAAGCATTTTCTTCAATATAGCTAGAGTAGGAAGCTTAGCTAATTTGTACGTCTGATTTCATCACTATTACTAGCAACACTGGAAGTATTAGTATGCTCTCTGGTTGTACTGAAAATGTTCCTTTCTTCACAAGAAAATGTTTGTAAAAGAGTAAAACAATCCATTTTCTCATTAATAGCCTAAGGGCACAGTGCTGACTCGCTCTACATCACAGAAGCTCTTCTGAGTCCTGCAGGTTTTGGAAAGGGGTTTTCTACACAAATGAAATGATAAAATCATAGCTCAACTGCTCAACTTAAAGTCTAAAAATGCGTCGTAAGATATCTATTTTTGTTCAACAGAACAAAAATAGATATCTAGATCATTTCGTAATGATTAACCGCTATGCATGGGTATTATTTTAAAAGAGAAATTTACACACCTGTTTCAAACTAAGACGAAAAACACACGCTGTGCTCTAAGATGGTGATACCATCAGGATTAACAACATTGCTCTAAAAACGATTTGCCTCTCACAGATTTCTTCTGTTTTGTACACAAAAAAACAGCTTGAAATTATAAGTTCATTTATTAAGAGGAAAAGATTATCAAAATCAACCTGGCCCAATGTGAAAAAGTAATTGCCCCTTAATCCTAATACAAAGTCTAAAATTTATCCACTCTGTTGATATTTAGGCAGTTGGTTGGTTTCCTCTCATTAACTCCCTCACTTCCTATATTACTCCTTATCACATTTATTGCTGCTAATGTCTGTTGTGAATGATCTGATAATGTCTGAGCAGTGGTAAAATCTCTCAGAAGTGGATAGGGACTCTTCTATCTGCATTAGTGGATCATTAGTGGACTCCCCTCAAGGAGCAGATGTGTCTGGACAGCTCCCAGTTTAAGAAAATCTCCCAAAATGCATTGTGAACAGCAAAATCAGTGCCCAGAGAATGTGCCCAGAAAAGGAGATGCTGAGGGGGGATTCTGATCAGATGTCCCAACCACCTCAATTGAGTCCTTTTGATTTGGACAAGCAGTGTCTCTATTTTGTGAAAGAACTGTGTCGGTAAGTTCTTAATAATGGCAGTTCAAGTGAGCAGTAATATCACACTGTATGTTTATCGCCTTCCTTTGCGATGTGTTAATTTGCACAAAATTGGGAAAATGTGAACTGATCGCTCAGAGCGAATTTTAATACCAGCTGTGAATGATCATTGTGAAGCCTGTCTACTTACATTACTGCCTAAGTAGGATTCCTGTCAGGTCTGATTTTGTTATTCCAAAAATAATAACTGTGTTTTTCTGTGACCTGAGATTTATCATATAAAAAGATCAAATTTTCAAGATTCTTTTTGATTAGTGTAACTTTTACCTGGTGCCTGATTCTTTTCTGTTCTGCTGTTTCTCAGGTGGGCTGGTTTCCCTCAACTTATGTGGAAGAAGAAGACTAACTGTATTCGATGATAAGTGAAAGTTGGCGACGTGCAATGACGGCCACGCTCTTTACCTTTGCTAAGATCTTTCCCGGATAAAACCAGTACATAAAATGAAGCGATGCTGCCCTTTAAGATCTTCTCTGGGTCGCTGGTAGACTCTCACATGAGAAGGAGGAAAAAGTTGGCAAAATGGAGATTCCAGAGATGTCGTGCAGGGTTGTGGTTCTGTCTGCTTTCTCTGTTCCCTCTCACCTTCTCTTATTATTGATCACTGTTTTGGCTGTGGTAATACCTGCTTTGGCTGTCATCATGTTTCGACACCTGGAAGGTTCAGTCGTCTAGCCGAAGTGCAGATCCTGCTGACAGTGCGCCGCCCAGGTACTTCCCCCAGGCATGAACTCAGCTGCTGAGGCGCTTTGACCGTGGCAGGAACACAGGATTCCTCACTGCTTCGCTTTTTGTTTGTGTTCAGCTTTTTTTTTAAAAGATTTGTTTTATTTCCTTCTCAAATCTTCAAAAATCCTGGACAGATTTGAACTTTCATTTGTTACTCTCCCAGACTCTTTAACATTATTCTTCTTTGAAAAGAATTATGAAATATTTCAGTATTATCGCTCGCTAGACTCTGTTTGACATGAAGAGGAAGGATGCCTGTTTGGAAAAACTCGTAAAAAGGATACATTTCCACCAGAATATGGGGCTAAAATTTCAGTTCTAATAATTCCTCCTGTATAGAACAGTTTAAATGGTTTACACCTACAAAGCTTCTGTTTAAACCTGTGCAGCTCTACATGTCACACATTCACACACCAGCAATGCGCATGGTCGCCATTTTCAGGAACAGAATTTCAAATCCACTCCAAGGACAATTGCACCCATTGAAGGAATAGTGAACGATTGCACTCACAATCATTCACTCACAATCCACTTAACTTCTGACATGTGATAGGACGGTGCTTTAAAAATACTTTTTAATATGCATTTATTAATGAAAACTTCTATCCACAAACACAATCAAAGACAAAACAATGCAGAATAAGTGGGTGATGTAATTAATGGTACAATCTCATATCTCACTGTGGAAACCTGAGTCCTTTGCATTCCAAAGATTTTAGTGTTTACCTCAACTCTTCTTACTTTGAAAATGAGTGATTCAAGGATGATGTAACAGCTGTTCACTGTGGAGCAAAGTAGCACAAGGGCGTCAAAGTGATGAATTTTCCTTCAAACGCCAACGACCCGCTAACCATGTGTGTGACATCAATATTTAATAAAAGCTTTCAATTCAAATTGTACTTTTGAAATTTTGATTGGCAATTCTTTTCTCCTTTTAAGACAAATGTGATATTGCATTAACAATGCCACTGCAGTTGCATCACAAATCCCAGCTGGGTTGGAGACGGTTGTGGAGGAGCGGCAGAGAACTGGCGGTTCTCAAATACGGCTAAACAAGCAGAAGAGACAGACACCTGAAAGCAATTATGCTGCATAGAGGATGGTGCTGCAAAGTCTTGTTTACTCTCTAATTTCCAGCGTCTCGTTCTTCTAGCAAAATACTACTTTAAAATAGTACTTTAGTAAATTAGAACATCATGTGTCAGTAATTTTAAAAATGACACTTATTTATTAAACTGATTCATTACTCACAAAAATATTTATTTCATGTTGTTTTCAGTTCAAAGCTGGATATTGTTGCACAATTTTTGGATCCAAACATACAATCAATGAAGCAGAAGTAACATATTTACAGTCAACTTTAACTTTTTCTAATTTTGCCACAAAAAGCTATAAAATTCGATCTATTTGATGTGATTTTATGCGATAAAACAAAGCAAATATAAAATTAAACAGTGGAAACAAAATGCACACATTAGGACATTTTTGTGATATTTTAGAGCGTTGTTTTACATCTGAAGGGTTATAAAGGCTAGGGAAAAAGCAAAAAATCAGGTAAAAATATAATAAATTTCACATTGGGTTTGTTTATAAGACAATAATCCAAAGTTTGAACATCTCAAAGAGAACGTCTTTTGAAAACAGAAACAATAAAACAGGATCACAGAAACACAAAGAAATATTTGCTGTATCACACATATCACACATATTACAGTACAGCTTACTATAAGAAATAAGGATACATTGTGTTGGCTTTCTGTTAATACATTTTATCATGTATTGAGTTTTTTCATGAGTTTTCTTTTTTTTTATGAAGTAGTAAAAAAACTCAAACAGTTTTCTTATAGCAGTATATTTCATTGGATCGCATTTTAAAGACTTTTATATAGTCTTTAACGCCTTTGCCTTGTACTTTTCAGGCATTGAAGCTTCCCAGTATTGGTGTTCTTGTAATATTAACTGTTCCTCTGCTGCTCCGCTACCTTCCTAATGATCAGACTCTGGAGAGAAGGGCTCTGTTGTGCTATAACAGTGAAACTTGCCATCAGAAAGAGGCAGTGCAGCTAGTTTAATACGCTTTCTCTCCTAAATCTTCCTGCTCCAGTCTTAGGCAAAGAAGATAAAAGACTGCAGCACAGATGTTCAAAAGCAGCCAGAGAGGTGCAGCTGTATAAGTATGCAGGAACATTGTTCACAAGGATGGACGTTTGTGCAAAGGTATGCGTGTGAGAGAGCCAAAGGCCAAGGAGTAAAAGGTGGTCCTGCTTTCTCTTCATCTGTGTAAATGATCTTCTTAGCATCGCTGTCTGCCAGCCATACGCCCTGGATCTTTGTACGAAAGTTAAACAGGGATTTAGAGAAAACTGGAGCTGCCCTTACAGTAAATGCTCTCAATCCCTCCCCAAAGAGCTTGGCTCTGCAAAAGACTTTATTTTTTTTAGATTTATATTCAACTACTGAGTTGTGACCACCAGACACTCTGCAATGTTTTTCCAAAAAATGGATTAGTTTGGCGTGAATTACATTGTTTCAACTTTGACATTGTTTGAGTAAGAAAATATCATTGTCAATGATGTTGTATGCAGAGCATTTAGTTTATATTTCAGTGTAGGTATTACAATGGTATTCATGAAAACCTACTTTTCAACTGCTTTATAGCAATTGCGAAACTTGAACCTCTTACCTTCCAGTTTTTTTTACCTGAAAAACTTATTCAATGCATTCACTGTACATAAATTTAAGGCATTGTCTTGTTAAGTGTGTCCCGGTCGCTTGTCAATCTTTTCCTGTCATACTTTTTCCTTTCACACAACTCTTAATTAATATGCTTGGGCACACTTGATCAACAAGCAGCTTCTGAAATAAATGCTGGAAACACATAATTCTGTGACTCCTCAAAATAATTTACAGAACTGTATAAACTTTTCATTAATAACTTCATTGAGATGTGCCTATGCGCCGATATTACCGTCAAACTGCAGATATAAGGTCACTGAGTCTCCAGATCACAGGCGTTAGGAAGGGAAGGTAGAAACAATCCTTCTGCATTCTTGTCGGCATGATGTTGCTGAATCTTCATTAAGACTCTAACAGCGCTGCCCAGCAATTAAGACCTCCCAGATCAAAGCAGCCTAAACGAGCTAATCCTCAGAGAACTGCTGATCTATCCCCCTCTATCTCCTTATTTCCCCTTCTATCTCTTGCTCACCCCAGTTACTTCCTCTTGACTCATGGCGGGCGCGCTGACTGGGCTTTGATGCTTGCCAGCAGTTGGTCCTCTAAATGTAAAATGTTGGATAAACACAAATTAATGGCTTTCACTTCATATCCTTGATCACAACTTGCCTGAGCTTCGGAGCATATTTTCAAAGGTCTTAATATGTAATCGGAGATCAAGCATCAGGAGGCACTTAAATGTGAGGCCCACATATGGAGAAGCTCGATGAAGTACACAAACCGATGACGGTTGCATCAGCAGCCTGGCATTTAGGACACTGCATTAAAGCTCATGGTGAATCAAGCCTCTTGTGAGTTTGCTGAGGTGGAACTGGCAATGGCGTCAAAGCGAGTCACAGCTCTGAGGTCAGTAGTTGTTCAAAGGAGCGTGACGCTGTTTCGCAGGTCTGTCATTATCATAGGGAAGCAGAGCATCTGCCTGTGGTTCCTGGGGACAGGTTTAACAAGGTGGCGCTGCTTGTCCTCTTTGGCAGGAGGCTGTCTGTCTCCCGACCCACCTGCTTGCCCTCTCTTTCCAACCAGCTCTGCCAACAGGAATGTTCAGGTTTGCTGTGGTCACTTTCCTTTAGGGAGCCTTTGGCTTCATTGCAGCCTTTTATGGTAGACATTTTTTGTGCACACTGTAACAAGATTCTCTTTGTTTGTGTGTGTGTGTGTGTGTGTGGGTGTGTGTGTGTGTGTGTGTGTGTGTATGTGTGTGCGTGTGTGTGGGGGTGTGTGTGTGTGTGTGTGTCTGTTTTCTGGCTTTAAACTGTTTCTGCCCAGTGTTGCTAATCTCTTAACAATACAAATGTTATTATTAACATTAGTTGTGCTTCATCTTTTACTTGTTTCATACCAGTTCTTGAGCCATCAAACACCATTTTTTATTGTTTGTTGGCCAAAGGAAAGAGTCTCTCTTCTAACACTAATCCAAGTAGAGCAGAAACCAGATGATTATATATATATATATATATATATATATATATATATATATATATATATATATATATATATATATATATATATATATATATATATATATATATATATTTATTTATTTATATAAAGAAGACTTTTTCAACTGTACAATTATCTTCCAGATATAATGTCTGACAATAAGGCATCATGGCAATAGTATTAACATGTAAAGAAACAGCTGTCATTAAAATAGAGGTGGAGAATGCATCAAAAGAGTCACTAATTTGCTATGATGCAAAATGTAATTAACTATTAGCGCTGCTATTTACTGTACTTTGATGATTACTTGAAAACCTTCCACAGTTCCGCTCACACCATTACAAATTTACATTCTCCAGCTGTGTTGTTTCTGTTTTTCAAGTCAGAAGTAATCATGATGTAATCTCCAATAACCAACCCAAAAAAAAAAAAAGCACAGCTTCCCTCCCAGCAAGCTCAGAAAAAGAAGGAATAAAGCAATGTTTTCCAAACCCAGATGCTCTGGAACAAAATGTGAATGGCATATTTTATTTATGAACCACACCGCTGTGATGTATAAATATTTTTTTCACATGGTGATAGGGGCTTGCTGTGCCATAGTCAGCCGGGGCTGATTTGCAATTTAGTTGTGGCAAGAAAATCCAACGTACTGGATTTGGCATTGAGGAATAAACTACTGATGAGACCTCTGATCACACCTGAAAATGAATAGGATTACCTTTTGTGACGAGAACTACTGACTGGAAAAAAAAGAAGGGAAAATCAAATCAATTTACCTGAAATTACAAGGAGAAAAACAGTTTTTCAAACCTCCACTTGATTTCATACAGTTGAATTTTCCTGGTTAAACTTCATTTGTCCACCTCAACTCTTTAAATTATTTATGATGCAACATGTAATTGTAGAGTTAGGAGATTTAAACATGCAATTTTAACAATTCCCTTCCTTCCTTTCAGCAGTAAATTAGTAAGACCAGAGCCATAATATGGGCCTCTTGAAAGGACCACTGCAAGAACAGAGTAATTGGGAGAGAAGAAAAAATCATTTCAATCATGCTCTAGAAGAGGCAGCTTAACTGTCTTTGTTCTGTCTATTGATTCTGGTGTAGTCCAGGCTCTGTGTGCCAAGCTCGCGAACCTCCCACCAGCTGTCCTTGCAATGTCAGAGATGTGAATAGCGGTTTGATAAAGCCACATATGGCATGCTGCTCCAACCTTTCCATGAGTGCCATTTCTTTCTTTTGTGTTGTTGCACAAATAGGGCCGAAACATTTTCTAAAGCTGTAACTGAAAAGAATTGATTTGGGAGGAGAGGATGGATGTTCTTATGAAATTAATAATATAGAATTAGTAATGCAGGGAGGATTTGCCTCAGTAAATGAGTTCAATAACAAATCTCTCGAGCTTTAACAAGAAAACCTTCATTTATATTGCTGACAAATAAGTTTTGACTGAAATATTTTTGAGACCTCTAACTTTTATTTATTTTTGCTCTAATTACTCTATTGAGGAAATAATATAACTTATTATAGTTTAAGCACTGTGTCGTACATTAACAAATCAAATGGCATTTTTGTTTAGCTATTTGTTTATTATAATTACCTAAGCTGAAAAGTCTAATAGATTAATTATGATCCGATAATCATAAAAGAGAGTGATGCAGGTATTTATTAAACCAGGCTTTAAATGATTAACTTGGAAGACTCTCAATGTTCTTTGACAGTTCTGACAGTTAACACATAAACTATAATTACAGCAATGCTACTATCAACAATCTGCCTTAAATGCATCAAAATTGATTTTCTGTGCTATATAAAAGATTTGACCCAAACCAGTGGGAAAGTATCTCAAAGTACAACACTATGCCTTCACAGTGTAAACTGCACTGCATTTTAGATCAGCATATCCATGAATTCAGGCTGCTGGATTGTAGCAGATAACATCAAGGTTAATCAGAGTACAGCATAGGTGCTCTGTTTTATATTGTTGCGTTTGGAAATGAAGAACTGCATTGTGGATGTTTTTTAAGGTCTTTTTTAAAGCTTTGAGATTTATAACAAGTGGAGATTTTCAAGTGGACACAATTGAAAATTCAAAAGAAATCAGCTGAAGTATCAGGAAGAGAATTATTGAACTGCACAAATCTGGTTCATCCTTGGGAACTATTTCCAGATGGCTGAATGTATTTTTCTTCAAAATGTACATATAGACCCCACAACAAAGGCAGAAGACCTTGTGGAGATGCTGCCTGAAGTTGGTAAGCTAGTGTCATCTGAGTGGTCAATCATGATTCATATTAGAAACAGTGACAATGTCATTTTGGATGTGTGAAGTTGTCATTGCTATAAGAAAAAGTTTTTCCTCACTTAAAATAATGAGAAAATGTTCTGACAATAGCTTTTAGCACAGTAAGTGCGACTGTCCTTGCTAAAAAAAAGCAATCTGCATGTGCAGAGAATGAGATCCTCCCTTAACTCCGAGGTTAACATTTACAATCTCCACATGTCGGACAACAGATGACAATAGTTGATTTGAAGGATAAAACATCTATGAGACAGAAAGGCTAGAATAAAAATATTTAAAATTGTCGGTAGTTATAGTTCTTAAAATAAAGCCGTAAGAAATGCTTTTCAACCTCGGAGATCAGTAAAATGCAAAACTAAAAAGAAAAAACAAACTGATAGCTAAGCCATTTCTTGTAGCTTAGCTATTAAACCTCAAACATTTAAACTTCAGTACATTCAATATTAAACCATATAGCTTTGAATCCAGTGGTTTAAATATGATCCCTTCATTCTCAAACAACTTTATTGTAACACTGAAAAATCTAATAATAAAAATGAATAAATAAATAACTACACGGTGGCTGCATCACTCAATATTTAAAGGTTATAATAAAAAAACAAGTTATTATAGGGAATAAAGCAAAATGGCACACATTGTCAGTCATTTATCTAGCTCTGAGACTTTTCCATGTATTCTCCCAGGTCTGGTAGCTTGATTCAGCCAACTCAAAATTAAAAGTTAATAGGCGATAAACAAATGATTTATTTGTTTCAAAAGAGGTTTGCATATGACTCGTACATTATAAATAAAGTGAACTTGAAAGGATGTAAAATAATGTAAAACAATTTTGACCCACAATGAGAACAAATCACCTTCTGGCACCTATAAGGTCAAAAAACTGGATCTTTTCAGCAGAATGGAAGCAAGATCTTTTATCTGAGACATCTTGAATGAAACTCTTGTCTCCCTGCTCTAAAAGTTCTGTACAGTACTTTTAATTTTGTGCATGCAAACATTGTGCAACCATATGTAACTTCTCCCTCAACTCGATGCCAGCATTTGCAAAGAAACTTTCTAGACAAACAAACTGACAAGCAAACAAATAAATAAATAAACTTTCATTCCCAGGCAGCGCACGCTCTTTGAGAGCAGCTCGAACAGAAAGAAAGGCTTTCTAACAACTGCAGCTCTCCGTATGGAACCAGGCTGTCTTTATTTCTTGTCTTTCAGCAACTGCTGAACCAAGGGGAAAAGTTTTTCCTGGTGACAGGGTCATGGACAAGTTCTTGATGAGTGAGAAATGAGAACTGTGAGGACCTGCAGCCGCTTAACTCCAGTTCTTCAGCAGGCGATGTAGATAAACATCCTGCTATTCATGACCTAAATAGAAGCTTCGGTTTCCTCCAATCCTCTGATTTTTAGCAGCCGATGGAGGGGCTTTTGAAGGCGGGCTTCTGTCTCTATTTTAAGCGTGGAAATAATTAATATTCAAATTCTTGTGACATTAGCGAAGTATGAGAATGTGATATGCTTGCACTTCTTACACATGCCTTACAATGGTATTATTTACGGTGTTAAATGTTGGAGAGGTTTAGCTTCTGTCCCAGAAGAGTTCTCAGTTCTGCTGCAGGCCATCTTCACCTCGGCTGAATATTGATATTGATTTGCAAATGAGCTGAGTGCTCCAGTCATGTTGCTGAGCCTCCTCTTTCCCAGACACTGAATACCCCTGAATGTCTTCTGTTGCGTAACTTTTGTGCTGGTGCCACCAGCGCTGACAGCGGCAGAACACAAGGACTGCCTGTGTCTAAAAGTGTCCTCCTGATACCCCCTCCTGGGTCTCGGATGTGAAAAGAGGAAGGACAAGGAACTGCTGTGACACGGAACAGTGGGGAATGTAAGAGGTAAACAGAATTTGGTCTTTTCTTGTGGGAGGGAGGACTCGGAATGTAACCCCTGGAAAAAAGCCTCTTGCTGCATCTGCAAAACCAGAACAAATTTATCAAGCAAAAGAAATATATTCAGCATTCTTTTCAGAAAAAATATAAAAGTATTAAAGCAACAGCGCACATATTTCATCTATATTTTCATAAAGATAGTAACATCATATATTAATGTTTTCTTAATGAAAATAACTGTGGCACCTTCATAAATTCCCCTTGCCTTTTTCACATCTTGAGACAGCGTAACAAGAAACTTTATTGTATTTTGTTGGGATTTAACAGAACAACACAAGAGTGTTTAACGCTAAAGTGTAAGGATGGATGGGTTCGTATTTATTTTAAAACTAAAAGTGTGAGAAATGCAGTATGGATGCTCAATCAGCTCCCAAGCGATTTAGATCCAGAAATGAATGGAGAACATCTGCAAACACATCAGACAGGGTTGGACAGCCTATTTCCCTTAATAGGCTTAATAAGAAATAACATTTCTTAATAAGAATAAACATCACCTTAAACCTGCTTTCTGCATTCATCCAGGGTTTTTTATGCATGGCGTTCAGATTCATTTGATGATGTGAAATATTAAGGTGTGACCTCAAAGCAAATATGAAATAAATTTGTCAAGTGGGAAATAGGTTTTATAGCAACGCATGAACAATTCATCTACCACTTTTGCAGCTGGTAAAATGCAATGTTGTTGCAGGTCACTGCTTGCAACCATAATAATAAAAAAATCTTAAAAATATTTGCACTATATAAAACAAAGTCCTTCAAAATGCTGCAGCAGCTTGTCCACTTATTGATTTTTTTTTTTTTTTTGCAGTCGACTTGTAGAACATCTTTTGCTTTTTGTGATTGTCAACAAAAATATTGACTTCCAAATATGGTTAAAAGTTAAGCATTGTTAGGAGTTTTTTCTAATTTAACTTCTCACTTTACAACAATCCTTAAAAAAAACCCTTAAAAATCACACAAATATAGATGTTGAGCATTTATTTATTTTTTTAAATAAAATGACAAACACATATTTATTACTTGTGTTATCCTTTGTAGATGTATGTGCATGACCAGCACTTGGTTAACTCTTCCAAAAAAAAAAATGTAATATTTTCTTAAAAAATAACATCCATCCCTTTGTAAGTGGTTTTATACAGTGGATTAATCCATGACAAACAGAATTTCCTAATCTCCAGAGTCTCATTCACAAAAAGGCTACTGCTTTCTATCAGAGACAGTGACGTTTAATGAGAGGCACTTACATTAAACTCTAGCACAATTAGGCGTTTCATGACAACCTCAGGAGTAAAATTAATCCCTCGAATAAAATTGGTCTCGGTTCTCAATATGTCACCCCGTGGGACGCAACTTCATTTCTATTCATTGACCCTCCACGAATTAGAGCTCATTTCCTGAGAGCACGGCTTTGCGGCGGCTCCCGCAGCAGGATGCATGGCTTTCATCTGCAGGAGCGCAGGAAAAAAACTTCCCTTATTCTCATTTGATTCGAGGATTAGATCTGATTACAGATTTGAGCTGGACAACCTCTGCAACGGTCACACAATCTTCTTTTCTCCTCTTGTTAAATTTATATGAAATTGACGGGATTTCAATCCAAGATTCCTTCATAAGCACAACAGGGATGTGTTACAGAGGAGCCCGCTTTTCATCAGCAACTGATGCTTCGTGGAATAGTCAATGATCAAAACGAAAAGCTTTTAAAATGGCATTCAGTATTTGTAATTTGTCTGCATTTATCAGTGGACAGTAAACAATTTTCTTGTTCATATTTTGTCTCAAAAGTCAAATTTCTGCCTAATAAAATTACTGCTTTTCAACAACAATACAAAAACATGTTTTTTCTTTTGCGCTTTGGTGGAAGTGTATTTTGTGGGCGTGTATGTAAACATATTCTGACAGCAGCTCAGGCAACGAGAGCCATGTGTCCCACAAGCAACAACATCAAAAATAATAATAATAATAATAATAATAATAATAATAATAATAGCTTCAACACAACCAATTTCCTTAGTCACTCTTAGCCCACCTCTACTGAAGGACAGGTCAGCAGCAGTAGAAAACAAGTAATACATCTTTTTTTTTGTTTGTTTTGCATAATCATGAAAATATCTGTTTTATAGAAAATTAAATACACTTACAGTATTTTACAACTTTTTTCGGATATAGGTGAGCTCAAGCAATACTACAAGGCTTTTGAAAACAAAAAGATACTAAACTGGAAATTGTAGGGAGGGATTGGTAGTAATACATGTGCAGCTTTCGGCAAAACAACAGACACCCTGCAGCAGCAAAGTAAAATCACTAGGGTCACTAAAGCACAGGAAGGGCTGGGGGCCTGAAGGTTCTGGGTGGGGAGAAATGTAAGTATGAAAATGGGAGGCAGTGAAGCAAGACGTCATAAAGTGATAGTTTAGATTTTTTTTTTTTTTTTGGGTGAGTCAATGTGAAGACATTACCAGTAAAAGCTTCTGTTCTTGCAGTAGTCAGATTGTCATGTCACCACTATTGTTGTCAGAAAAGTGAAGAACTACTTAGACCAATGAAAGGCTAACAGATAGTTAGCATGGCCATCCATTTTGGCTTTTTCTTTTTTTCATCAAAACAACTCCAGTTAATAACACTTATAATTCTGGAATAAAATTGTGACTCATACTGGTATCATTTGTGAATAATTGCATCAAACAAACAGGATGTCTGGGTTTTAATATTGTTAGCAAATGTGACCCGATTTCAGATGTTTAGTATCACTAGCAGAACAATGTTTGTGGTACTACCGAAAAAATTAAGTGGCTGTCTACAATTTCAGATTGCCTGATCATCATCATCTCACCAGTCTGGGTAAAAACATGAAACTAGACAAGAGTTTGAGCAATAATTTAGATTTTTTTCTCAGGCTGTCATTCACTGCCTTAGTTTTCTGTCTGGTTAACTTTTAGCCTTCAACAGTGACAGGTTAGGGTACTACTACTTAAAATAACTGTAAATAACTTAAAAAATATCCAAACTACCTTTTTAAGAGATCTTGCTTCACTATATTTTCTCATAATACTTTAGATGATACCTAGGAATCTTGTGTCTTGTTTTTGTACAGTTTGTCACCAGAAACCGACTTGCGTTGTCTGAGCAGAGAATCTTCTCTCTATGATGGGGTACTAGAGAAAGACATTTTCACAAAGCGAGGGCACCGACAGTCTTTTCACGTGAGGTTACAAAACAGTGTCTTTTTTCCACTGTGCTTTCCAGAATTCTTTTTGTCATTAAACCTGCTGCACTACTTTCTTCTTCTCCCACCGACTTGGTCTTGGCCATACAAAAAAACGTTGCTTATACTGAGCACATTGTCCACACATTCTTTGTTTTTTTTTTGTTTTTTTTCAGTGTTCATAAGATTGAGAGTTCGTTCTCAGCATTTGTGGTCTTAGGGTTTTATTTGGAGGATTTTGGTTCAAGCCTCTCAGCAAAGAGAAACAACTGAAAGCAGGATCATTACAAGGGGAAAGAACAGCCGATGCTTTATGGGGTGATGATGGAGTGCTGCCCGTCCAGATAGCTGGTCATCACACTTTCCGGGACCCTGGCATCTAGCTCTCTCACACAGGACACCCGTGAAGCCGGGGGCACAGTGACACCGTTGGTGGTGGTGGCATGTGCCGCCGTTCTGACAGCGTAGCATCGCATTGTCACACACCCGAGCTGTAGAGACAAAGCAGAAAGGGCAGGAGAGGTAGACAGGAAGGCGTGATTAATAGATCACTCAGTGAAAGGGGCAGAACAGAACATCAACAAGCAGGTTCATAGGGCACAAGCTGCCTCTTCCTGTCCTGTCTGCGTAGCTAGGAGTCCTTACTGAGTAGCAGGCAAGTCAGGAAGGGCCAAGTACAGCAAGCAGTCTTGGAAAAGACAGAACAATCAGCTGCATGAGAAAATATTTGCACTAAACAGCTGTTGTTCGTAGAAGAATGCTAGCAGCAAACATCTTTCAAAAACAGTTTCATTGCCTAATACAGCAAATACTCTCCTAGAAATGAACAGGCACTTTCCAAGAACTTTTGTGGAACTTTGCAGATGCTTTGGTGGACTTTTTTGTGAAACCTTCAAGCTAGTTCTCAAAAATCACCAAATGATGCCAGGAACTTACCAGGTACTTTCCTGGAACTCACTGCACACCTTTCAGGAAGTAACATCTAAATAATTTGCAATTTCTAAGGAAGTGTCGTATAAGTCTTTAAGAAAATTCTAGCAAAATACTTAGTATGTTTCTGTAAAGTTCACAAATAGTACCTGATATATTTAAAAAATGTTCCAGGAAAGATCCTGGTTAACTTTAGAAGAGTTCAGATAAATTAATCGATAAGCTCCAGGCTGTACCTGGAATATTTGTGGAATATGGAGTAATATGGAGTTAAACACCAGTGAATCAGAGGAAGTAGGGCAGGTTCACAAATCTGCTGCACTGTACAATATCTAAAATAACAATATTGTGAATACTGAATTTAAGCATCAGTCACAGCACGTCCCAGTCCATATATTTTTTGTTGAATGTCAGTTTCTCCTAGTAATCTTGAATGTATCATTTAAATTCAACAGCCTGGCCGCGGCTTTGTGTTGGCTTTGAATTGTTAAAAATCCCTTCTGCTTTTGAGTTATGTGAAATGACATCTACAAAGTGAATTGATTTATTTTTCTACTGTTGGAAGGAGGGTCAAAATTGTTGGCAGAACATTATGAAGATGGTTTTCTGTAGGTATGGGATAACAACTAACAAAATACCACAGCCTTTATAGTTGCTGTTATTTTCATTTTGTAGTCAAGCTTTCAACAAAAAAAAAAAAACACATTGTTGAAAAAGGTTCCATTCCCAGAGATGGATTGCCTTAGCACCCATCGAATCTTTATTTATTTGAATATAGAGTGATGAGGATTACGAAAGATGATGTTCATGTTTCTTTCTTTTTTTTCACACAAAACCTCACAACTCAATTATCTCAGGAAGCCTTTCCACTGGCAGAGGTGAAATCCAGGAAGAGGTAATGTTTGCACAAAGATTTCAGTGTAATTGGATATCTCCTCCTGCATAAATAGCAATCACATTTTTGGTTTTCAGTAGTGCGGCTCATGCATCAGAAGAAAAAAAAAAAAAGAACAAACAATAATTTTTCATACCAAAACTGATTAAAAACGCATTGGGGTTTCGTCTAACTCAAAATCATTAACTAAGACTTTGCTTGTGTTGTTTGCGTGAATGGAAATTCCACCTGTGGATCCAGGTTTCTACCTTCAGTCTGGCATTTTGTTATGTGCAATGATGGATGATTGTTCTGTTTTTTTCTGTGTATTGAATTTTTATTTACAAAGGAACCGCACGGGCAAACTTTGCATTATTTCCAGTCTGTCTTACTTAAAATGCACAAAAGTGCTCTGTGACAGATTCTTTTTAGCACCATCCATAAACAGTGGTGCAAAATAATGTGGTTGCCAAAACACATTAAACCAGAAACTGAGGCAGATATGTTGGACAGATCTAAACTATTTAATACCAAATTGTAAATCCTAAATAAGATGATAAAACATGTTATTTAAATAATATAATTCAACATTTGTGGCCCAGTCAGCACATTAACATTGTTGCCTATGGGTGAATGATGCCCTTTGTGTCCTCTGGTTGTGCCTCAGGACTCTGGTTTCCCTCAAAGCTGCCTGAAGAAGCTTGTATTGTAGAAGTCTGTGTTAGCCATTTGGCTGGTTCTGTGTTAGGGGATGTAGAGAAATGGGAAAAAAAATAAAGTATATTGATGTTAGAAAGTGTCACGCAGAAAATGATGTCAATATCAAGAGTTAAAATGTGAGAACAAATACATATAACTGATCGATAAGGTCACAGATGAATGAAAGGATAGAATCCTCTTCTGCAAATCAGAAGAAAAAAAATCCTGTGTGAAGTCAGATGTTATTTAACTTCCTTAAAATTAAACTGACTATTTTTTCAGGGCTTTTTTATGATTATAATAATTTAGAAATGGTCTGATTGCCTAAAAATCTAATTCCAGAGTGCCTAAAAGTGAATGTGCTGTCTTTTTGATGCCTCCCAGATGCCTCCCAGAAGAACTTCCTGAAACCTTGAAATGACTATTTGATATGTTCAACTTTAGTGATAATTTTAAATCTGATGTATATATATTTTTCTACAAGACATCCTCTTCATGGAAACAACTGGAAACAAGTATTCATGTAATGACAACATTTCAGATATGCCCTAATTTACAGCACAACAAAACTAGGCTTTTCGATACTCAATAGACAAATATTGCATATTACGTTAATTACAATCAGTATAGAATAGGTGAATAATTTTTTAAAAAATTGTTTTCATGACATCATTTACTCCTGAACTCGTGCTGGCAGCAGGGGAAGACAGCACCATGCAGCACACCCTCTGCAGACATATGTGTGCCGCACACCTCTGTCAGATGTGTGACATTTTAACAGTGTAACTGTTGTGACAGATCTGTCCTCAGGCCTCTGTGGTACATGAAGCAAGAGGGAGAAAAAATCTCTACAGCAGAGCCGCAACAGTGACACGAAGGACAAACATCTGACGCAATTGCAGGGTGTGTGTTTTAAATGTCATTGCATCTTTTGCGCTCGGGTGTTTCTCTTTCATGCAAAATGTTCGGAGCCAATTAGAACATCATTCACTCATTAATAACCCAAATAAGTAAAGTTTGTGCATTGGGATGACAGGAAATGTTTTAAATTCAACTGATTTTCTAATCTTCTCATCTTTCTGAGGTCTTGATGTCCTCTGATACTCTGCAACTCAAGTCAGAGAGATACAGTGTACCACAGTATGATAAGAGGCTGGGAGTCACAAATCAATGCACTCAGTCATATCTCCTGCAACTCTTCCTTTTGCAAAAGATGCCGATCCTTTGTGACCAAGGAAGTTATGTTGGCTACATGTGGCAAGCCAAGTTAAGTGTTTAATTTCAAAGCAACAAAACCAATATCGTAAGAATCGAGTCTAATTCGTAAAATTTGAAAAGGATAATTAAAGACAGCCAAGACCCCACAGAGACAGCAGCACCTCTATTTAATTACATGTAAAAGGCAAAGTTAAATCATATCTACGTTGATGCATTTAATCATTTTAAAAGGCGTTTATAACTACAGATTCACCAGTGTAATTAACCATAACTAGAGATATTTCTCAGACACAGGATCTGTTAATTATATGCTTGGAGCAAGAATAGTGTTGTTTCAATTACACGCGGTCAATATCTTTTGCCATGATGTCGGTGTAAGCTGAAACGTCGCCTTCAGACTTGCCTCCTCTTATTATATTAGCATACAGGCTTCATCATTAGTCAGTGATTTAAGACTCTGAAGTTCAATAAGCACTGCCAGTGTTATGATACACCACTTGACTGTGGAGGAGATATAAAATATCATCTCTAAAGACCAAACAGCAAATGCTTTCCATTTTTACGGGAGCGTTGCACTGGCTAATGCATTTTAATTTGAAAGTGTGGAAAAGTAAAATTGACAACTTCATTTATAAGCAATGAAAAAGCCTGAAATAATACAATTTTGTTTTAAGAAAGGGATAAATGAATACATCTAGTATAAAATTCTATGTTTTTGGGTAATTTCTATCTTGGATTTAAAGTGAAATTTACAAAAATGGTTCTAAATGGCCAGATTAATTTAAGACCAGGGATCTTATGCTTGATTGGCATTGTCCAAGCAAAAATAACAATCACAAATCCATATCTTGGAAGCACATTTAGTCTTGTGTTTTGGATTTTATTCATGGTGTTTATTAGTAACAAAAAGGACATTAAATAACTCCAAACTTTACATATTTTTGTGTTCATTACTTTGTGTTGTTCTGTCAGATGAAATGTTAAAAAATTCTTTACATTTGTTTAAAAAGTGTCTTTCTTTATAGCATGTCACAATCACAGCTGAAAGAAAGAAATTTGGAATTTGTCCAATCAGGTTTCCACAGATTTTTATTTCTGAACTAGAAGACTCGGGCTCACAGACCTGAAGCATCGCAGCCGACTAGATTAACAAGCCAACTAAAGCCAACTGAACACTTCACACCCACGACGGCGACAGGTTAAAGCGTAAACAAACTGACCTGTGGATATTAGAATCTGCAAGAATAGAAAATATTGTACGAATTCTGTCCCAGACTCCATCAAATGAAAGGGATGCCATAGTAGGTAATAGGTACAGCTTATGACTGTTTTTTGTAATTTCTTTCCATTCAAGGTTGTTTGTGACTTTTGTAGGCAGTTTTAATATTAGTGTTATTCTAAAAATGCGTTTCAAGTTGCAGGATAGTGGCTCTCGAGAACGGAAGTCAGACAGGCGTGGCGCGGTGCATCTCCAGCTTCAAAAGGTAAACGCACTTTGAAGCTCACCAAAGCTGACCCTGGATTTCCTCGCACTATTAGCCTAGTTTGTGTCACAATCTCTTCAACTTTAAATTTAGTTTGATATTTTTAGTCTGCTTGTGGTAGTTCCAGTGCACACCTGTGTTTTTCATCCCGGCTTACACTTTTCTCTGTACCTCGCGTCTGTTCTGCATGTGTTTATTCTGCTGTATGGGATTCAGAAATCAAAGTAATCATGTCTCTCCCATCGTTGTCTCAGCTTTTAGCTCCTAAACACCATTAAATAACAGTTTATGATTACAGTCCAGTAAAAATAGCTCTCATGGATCCCAAACTGCTGGAAACCAGTAGAGGTATGTTATTTAAACAAAAATTGACTGTATATTGTGATGGACATAATTGATGATTCTTTAAATTGGAGCACCTTTGTCATGGTTTAACAAAGCAAATAAGCAGGTTCATATTCAGTTTTTTTGTATCTCTAAATACAAAAAGGAAGCTAATATAAATCAGAATGAAGAGACTTTGGTTCATAAGACTGCAGGTTTTTATCTTCACACTTATTTAAATAGATCTATGTGGGCTTGCTGGGCTTTTGTTTGATAAGTCCATTTTGAAATCACATGCACAGAAATCCACATACTCTTCAGAACTGTTTATAATTCATGAACATGTGCTAATTTGCTTGGTTTAATGAATCTGGCTCATATTTAATTTAAAGAACTCTTCTGTAGCACAAATAAAACGATTAGCTGTTCTGCTTTCATTTGAAATTCAAATATACCAGCTTTGACCACAGAAATGTTGTTCATTGTGAAATTTTCAGTGCATAAGTGATTGCCTCATCAGTTTGTTTTAAAAAAGTATGCACAGAAAACTTACTGTGCCTGACAGAAAGTTCATTTCGATGAAATATATGCCCAGACACCTTTTGTTGAAACAACAGATTTAGAGAAAAGAGGGAAATTTTGGGGTCCTGTCAACAGAACATTGCATTATCTACAAAAGCGAGATTAAAAAAAAAAACCCTTCCTTTATTTTGGGAAATTCTTAAAGTCTTACTTTAATTTTTCTCCCTTCTCCTGGTTGTGAGAGCAGTGGTGCAGATGCGACTTAAGACTCACTACACAGGATATCTGGGCATGCGGATTAGCTGGAGATAGCTGGAGATCAATCTACATAAACCTCCCTGAAGCCTCTTTTCTCCTTCCTTCTCCTTCTCTGCGATTCCTTTTTTTTTTAATACTTCCTTTTTCTACCTTAAGAAGAAGGCAGAAAGGGTGCATCCCCAGAGAGCATTCTGGGTAATTAAAAAGAGGGCATGATCAAAGAGGTTAGAAGGCTGTGGACTCGGTGATCCTGAGGCACGCGGCCCATTCCCTGCAGTGTTCTCACAACAAAAAAGGTCTGCCTTGTAAGGACCAGCGTGTGTCTGTGGCGGCAGAATGAAAGACAGCTTTGGTCAAAACAGACTACTGATTTCTGTAATTTCCATACCAACACAAAGGCTTTTTTTCTTTTTTTTTTTTTAAGCAGTCAATTCAGTCCGTGAGTTGGTAATGTCATGCTGAAGTTACAAAACCTATGATCCTACCTTGGTTACGATTTGCAACACCGAGAGATGAAGCATTTGCTCGATCTGCGTGGAAATGGAGAGGGTATTTATTACATCAATTGTCATATAGTTCAACTTTCTATGCTTTGAAAGCGCAGGGGAGGGGGAGATGGCATGCATTGTCCAGTTTTTTTTTTTTTTTTGCAGTATTCTACATCTCATCTGTTTTATATCAGTTATTTGAAAGCTTTCAGCAGGACATTGGGGGTAATAAATGAGTTAATGCACAGACAGAGTAGCGTGCATGCAGCCAAAGTGAATTTTCCACAACAGAAAGGCAGGGAGGTCTATGCATGAAAATGGCTGTTGTTATTCAGCATGTGGAGTCACCTTCAGGCATCAACATGCGTAGGGATGCGCGGCTGGAGCCACGTCTTCATAAAGAATGGCTTTTTCTTTGCTTTTGCTTTGGGCACATATTTGTGTGCGTGTGAGTGTGTTTGAGAAAATATTCAGGAGTGTAAAGCAGATATCTTTCTTTGTTGTGCTAATGCAGGGGCAAATGCAACATTAAAAAGAAAAGCTAATTAGTAAACAATGTACATTTCAATATAACTCGAACACACTTTTTGGCTGTTTTTATAAAAACTAAAGTAGATGTAACATCCATGTAGCAGGACTCTCTTAAAGTATGTACACTGTTTTCATCCCCATTTGGCACATTGATTACTATATTTATATTTTAAATAACAGACCAACACAAAGTAATCCATTAAAGTTTGTGACATGCATTTGTATTCATCCCCACAGATTGCCGAACAAACTTTCCCTGCAATAAAAGCTGCATGTTTTATGGGCTTGTTCTTTACAAAATGAAGGCATTATCTGCAAAAGAGCTGTAACTCTGTAAGATTTGCTACTGAGTCTCAGAAGACAGCAGTTCTCAGGTTGCCATAGATTCTTAATTAGATGTTGGCCTGCGCTGTGATTGGGTCGTTCTAAGGCATGAACATGCATATGAACAATTCTATTGTATCTCTGGCTTTATGTTCAATCATTCTTCTGCTGGAAGGTAAACTTTCTCTTTAGTCTCAAGGATTTTTTTTTTTTTTACATTCTGTAACTGTTTTTGTCCAGAAGTGCCCTGCTCTAAAAAAACTCTCACCAGCTTTCATGAAGAAAGAAATCAAGAAAAGCATCCCGATGGAATGATGATACCAACTTCTCAGTGGGGGTAGTGCATGCAGGGGGTTGGTTTCACAGCTCATATAGCATTTTCTTTTTCCATGGGTGCAGAAAATTTCAATTTGATATCTACTTACGTCAGAACTTAAAAGTGGCTGCTGTGTTCTCTGCATGGCTTTGGAGTCATTGTTTTTAAACAAGACTTTTTGTGACTTCTTTCAATAACCGCTTTCTTGATGACAGTCTTGCATAAATCTGCATAGTGCAAAATGAATAATTCTAAGACTCTCCCACCTGAGCTGTTGGTCTCTGCAGCTCCTCCAGAGTTACCATGAATTTCTTGGCTGCTTGCCAGTTCTATCTGGTTGAATACAAATGCACATACCAATCAAACTTATTATATTTGATTTATTTCTGGTTTATTTTTTTAAGCAAGAAATAATTTACCCTCTGCTTCACTGTTATTGTAGATGCTACTTTATTGATTGAGTATAAATAAAGTCTGATTAAAATACATACGGGTTTGTGGTCGTAAGTAGACAAAATCTCAAAAAGTTCAAATGACATGGATACTTTTTAAGGCACTGAAAAAGTCATGCTGATGATTTAGACCTAAAACCCTCTTTTCATTTATTTTATTAAGAAAGCTACAAATATATATAAAAAATTTTTATATGTCATCTGTTAATGCACTGTTTTCAGGCTTCATCATGTGTGTTATTGTGTGTAAAATTGTCCTGCTTTAATTTTCAAGAGGCTCAAAATGCAAAATTTTAAGAATAAGAAGGCCTGTTCACAGGAATGACCATTTTATATTATATGAAAAATATATCAGCTCTAAGGCAAATATCTCCTTTATGAAACGTTTCTTTGGGGGTTTTTTTTAGAAATCATTCCGGGGTTAAGTGCATGTCATTCTCTTCATGAGATGCACAAAACAATTTATTTTTTTCCCCTCCATGCATTGGTCCATTTTCATTGATTAACTGGAATATAAAATGTGCTGCTCTACAAGAATGTCTGGTGTAAATGGATTTTTCTGACAGTGTAAAACATGCTGATCACTGCTACACATGTGCCACAGTTTCTCACACAAACATCATCAGTTCAAGAAGAGTTAGTCATGACTGGGGGAGGAAACCCATTAGTCAGCATGCCAATTAAAAAGCTCAAACAACTTACGCACTGGTCCATGATTGTTGGGAATGCCTGCGGAAAGAAAGGAGGGGGGGAAATAAGTGTTTCATTCAAGTGTCAGCTTGTTTAACTTTATGTTTAATACATTAGTCATAGAATTGCAATACAAAGCATTTTGATGGTGGCGTTTTTTTTTTGCTCTGCGAAGCCCAAAGACACAACACTTATCCATTTGGCTTCTGCTGTGTCTGCTGATTACCAGCAGTTCGAGAACCTTCTCCAAACTCCACCTTTTGCTGATGATAATTATGGGTCAGCCAGAGACAAAATGTCAAAGAATTCAAAGGCTCAATATAAAAAAATAGAAATCTCTTCACCAGCATTTTTATGCATGCTTGGAAAAGTTCCTGGAGCATCTCTGCAGCATCTGTTTGCTCCATATGTTTTATCAGTATCTGGCTGTGGCTTTACCATCTTTGCATTGCATAACAATCATCAGTGAGTGATTCCCAGCCTACAATTAATTAAGTTTCTGATCTCTTTCATTTTGCGTTCTGCCATAATTTTGGGGGGTTTATGTTGTTTGTTTCCCATTGATCAATTCATTACCCCTCTGCGACGATTGCAACAACTGCTGGCAGGAGCAAACCAACACTGCAACCACAAACGGCCAGAATTTAAAGTCCAATTTGCAAGCCACTGAGCGAGGCCCAACGACAAAATAGTACTTCTCTGTTTAGAAATAGAGGGCAAACAATGTTGACCTTTGGAGGTGTTTTTATGATTTGATCAAACTCCTGCCTCAAACCCCTCTTAACCTCTGAACTTGCTTGGCAAAACAAGATGAGTTGACGCTGCTGGCAAAGTGGACTGTCAACAAAATTCTTGGAGTGATTCTTCTTTTGCAAAGGCAACACATTTATTTTCTTTCCTTCAGGGTTTCTGCAAGTTTAAATGTAAAAAACAAACAAAAAAAAACAACACTTTTTGTGATTAAGTTTAAGACCAATAAGTTCTAAGACAAATGAACCTAAGTGTTCACTCGATAACTTATGCTGAACCATTTTAAGTAAGTGCTACTTCACAAAAAGCCTTATTGCAACATACAGTATGCTTCATAAGTTATTGATGTGTTTTAGTCTATTATTTTGCATCTGCAAGATGTTTTGTCTACCCTATGAAATCTCAAGAAATACATTGAAGTTTGGGGATAAAAAGATAAAAGGTAAAAGGATATGAGAACTTTTGCAAGTCGCTGTACAACTAAGTGAGAAGGAGATGATGTTAAAGGAAAAAATGGCAGTATTTGATTTTAACTGCCAAAAAATACACTTTCAAGCCACCTTTTAGTAGCAGGAGCATTTTACGATGATTGTCTTTTTTTGGCAGATACTGATTTCTGCTGCTTTTTTTTCTGTTTGTTTTCTGTGTAGTTCTGGCCTGGTGATTGCAATTTTGACCTATTCCTTTTTATTGCAGGGAATAATAGAGGAAAAGTGTGCAGGAGCTTTTTTGAAAGGAGTAATAAGTTTGAATCTATCAGATGCTGAAGTAATTACAACATTATCCCCACTGATAGATCAAGCATAAATGTCCCTGACCTTCACTTGACTTTTATTAAACTAAACTAAACTAACAGGGCATAAACATAAATGAAGTCGATTGATATTTTGACAGATTACAAACGATGGTGAATTTTAGTTCTGATGGATTTAATGAATTGCTTATTCAGTATTTGAGCAGCTGATCACTGATCAGAACTGATCATGAAAAAATGTGTTCGATTCTGATCTCTAACCGATTGATACAAGCATCTTGAATTATGGGATTTTTTCTCAAGCAAATAAAACAGATGGAATAAAAAATATAGCTTTAGATCTATCATTTACATACATTTCAGTATTATCTTAAGGGATTAAAGCAAAAATAATAAAAGTTTAAACTTTTTTTTTTTTACAACCCTACTGATCCCATTAACCTTGAATTTCAGGCTTTTTTAGTCATGTTCTGATGCTGAAGGCTACGATTTTTTGGGGGGTTGTAACTCATTTTATACCAGAGTTCCATGTACAGGGATATAAATATGTAATAGACCCAGAGATTAATGACTGCCATGATAAAAGAGGAAGAGTTGCTGACAGATGAAACCTATTAAACCATAATTACGTGTTGCATGTTCAACATATTTATCCTGATATGAGCAGCTGTATGTTTCTTTTTTTTTTTTTCATACAAAGCACTCTATGTAATAGATGAAGGGATGTTAAGTCTCTGAATCTGTTCTCAAGAGAAATAAGAATAATTCAAGACAAAATTTCCTCATTCAACACCTGGGGGACCAATATTGTTGCGTCACATCCATGTACAATATTATTGCATTTTATGCCACAGCCAAACAAGCGCTAATATTGCTTTTGATATGGCTAGACCTCGGTTTCATCAGTTCAGGGCAGATGTGTCCTGGTGGTGGATTTTTTCCTTTTCGTTTTTTTTTATTTTTTTTTTAATAATGGCTTGTCAATCTGACAGCAAGCTCCACATTGGAGGGAGGCAAATAAGACAGAGGAGGTACAGGGGTAAATCCAGCAATCTCTCCTCAGAGTTTAGCGTTTCTCGTAAACAGACTCCAGCACACAGTCAGATGTGAGCACACTCAAAGGTCTGTGCACAAACATGCAAATGATTCATGACGCACATATCTATACAAATCACTAGATAATTATCCAATTAATCAACATCAGATTAAAAACAATGAGAGCAGTGTTTCAGTAGGGGATCAATAGTAATATTATTTCCCCTTCAAACCTAATCAGAATTCAAGTCAGACAGTCAAAATGAGCAACTGAAAAACCTGCTATAAATCCTGGAGGACTGCTGCTGTGAGATTTGTAGACTGCAAGTCTGGAAAAAAAAGGGCCAAATCTGGGGCTAGAGGGCTAGATCTTCCACCATCTGGCCACGCCTGGCCATCTAATGCCGCAACCCTACATAGCTGTGTTAGATTTATTGAGGCAATGAGCTTCCCTGCCCCCTGGCATGGGATTTGATAAATGTGACTCAACTCCTGTCCAAGATTATAATGGGGATAATGCAAAAGAGCACCTTCTGCCTCATAGATACCTTGCAAACTCTTGTACCTTAAGCTTGGGTTGCAAGACCTTTCTATTCAATTGATTAAAGAAAGCTGTTGACCAGTGATGGAAAATCCAAAAAGGCGACACAAATATGTTGGACGACTTTCATAAGAGGATTGTAATCCATCATATTTAACATTACCTGGAAACTAGCAATTGTGACCTACTTGATATTGCGCTTGCTTTTCTAAATTAACTAGCAACACTCACGGTGACCACACATTAATTCTGGTTAAATCTTTAATTCTTTACTCAAGAAACAGCAGACCTGATTTAAATTGCTTAGTTACTGTGAGAAACAAGGTTTTCGAATAAAGTGAATTGTTTCTTGGCTTGGCTTTTTCAGAGGCTTAATATGACACCGACTGATACCTCTAAAAAAATAATTTAAATGAACACTTACTTACTGTATGTGGACATGCCATATGCTTTTTGAGTAAATAACAATAAAGCTGTTTGGCTGCAGCTTTATTGTAGCTAATAAAGCTGGAAGTTTAGAATAGTCAATGCACGAGTCTGAGTGTGATTGATGGTGCAAAAACCTTCCTCTTGGCTCTGATTGGTTGTGTCTGACCAGAAATGGTTGATTTCTGCAAATGGCAGTAGGATTACTGTGAGGAGTCAGAAACACTTGACATTTTTTACTAATTATTTATTTGAACAAATATGTAAAAAATGTATTTTTCTAAAAATTACCTATTGTAGCTTTAAAGCTTCACTTAAAGTCTTCAAAAACATTTTTCTGTCCTACTTCTGTCTCACATAGCCACTTTTTTTTTTTTTTTTTTTTACCACCAGTGATCTTAAAATCTTTCTTCAAAAAGAGAATAAACTGACCTGTGTCAGTTTTTGTTCACTGGTGCCTTAGGTGTAAATAAAATGATTAATTTTTTGGGGACGGTAACTTAATTAGAGGCTGTGGTCTTACACTTGAACATGGTGTGATAGCAAAGAATTAAAATCTGAAAAGATTTTTTTACAAAACCTTTCTTGTTCTAGTTCAGGTAGAATTACTGAAATGAAATATTCTCGATGTGCCATTAATTTCCTCAACTACTTTACTGTAACAGAAGCTTATTATGCCCTGACCCTGATCATCTGGGCTAAACCGTGTAAATGAATAATAACCTTAGAGGATATAAACGTCTGCATTTAAACAAAGCAAAGAAAGATTATCGAGCAAGTTAGATTTAATAACAAAGTATGAAAGAATGTCCTTTTATGTAGAGCACAAAACTGTCTGGTTTTAATGGTAAATAGCCTACAGAGTTTGTCTTGTAAGACGTGACTTGGAGTCCCTCATGCATTATGGCTTTGGAGAAAACTTTGACATTTTATTGGTTAGATATTTCATTGTCAGTTATTAGTATCGATAATAAGAAAGACTGTGAATGATGTGTATTCAGCTAGTAAATTAGTTGCATAAACAGTTTTTATCCTGCTGAAAATAGATATTTTCTACTTACATATATTTGCGGTTCCTTTGGGTATGGGGAGGTAGGAGCCCACACTCCAGGCTCTTCCATGGTAGTGCCTCTTGCAGCGGCTACAGTCGGGCCCTGTTGTGTTGTGTTCACACTCACAGCCCAGCTTCCCCTTGTCAAACACACAGCTGTTGGCATGCAGGTTGCACTTGCACCTGAGACAAAGGAAAAGCAACAAAAGACCAAGAGTTGAATAGGCATTGAGCTGAATCCACTGAATCAATACGTTTCTGTGGGGAATATACAGAGTCGGCGCTCACGGCAATTTTTATTTGTGCCTTTCAAATTTCTTTGACATGGGTAAATTGAAATCCTGGCAGGCTATCTGACTTGGATCACGCCTCCTCAAAGCTTCATTATACTCTCTTTAAAAACAGAAAACAAGACTTCATTTGTTGGCGCCCCTGTGGAGAGAACAGCATTGCAAATAAGGTCACTTTTGCCACTGTGAAAGCTAAATAAAAGACGCTCTGTTAGATTCACTAATTGAGCTTAAAACACGGCCTGTTAGAAAGATGATAGAGGGGAAAAAAGCTGTGTGTCCTGGGAATTCTCTTTGTTCTTTATCCTTAAAGTTGCATTGTTCGTTGAAGACAGCCTTCAGCCTGGAAACTCAGATGGCGAGGCTGGTTTATTAGACTGAACTGCAGCAGAGCTGACAGACGCTCCTGCCAGGAGAAGAGAGAAGGCCTGACAGTTTTCTACAACGTCTTGGCCGAGTGAGAGAGCCATGCTTCCAGGCTTAGGTGAAAACAAGATAGCTGCGGTTTCATTTGGAGTGACTTCAACCATCGGAATAAGCAGAGAGCAAATTACAGAGAATATAACCTTTCTCCACCGTGACTTGTGTTCACTCCCATGGAAAAGCTTTATCAGAGGCAGAGAGGGCTGTGCTTGTTGCAATAAGAAAGATTACAGTTCATATTCCAAATATGTATTCCAAATATAGCTCTCTGTGTTTACAGCTACTCCCAGTTGGGTAAAAGGTTACAACTTGTGACTTCAGCTTCTTGCGAGGTGGGAGGAAAGTGAATCAGTTGGGAGGAGAGCATGAAGTGGATCTGACACTGTAAACCTCCCAGGAGGCTCGGGCAGCTCACGGTTTCACGTAAAGTCCATGTTTGTTTTTACAAAGTGCTTCCGAGGGAAGACTCTTCCCGTTTTAGACTGATCAGGCTTTTTTTATTTGTTTTTGCCAGCAGTGAACATGAGACAGAATAATGACAGCAGCAGCCCAAAATATAGCTTTCTAATTGACTTCCTGGCCTCACTGTTAGATCCATCTTTATTAATGGAGGACAGGGATGTAGCTGGACACTTGATTCATGGTTTTGGTGTAGATGGTAGTAAAATGAAGAAAATCCAGAAGGTTCTGTCCCTCTTCAATTGTTTGGAACAGAAAATTAGCCCTGCAAAACAGACTCATCAGTGAGGAGCTACCAAGCTACCAGCTACCAAGGCTGGTATCACTTTAAAATTTAAATAGCTTTGGAAATATTCTCTAGAATGAGAATCTAATGCTCTTTGTTCAACCTATACATGGTAAGTGACATTAGGATATATTAAGCCTTAAACAGGTTTCAAAGCTACTGAAATTGCTGTATGTGATTCATTGTATGGAATATAAATAAGTGAACCTTAAGAAAAAGTGTGTTATATATTTTTAAATCTTTAAAGTTTGGTTCAGTAAGCCTGTTTGGTTATTGGCACTATGATACAACACATTAATTTACTAAAGGCCCAAGCAAAAATACTTTTAACAACAACAACAACAAATCCTACTTTCCTATTTCTGCTTTCATTTTCAAAATCTATTGCTCTAGTGCAGCATCAGAGGTGCTTCAGGGAGTTGATATCTTTTCATCCGTTCAATAGGCTTTTCTCTTGCATGATTCGCTGAACAATACTTCCTTTGTTCTCCAGAATCTTCTCATTTACAAATGCGTCTGTGTGTGCAATGCCAGCTGCAAAGCAGCGAAGAAAACCCTCCAAAGGGTCATTTCCACTGTCCAAAAGATCACTGCATTCCTTGTTTCATCTCTGGATTATGTTTTACTATTTCTATCAACTAAAAAAAGAAAATGACTTAAGCCGACCTCAGAGGCTTATCCCACCTTTAATGATACAATTCAGCAACTCCCCATTGCTACAGAAATAGAAAGTAGATGCTATAGGTCAAAGGTATCCATTTTTTTAGGATGAGATTTTGAATGACAAATTTAGATAATCTAAAATGGAAAATTTTGTGTGCAACACAGAGTGTGTTTTCTTTTAATATCAATGATTTTCTGCCTTCATTTTAATAATATAGTGAGTAGAGTGATATGCATCCACTGAATTTTGCCTCAAAAATAAACTTGGCCATACTCATTCATTAACCTTTGCTACAAACAGCAAGGGCTTTCAAGGAAAGTTATCACTGCTGTTGACAAAAGAAATAGAAACCACTTCATCCAAATTTTATGAAAAAAAACAACAAAAAATCAAACAAACAACAGTTTTTATTAAGGTGTCCCAAGATAGTTTTTTCCAGAATTACATTTTGAGATTGAAATGTTTGCCAAAACTTCTTCACAGAACATCTTAGCTCAGTCAGAAAGGATAGAAACCCTTCACCGATGGTCAGTTTAGTAGAAATGCCATTTTCAAGTTTTGCCAAAGATTCTGAATTGAATTTTGACCTGCCAAATTGATGAAAGCATATTCCACTAAACCTGCTTTTTATTCCCCTAAAGCCTAAACCCTGACCAGAAAGCAGGCCCTGTTTGGTCTGCTTCCTGTTCTTCATGATGTTTTTTTTGTTCACTGATATTCTTGAAATTAATTTTAGAAGTATTAGATTAAATATAAGTTTGAACATGAGAGGAGTGATCAAATTTTATGATGCTGGGTAATAAAAAAAAAATGTTTTAGAAGAACAACATTAAAGTCATGAATAACACACATCAAGCGCCATAATGGATAAGATTCATAAGCAGCATGGATTCTTACCTTAACAAAATACTCTTGTTACCCCACATTCCCCATTGTCCTTAACTTTTTAATCAATTAAAGTCCCCGCTCCATAAAATTAATGACTGGGTGTAGCTCCTCCGCCATGCAGACAGCAGCGACTCCCCGAAGTCAAGAGCGATGAGATTTGACCTTCCACTTAATTAAAAACCAGCAGAATCTGGATCATCGGGCCCAACCGGCGTGGCAAGCCGGCAGATAGAGGAGAGGATGTGGACTCAGGGGAGCTCTGGAATGCAATGCTTTTGCCGCCGGCATTGTCATATTGAAATCGGAGAACTTTTTTTGTGTGGCTGCTGATATTGGTCACAAGAAGGGAGACATCCCTTGCCTCTTCTTTTGCTATCAATGCTATTCATTATTCAGACTCCAGCGATCGTGTAAATCCCAGTAAAACTGCCTATTTTAATAAAGTCTGAACACCTGTTTAAAAGACTCACAGTTTAGGTTTAGCAAGGATTTTATTAGATACAAAAAAAATGTTTGTGATCACTTAATCTTTCTAAAAAAACACAATTTATCCAAAAGTAAATGAGCCAAAACTCATTTAATGGTTTCAACTGACTGGCACAAATTAAATTTAGTTCATAATAATATTGTATTGCAAAAAAAAAGTGTACTCTTTTGGTTTTTTTTTTACAACTTGTGATGCTATGTTCAGTTTGTTTTATTTGGGATTTTAACAGACAAAACAACTCAAAGTAGCACATAATTATGAAGTTTGAGGATAATCTGTAGTTTTTAAATATTTTCAGAAAAATATCAAATTTAGTGTAACCAATGTATCCGCCAATGCCTCCTTCATGGATAAAAAGTCCTTTGTGCAAATTAAACTGCCGGGCTGAGCTAAGCGATAACTCTTGTGGAGTGATAGCAATAAACAGCGTTATTGGGGGAGTCTATCGTCAGAACAAAGTAGTTATACACTCTACAAAGGAAGAGGAGCAACCAGACAGATACTTTGGTTATTGTAAATAATAATTTGCTCTTAATAACTCCCCTGGTTACATAATGGTTATATAAATAAATTTTAAAAAAAGAAAGTCACGAGATGTCTTGCACTTTGGTACTTTGGTACTCTGGGATGTTGTGGACATACAGAGAAAGATGCTGCTGTCAAAATGTACAGTTTTGGCCTAAATACAAAAGTGTTGTGTAGTGTGTATTACCACTGCACATCATCCGAACACAACGCCCCAAAGCTGAAACATTCCACTTTTTATGCTCTGTCCAGGTTATATGGGGGTGGATTTCTTTGACTGATGAAAATCCAGGATTTCATCGTTTTTCATGGGGACCAATAGGAGTGCTTAAATGGACTGGCACAATCCACGGAATACGACAGCCTTTATTTTTTCATTTAACATCCACCAGGAGCAGCTGCCAGGTGGTTGGTTTGGAGTGAGAGGCGGCAAACTGTGTGGCAGAGCAGGTAGAATAAGGACCAAAAAGAAAAACAGTTCCTTTCTATTTCAATTTTAAAAACTTCTTGAAGTAAACAGGAGATGTTTAACCTAGTAATCACATTGTTTAATCATCTTAGGGAAAATTAAGATGCAATGCAACTTGTTTTTCTTATCCTGCAAGTTTTTGTGCTACAAATGCAAAGCTGGACAATCTGAGGTGACATTTGTGTTGAGTTTGTGAAGATATTTTGAAGAAGACAGCAGCAAAGATGTCCTTTGTCTTCTGCTGCCTACCAGCTAGCTGTTAGCTACTTAGCGGCGTGTTAAATGGCTCCCAATGTCAAACACAATGTTTCGTCCTTGTGACAGATAATAAACTCCCTGATTTAAGACCAGAGAACAAGCATTTGAAGAAAACTTTCTTAGTGCTAACCTTTGGGTTACTCGCTCACTGAGCTCCCAGGAAAACACAGATGTGCTTGATTTAAAAAATATGTTTTCTTAAATTATATTGGACACGAATGCCACTAATATACTGCAAATAAAATATTTAGAAATTACTGAATAAACTCTTTCTTGACACAATATTTTTATTAATTTAAGTTCACAACGTCAGACACAGTTTGGATTTTCAAAACCTTTAATGTAAAATAATGTTTGCTGCAATAATAAGGGGTAGCAGAGGGTGACATTTATATGAGAAATCCCACAAGTACAGTTAAGTCGGAAAAACAAGC